CTCCGCCAATGGCGACCACAGATCAAGGCAGATCAAGGAAGCGCTATTTCACAGAAGCAGAAATTCAGGTACCTGTGGGCAGAGCTGGATTAAATAAATGGACTACACTAGGCAGACTGCATTTTTTGGGGACCCCCTCCATCGATGTTATTTCAATTCAATTCAATTCAATTCAAGTTTATTTATATAGCGCCAAATCACGACAAGAGTCATCTCAAGGCACTTCACATAATAAACATTCCAATTCACAGTTCATTAAGCCAATCAGAAATAATGTTTCCTATATAAGGAACCCAGCAAATTGCATCAAGTCGACTATACAGCAATCCTCATACTAAGCAAGCATGCAGCGACAGTGGAGAGGAAAACTCCCTTTTAACAGGAAGAAACCTCCAAAGAATCCTGGCTCAGTATAAGCAGCCATCCTCCACAACTCACTGGGGATCGAGAAGACAGAACAGGCAGACACACACACACACACACACACACACACACACACACACACATTATTTAATGAATTGAAATCTGAAACTTACCAAAGTTACTAATAAAAGTTCATTCACATTTTACATAGCCTAGTCTTTGTTTACAAAATGGTTGTTTGTGTGCCAAAATTAGTCATGTGTTGTATGTAAACCATTCTATCAGACAATTTTTTGATATTAATAATGTATACGTCATTACACAGCTGTACTAAATGCTAATAAATTTTCCTCATCTTATCCATTGGGAGTGTCATTGTCAAGGCGGTACCAGTAAATAACCACTAGGTGTCATTGAACTATGTAAACAGAGCAAATATGTGTCTGTTATTTGCTCTGTTTATATTTAATCACTACATTTAATAAAAAAGATTTTCTGCTGAATACAATAGCTTACCACATTTATAAATGTTGACAAATTAATCACATGATGCTGGAAAGATATTCAAGAATTAATAGATTAATTTGAATGGACTGAAGCATGTTTTAAAGGCGCAAAAACAAACTATAAACATGCAGCTTAAATTATTACAGAATAAATTTAATACAATCTATAATCTTAAAAAAATTATTTCAATAAAATGAAAACATTATCTTAAGTTTTGATCTTGCTTTATGCTCATTCAGGCTGTTGTTGCCTCTGCTGAATCAGAAATTCTGTGTCAATTTTCTGAGTGTGAACTTATTGTTTTGCTATTTGAACATTAATAAAATTATTTGAAAAATAATTAATAAAATTAGCAACACTTACCAAAGAAACCATTTAGCATTCTCCACTCCAGGATAATCTTCAGTCTTCCAGCATCACAGGCCTCAATCACAGCAGAAAAACGTCTAAAGAAATGTTCCTTGGTTAAGCTTCGGTTTATGTCTCCAGATTTCCTCTGTGATGCCGAACAATATCCAATATTTTGAGAGGGTGGTTTAGTGCAAAGTACTCACGCATCCTGTCATCAGTTTGGTATCACTTTGCAGGATCAGAAGGGTAGCTAGTTGTTAATAGCCTTCCTGGGTCTAGAGGCTCACTTCTGGCTGGCTGCTGTTCATCCAGTTCGTCCTTCTGTGAAGGCATTGATGTTGACCGCGTTGGCGCTACAGTGTCTTCCGCCGCATTTCCTGCCACATCTTCCCCCGCTTCTTCGGGTCGTGTGTCCTCCGGTTCTGACTTGGGCCCGGCCTCTGGCTCTGCTGACTCGAGCAGGTTCACAGCTGTCGGACGGCTGCCCGAGCAGCCTGACAGAAGCTTCTGTAAAGCCCCCCCCCCCCGCTGTCTCTTCTTTTGTTCCTCTTCATTTATTTAATCTTTTTTACGTTTTGCCGCACCCAAAAGCATCGTGAAAGTTAGCCTACTCAAAAACACCTGCTAGCTTTGTTGTGACCCGCTCTGACTCTGACCGCTTCTCTGACGTCCTTAATTGGGTGGCGCCTTAATGTGACGTAGCCAATGAAACGGTCTATGGTTAAGATAAACATTGTCACTATTTTTAGTTAATTAATAAATATTAAAATAAATTGTAGATAGGAGTCCTATCTACAAATTCTATCATAGGACATTTGTACATTTAATTTTTAATTTATTTAGTTTTAATTTTGTTCCTCTGTCTGGGCCCCATCCAGCCAATCAGGCCCTAGGCACGTGCCTACTTTGCCTTTGCTTTAATCCGGCTCTGCCTGTGGGTGAGGTGGAGAAATGAAAGAAAGTGCTTTTGCAAAAAAAAAAAATGAAAATCCACGGAGTGGCACAGCGTGGTTGAAGCCGTCAATGCTGTGAATTCTTCAGAGAGATCTGTGGTGGATATTAAAAAAAAATGGTCCAATCGGGATTCAATCCCAAGACTCACAGGTGAAAATCGCGCACAATAACCATTCACCCAAACAGAGATCTCCCTTGTCCAAGTAACCAGGGCGCATGATCAATCGGGTCACAGTGACAGGACACACACACACTGTCACAGACGCATGACATTCTGTCTCAATCTGTCCCCCTGCTGATATTCTGCATTCCGTAATCTGCACTTCAGGCTGTGTGTGTGTGTGAGAGCGTGCGCGCGTGAGTGAGTGTGAGTATGCGTGCATGTGTGTGTACGCGCACGTGTGTGTGCGTGTGGGGGGTCTTGTTCTGTGTGAAAGCGAAGCAGTACAAGTGATAATGCTGCAGGATTTCATAATTGTATCCTTCTCAGCAGCAGCACTGCAGGTGCTCTCCATGTCCAAAATGTGCGTAAACGAGGTCCTTAGTCAACTTAAAGTTGTGCACATTTTTCCGCTAAGTTTTCTTTCATAAATCCCAAAGTTTGCATGGAAAGTTGCTTACGCAGTTTTCCGACCCTGTGTTGTACGGCCCCAGATCAGGGACGTCCGCTCTGAACTCCAGAAGAGGATGCAGAGCTTTTAAAAATTCCTAGCGAGCCGGAGATGCTGGTTTCTGGGCTGGTGGGCCGGACCCAGGTCCGAGCCGCCTGCCTGAGCAATGACAGGTGTCTCTCCCTCTCTCTAAAGCGCTAAGCTACGTTACGCGAACGAATATCATCGAGTATGAAACAGCTGACAAACGCTCATTACAGTTTATTATTGTCAAGAATCAATATTATATTAACTGACCAATAATATTTTTATTGTGTGGTACATGACAGTAATCTGTTAAACATTGTGATGTGTCACGCGCGTGTGGCGAGGTGAGCAGAGGTGAGGCAAGGATCCACACGCGGGGAGGAAAACAGGCAGGCAGGTGAGAACTTCTAACATTGATTTATTAGAGGCACACGCTGGAACACTGAAACAGTGACACGACATGGAACACAGAACAGAAGGGGTTTAAATACACGAGGAGAGGGAGCTATGGTGATTGGGAAACGAGGCAGGTGGGAGCAATTAACGGAGGCACTGACGACAACCTAAGAGACGACAGGACAGGGCAGGACAGGGCGTGACATGATGTTAGCACGAGTTAAATGAGGGACTGCACACCATCAGAAAATGTAACTCCACCCCTAGTCAAGATTTGAAAAATGCAATTAAAGTGGGCGTTGCCAGGAGGCACAGAGTAGCATGGCCAAGTGTGGGGAGTTTCCATCCTGGGAGGGAGGGGGAGTGGAAGGAGACTGTACTGATGATGTGAAATTATACCAGCCCCAGTCAGACACAAATTTAAAATGCAGTAGCCACTGTTCTGCCACAACGAGCAGCACTAAGACAGTTTTAGACCTAGATTCTAGATGTAATCAAGTTTACACAAAAATGTCAAAAAATGCACAGAAACAGAAAGATTGCATTTGTAAAGACCCAATTATACAGTTAATTAGGAAAAAAATGTTATTTTGGGGTTTAGTTACTCTTTAAGCTAGCTAGCTAGCAAGCATCGTTCACTCACCAAGACACCTGCTCCTCTATAGAACCTCCTGACACCACAGCTAAATCTCTCTTCTTTGCCCATTGTTTCTCCCTCTGGTTTGTCTCTGCTCTCTGGGGCTTGCAGCAGGTTCCACACTGTATGGTTGTGGTCCACCATAAGTATAAACAAATTTCTGTGTCAAGAGTCGGCAATAAAATCCATATTTTTCTCTGGATCAAGCTAACAGAACTCCCTTTGCCTGTGTCATGTCTGGTTTGGCAGAAATTTTTTTTTTCACAAAAACAGCTGGCAAAGCTCAAATAATTCACGTGTAAACTTTTGCTTAGAACAAGTTCCTGTTATGTTTTTGTAAATATTCTTTCAAATGAGGCTCTAACCTGCAATATGCTCTTTAATATGTGAGGTATCAATTCAACCTGTGCTTTAGAACAGAGGTTCCTAACCTGGGGTCCGTTACCCCCCAAGGGAGTCTCCACATTTTTGTGCACGATGATGTTGTGAGGTTGCTAAGATAACTTTTGTAAAAGTTATACTAATAAAATCCAGATAACACACCCAATCAAAACTCTGTAAGAGGCATATCTCTGTTCGAAAGTTGTAATTGTACACTTTTAATTGTGTGTATGTATGTAGAAGTTGGGGATGGGGGGCTTGACTTGTCTTGGACACAGAAAAAGGGGCCCTTGTAAAAAAAAAAGGTTGGGAAACACTGGGACTGCAGCATTAACCACAACACCAAGATCAGAGGCCTGGGCTGGGCTGATGAGGCCAGGAAACCCAGGTGATTTAACCTGATTTGAGCTTATTGTTTGATTCAATAATAGAAGTCTCTGTTATGTCTGAGTTAAGGTGCAGACAATTTGTGTTTAACCAGCAGTTAGATATCTAATAAACGACATTTCTACAACAACTGATAGCTGAAAATCAATAACGTATTTTAACTTTTAAGTGGGCGTGCATATTGTTTATTGGAAACAAAAACCTTTAAGTTAGACAGCTTCCACTTGCTTTTTGAAGTCCTCCTCATTTTTGATTCCCACCACATCTATTGTATCAAAGGGTGAGTGTACATCCTCGTTCTTGTATTTGTGGTACATTCAAGAAATATTTTTACAGATAGATATCATGTTTCTGTACACTGATCCAACCTGTTCCTCGTGTGAGAATATTTCACCATTTACCAGGCACGGGCAGTGAAAACCTCTCCAGTCGTGTGCCTGGCAGCCTAGCTGCACACAGACTAAGTGTACAGGGAGGTGCTGTGATTTTTGATTTTTAGACTTCAGTTGGACCTCTATAAAGGTTCCGGTCATGGGTTATCAGTTGATCTTCATTGGGCTCACAGGTTTGTAGAATTTATTTTGTTATTCCTGCTCATTTCAGACAAACCAAAGAGGTTGAGTCAGAAAGGTAGAAAAACAAAATTATGAATGTTTTCTGTAAGTGAAAATTATTTTTATCATTAACACAAATATTCTGGTAATAAGTAAAAATTGTAAACTTTACAAAAACACCTGAAATGTGTTCAAGAAATAAATCACAAAAAATTAAGATGTGTATAGATGCTGTCATGTTCTTCTCTGATGATGCTGTTTTTTGTTTTCTGCACATCCTGTTTTATTTTGGGGACAAACATATGATTTCAATATAAGCATCCTACTTCCTGTTTTAAGTATCCTGCTTAATCCTCCTGTGCCATGAACATCCCTGCCCTTTGCTTCTGTCAGTTGCCTGTTCGTTTTGTGATTTTCGTGTCTTACAATCAAACTTTTTTTTGTAATTTTGTCTTCACCTCTGTTTTGGATTTGTATATATGTTTCTTGGATGTGTGTTTAAACCTTACACCCCTAAATCCTTTATGGACTGCATTTGCACATTTTCCTGTCCCAGCTTCTTCTTTTTTTTTTTTTAAATAAGTTCCTGCCTGCAAACGGACAAAAGTAGCCCAATCATGTCATTGGGCTCCACCCTTTCGAAGCTAGCCTTTGATCTGGAGTCTGCATCCCCTGGAAGTAATCCACTAATGCCTGATTTATACTTTTCCGTCTGAGTTGGTGCAAAGACACGCAACACCATTATACGTCGGTGCTAGGGCTCTTCGACGGACTTACAGAGGGTGACGAAGACATGCCCAAAATTTTAAACATATGTTGAAAATTACGAAGACCGCAAGCTTGTGATTGTTCAGGATGCCGCTTCCTGTAAATTTGTCCCCAGCATCGCCATTGCCCCCGTTACAAAGTAAAATGTCACTTAGCTTCATGTTGCAGCTCAGAATGTGGCCTTTTTTTAGATGACTATTTTAAACCTCCACAGATACCAGAGTGGATATTCTGATTAATTACTTCTGAATTGGAGGTAAAACACTGCTGTTAAAACCATGCACTCTGTCTGCAATGATGCACGTAATGGCCAGCATTTTGTAACAGACTCTGTAGTCCAGTGGTTAAAATGTTAGACTGGTATGCTGTTTTGCACTGAATCAACTGCGGGTTTCGACAGTAACCTAATTTTTATTTTTTTGCTACATTTCCCACTATTATGTTTTCAACTCTTTCTTGGTAAACTGTTTAAGAAATAAGGACCAATATGTTTTTTTTTTTGTTTGTTTTTTTTTACTTTCTTTATTTAGCCAGCGTGAGTCCATGTGAGGAGAGCAGAGTAAATCCACTAAAATGCTGCTTGGAAATGACCAGATTCAAAGATCTTTAGAGACACCATATTCTGCAGAAAATAATCAATAAGACTAAAATATAAAATTCCTTTCAGCTGGCTAAATAAATTACTACCAACACTGGGAGTACCAGCATCAAGACATGGCTAAAATACATGAAAGGAAGACACTTTAATCACTGGACCACCACAGCTAATACAGTTAAAGGATCATCTAAGACACTGTTGTAGGCATGTTTTGTTGGAGCGGGAGTTGGCGGAGCTTCACTGAAACAGATATTTCCTGGTTGTAAATTCAAACAAAAATAGGATGAAATATAAAATGACATCTCAGTTGTGCAATTGGTAATATTTGATCATATATTATGTCTACATTTGCTCACAAAGGTTTAAAGTATCATGATCTGGCTCCTTTATTGTCTCTGCAGCTCTGTTCAATGCAGCCTGTGCCCAAAATCATCAGTACTACTTTGTGAACACACCAAGAACTTGGAAAAAGGCTCAGGCTGTCTGCAGACATAACTACACTGACCTGGCTACAATAACAAACATAGATGATATTGCTGCTGTTGTCAACACCACCGCAAGTTATACAGGTGAGTTCATTATTATTTGGGACTATTTATAAACAGGGTGCAGCAGTAGCTCAGAAGGTAGATAGGATTGTCTAGCAATCAGACAGCTATTGGACCGCTCCCAGCAGAAAATGCCACCGTTTTGGACCTGTACACATTTTGGCATCTAATTACGCTGGTATGACAAACCCCTCTAAACTACGCAAAAAGCTGCGAACACGTGAGTTCTGAAGCAAATGTGCACGTCTGGTAATCATGTCTGACAACATGACCCAGCAGCGTGGTGAAGTTTAAGCCAATCATTGTAGAAAAGCAGAGATAAAAAATTGTGCTTAACCTGTAGCGTTACACCCCTGCTTTCTCTCCATCCTCTGGTTCCCACTCGCTGCTGTTCTGGCATTTAAAAAGGTAAACTCTGTGTGTGTGTCAGCGGACCGGACTGGCATGGGCATGGGGGATGTGGACGTTTTAACACCCATACTTTTCTAATTAGGAGGTTAAAAACACGCGTCACCGCAGTTTAGTTCAAAACGTTACTGTCAGAAACGCGCACGCTTATTACAAGCTCACTCCCGCGGTGTGCTCTGCTTGTCACGACGTGCCGGTGAGTGGAGCGGAGGTGAGGATCCAAATGCTGGGGAGGAAGCAGGCAGGCAGACAAACTGGAAAACTTAAAGGGTTTTAATGATATATGCACGCAGGACATGGAAACAATGAACCAACAAGAGACACAGGACTGAAGGGGTTTTTATACAAGAGGGCTGGGAGCTTGGGTGATTGGAAAACGAGAGGCAGGTGGGAGCAATTAACAGAGACACAGGACTGAACCAAAAGGGGAGACAGGACAGGGCGTGACAGTACAGGCAGGGACCAGTAGAGTCCAGGGGCCTGCGCCTGGGGCAGAGGAGGCGACGACGGGCTCTTGGGGGCCAGTGTCTGCGGCAGAGGAGGAGGCGACAACGGGCTCTTGGGGCCTGCGCCTGCGGCAGAGGAGGAGGCGACGACGGGCTCTTGGGGGCCTGCGTCTGCGGCAGAGGAGGAGGCGACAACGGGCTCTTGGGGGCCCGCGCCTGATGAGGGCAGGACTGACAGTGACCGGAGGCAGAGACGCCGGAGGAGACGTCCTTGACTTCTGGATTGGAGGCGACGGCTTCTGGACTGGAGGCTGCGTTGTCGGCCTCTGGGCTGGAGGCGGCGTCGTCGGCCTCTGGGCTGGAGGCGGCGTCGTCGGCCTCTGGGCTGGAGGCGTCATCGTCAGCCTCTAGGATGGAGGCAGCGTCGACCAATGGACTGGAGACGGCATCGACCACGGGACTGGAGACGGCGTCGACCAATGGACTAGAGATGGCGTCAACCACTGGACTGGAGACTGGGTCAACCACTGGACTGGAAATGGCGTCGACCACTGGACTGGAGACGGCGTCGACCAATGGACTGGAGACTGCGTCGACCACTGGACTGGAGACGGCGTCGACCACGGGACTGGAGACGGCGTCGACCACGGGACTGGAGACGGCATCGACCAATGGACTGGAGACTGCGTCGACCACTGGACTGGAGACGGCGTCGACCACTGGACTGGAGACGGCGTCGACCACGGGACTGGAGACGGCGTCGACCACGGGACTGGAGACGGCGTCGACCACGGGACTGGAGACGGCGTCGACCAATGGACTGGAGACGGCGTCGACCACGGGACTGGAGACGCCGTCGACCACGGGACTGGAGACGCCGTCGATCACGGGACTGGAGACAGAGTCGACCACCTGACAGGAGACGGCGTTGACCACGGGACTGGAGACGCCGTCGATCACGGGACTGGAGACAGAGTCGACCACCTGACAGGAGACGGCGTTGACCACCGGACAGGAGACGGCGTCGACCACTGGACTGGAGACGGCGTTGACCACTGGACTGGAGACGGCGGAGACCAGTCTGGTGCCCACGAAGCTGGAGCGATCCGGAAGCATCTCCTGTTCCAACCTCTCATCTGGCTCTGGGAGGGTGGAGAGGATCGCCGAGGCTGAAGGTCGGTGACGGCGTTTGCGGCGAGGCGATGCCGGAGGAAGAAGAGCCGGCCGGTGGTCCGCGGCGAGAAACTGGAGCAGGTACTCCCAAGGGATAACCTTCCCGCTGGATCCTTCTGTGGGTTGGTTCATTCTGTCACGACGTGCCGGTGAGTGGAGCGGAGGTGAGGATCCAAATGCTGGGGAGGAAGCAGGCAGGCAGACAAACTGGAAAACTTAAAGGGGTTTAATGATATACACACACAGGACATGGAAACAATGAACCAACAAGAGACACAGGACTGAAGGGGTTTATATACAAGAGGGCTGGGAGCTTGGGTGATTGGAAAACGAGAGGCAGGTGGGGAGCAATTAACAGAGACACAGGACTGAACCAAAAGGGGAGACAGGACAGGGCGTGACACTGCTCACGCACAACATAACTGCAGCCTCTGTACGTGTCTGTGCAAATTACTTGATACTGGAGTTGTTGAAGTTATGTGCACCAACCCTGCTTATGGATCACCTCAGAGATGGATTGTCGATGTGAATTTTTATTTATTTATTTATTTAGTTGGTTAGTTAGTTAGTTAGTTAGTTAGTTAGTTAGTTAGTTAGTTAGTTAGTTAGTTAGTTAGTTAGTTAGTTAGTTATTAACGAGAACAAGAGAATAAATTATTACAAAACGCAAAAAATGACATGCCAGATGAAGCTGAAATTAGTTTCCTATTGGGGCAATTCCAACAAATATTTCCACTCGCAGAGCATCTTTACTCAGCTCTCATTTCAAATTTACAAAACTTAGACTCATTAAATGTGGACTGGGTTATTCTGTACCAGTAACAGAATCCTTAAGACATTTTGTGATCTTACAACCTTTATTTCATTTGTGAAAGTTCAAAGCAAGCTGATTTCATCACATTTCCAGGCCACATAATCCATTTCATGTCATTAAAATACCTTTAAAATGAGCAAAGTGCAAAAAATAAAATAAAATAAAATGAGCAAAGTGATCATGTGGTAATGATTATTTAAAGAGTAATAAAATCATAAGTTTATTAATTATTATTTAATTATTATCATCGTGGCTTGAAGTGTCCTTCTTGGGACGGAACAGCAGATGATGTTATGATCTTGGCTAGACATCGTGGCTCCTTGGGTTTAATCTGTGGATTGAAAGTACTGTTTGACCCAGCTTGACCTAGCTGGGCAAATGTGACCTTTGGCACAAATCAGAGAACCTTCATGCCGTTACACTCCCCTGCTCCTCCCGGTTGCCCCTCTGGGACATAGCCAGCTGGGTATATCATAGACTCCTGGAAACAGTGGAACCTGATCTGCCTCTCAACTGTCTGTAGAGAATTCTGAAGATGTTTGAATATTCGTCGTTTTGGTGTCGGGATTCCTGCTGTTCGGCCTGGCAGACCAGAAAATTAATGAGCTTTCGAAGAATATTGGCTTAATCCCGGAGCTCAGGGATGGAATGCATCATGCTGTAAACTCACAAACTCATATAATTGTCGAGATGAGTCGTGAGCTTGGAACTTTGGCTGAGATTCAGGCTCTGGCACAGAAGGTGGATTCCATCAAGGAGAGAGTTGACAGATAAGCACAGATCAGAATAGATTGTTAACGCCATTATTGGACCTGGATGGGTGGAAGACCAACAGAACTCTAAGACAGAGAGGAAATTATCTCTGTCTGTACCCAAAACAATTCTTGTTATCTGAATCTGGTGCCCTTGAAGCCTGTGAAGCTGAAGTGAAAACTCCCCCTCAGAAGAAATGTGGAATGCTGCCGTCACTATGGAAACCAGGGGCGGCGTTAGGCCCGGCTACTTGGGCTGAAGCCCCGAATCTTTAATGAAAAGCCCCGGATCTCAAACGTGGAAGTAACATGCAGTACCAAAGTCCAACAGAGACGGAGCAGCCAGCAGTAGTTTGTATACAGCCTGCCTGAGCCTCCACCACTGAAGAAGAAGCCCTTCAGCAGCTGGCTTCTTCTGCAGTGCCTGGTTTTTTCTACACTCTGCCTGAAGCGCATGTGTGAAGATGGACATGAGGACGTTTTTTAGACCAAAAGTAGCACGACAGAACCCCAGCTTTGATTAGACTGGTGTTGACTCAGGTTTGTGAGTCTTATTTGAAAATATTTGTTGTGCTGCTGGTTTGCCTAAAGTTAGCTTACTATCAGGTAAAGTTGATGGAGAAAGAAAGGGTATTTACTATCATCTCACACTAAACACTAACAGGAACAATACCCTTACCTTGAAATGCTTAATATGTAGCTTCAGATTAAAAATTATGTGGTACAAGACAAATACATATGTAGACTAGTGCGTGTCACGTGTGTGTGTGTGTGTGCGCGCGTGTGTGTGTGTGTTAAGCCCCGGATCTTCTTTAGTCCTTAATCCACCCCTGATGGAAACCCTTTCTCCCTATCTCAGCCTGGGCAGGACTGTGACCGGTGAAGGCCGTGGAACTGCATCTAGGAGTCAATGTGCTCTCTAACCCATTATCTCCCTCCCCTTTCCAAATGGAGGTGATGAGCGCTGCTCTTGCGGCTGCATGCTCTGAAGTGAGGAGAGTCCCCAACCCTACCTCCCCACCTAGTGGACACTTATGTTGTGTATCGTCTGAAGTCTGTGTGCATATCTGTCTGAGGTGTTTTTTTGCATAGCAAAGCTATCCTCTCTGTCAGGGGTTACTCTGAAGTGCCATTTTCCACCTACCCCTCACTCTATCCTCATATAAACCCTCTTGATCTATAACGGTAGCACGACTCGCATTGCGAATGACCACAGTCACCAATTCATGTCACGTGTCTATGTATGTATGTCTGATCTTGGAATTGTGTGTACTGAAACAACAGAATTTCCCTCTGGGATTAATTAAGTATTTTTGAATTGAATTGAATTGAATTGAAGTGTCATTTGGTCCACCTTAGATCTGGTCCAGCTCTCAACTACAACACTTGGACTCTTCAGACCTTAACTAGATTATTCTACAATAACAATAAAATCTATAAAAGGCAGATGGTAAAATGTGAAATCTTTTGTAGATTAGTAAAAGTCCAAAGAAGGCAACTTTCCTCAGTTTTGTATAGTGAATTTCAATTATCATGCTAGCAACATGTTTTTTCAGTACTACAGGTTTAAAAACTGTAGGCTATTTATTTTCGTCACCCATGAAAAGACATTTTTGTAATTAGAGCAGATTAAAGATGAAGGAACTGGAAAAATTAGCTGGATTTAACCTTTCCACATCAGAAACTAGAAAGGGAACCAATTCAGCTTTGAACAAAACTAACAACAACAATAAATGAAAAAACTAAAACAGGAAGAAAGAATAAATGAAAGAGTTTGCCAAATTATTGAGCAAACCAATCTAATTTAAAAGTTGTGGCCATGCTTGCGACCCTCTAAACTACCTCACCATGCATTTTGCTTAATCTGCAATTATGATAAGCCACCAGGGAGCTGCAGGTAATGTACCCCGGTGGTGTATGCATAAGTGCTTTAAGCTCATATGTGTTTAAGCCAATTTAATATTACACTCTTGAAAAAAGAACCACCTGTTGCAATATAAAATATTAAAATGTTTTTTTATTATTTTAATTAATTAAGTATTGAAATACTGTAATTCAATGCAAGTAACTTGTGGCTATCAGCTTGTATAAGCACACATATTATATAAGGTAAGCAACTTTTGAGTTTTACTGTTTAAACATGATACTTTGGACTATTCAAGATGTTTCCAGCCAGTGAATGGGGACATACAGCGTGGAAAGCAACAGAGTTGTAAAAGTCTGCAAAGTACCGCGCATGTGGTACTCAAAATTTGTGACATTTTTTTTACTTCCTCAGAAGTCATCCAAATATCTTATTACATTTTAGATCAATAATTCCTCACTGCAGCTGTTCGAATTACAAATGTGTTTTTCCAACAGGCAAGACGTGGATAGGTCTATATGATGACGTGATAAACGGCTGGAAATGGTCTCAATCTAACAGCAGCTTCTATGGTGACGGACAGACAACTTATAGGAACTGGTATCCTGGATACCCAAACAACTATGCAGCCCAACAGCAATGTGTCACCATATATAATTACGACTATTTAGGCAGGTGGATGAACTATCCTTGCAACTACCAACTACCTTTTGTGTGCTATAATGGTAAGTTTTTACACCTTTAACAAAGAAAATGTGTTTGTATCATTTCATTTGCTGAAATATTTAATTTTAGATAAGTAGTAATAAATATTGCTTCATTTGAGGTTAGGTCATATCTTCATATTAACTTACTGTTTTGTATAAATGACTGCAGTGACTTGGCTTAGAGAAGCTGTTATCATTTTATCTTCTTACAGGTGAAATAAACGGCTCACCGTCGTTTGTTTTAAGATATGAATATCTAAATTGGACTGATGCTCAAAACGTCTGCAGGAAGAATTATGTTGGCCTGGCCAGGTACAGCTAACACACATTAATACTGTATGATTACAGCTCTGTGGACATAATATTTGGCCAATTAAAGATTTCTTCTGAGTTTGCTCCTTGGTTGCATTTATGTTTCAGATCAGTAAATTAATTCCAACATTAAATAAATAACCTGTGTATAAATAGAATGCAGTTTTCAAATTATGATTTAATTTATTATTGGAACAAAGCCATATCAACCAGGCTTAAAAAAATCATTTGCTTCCTAAACAACTACAAACAATCATTTGTGATAACATGAGTTTCTCATAGCTGTAGAGGTAATTTGAACATGGAGCTCAATCATTGTTTCCTCTGTGGTCCTCTTTCTAGTCCCCACTGCTTCAAACTGCAGACCATAAGTACTTCATGTCCTCTACCTTGCCTATATCTGCTCCCTGTAACATGATTTTACATGTTGTACATTGACGTGAGTACACAAGTACAGACAAGTATACTATAGGGAGCCTAGGTCACTTCAGCACCATGGCTCCCTGGAAGAATGAAAAAAATAAATGCTAGTCAACGGGGCTAAAAAAATAAATTTTCTAATCCGCTTTGCCTTAGGCCCCGGATCACACAAATGTTGTACTGCAATTTAAATTAAAAGTAGTGATGGGTGTTTCAACCATGCCAGTCACGTGCTTTGAGATTTATTAGCTTGTAAAAGTTCGTAATTAACTCGACTACAAACTAGAAATCGGCACGTCGCATGTGTGACGTCACCACACAATCTCCTCTCCTCAAAGTAGTTTCTACTTACCAAATGACCAGATTTATGGTGGATCTTTCCTCCTGTGGGAAGTTTGCTGAACATACAGTTTTTTCCCCTCAGTTTTCTCCGTGTCTGGTTCGATGACATGAAGCGCATTTGTAGTCCTGGACTTATTTTCACACAAAACCTAAAATAGCATTTACCCCTGTTCGAAAATAAGCACGTTCTTGGTATCAAAATGCGTCTTTAAAATTCACGGACATCATATGTGAAATCCATGGCACAAAACAAGTGGAATAGAAAATAGTGTTTTTAGCCCCATTGACTTGCATTCATTTTTTCATTCTTCCGGAGACCCACGATGCGGAAGTCTACTCCTCCCTTTCCGGTCGGCTCATGGGTCCCCGGAAAGAACGAAAAAATGAATACAAGTCAACGGGGCTAAAACCGTCATTTTCTAATCAGTTTTGCCTTGGGCCCTAGATCGCACATACGTTGTACTTATATTTAAATGAAAGCTAATGATGGGTGTTTCGACCATGCCAGTCACATACTTTGAGATTTATCAGCTTGTGAAAGTTCGTAATTAGCATAACTACAAATCAGACGTTGGCATGTCACATATGTGACATCACCACATAATCGCCTCTCCCCTAGCATAGCTGCTCCTTACCAAATGGCCACATTTATGGTGTTTTTTTTTCCTCCTGAAGGAAGATTTAAAGTTTACTGAACTTACAGCCATTTTCTCTCTCACCTCATAGTTTCTCAACTTCTCTGTTGTGTATTCTCTCCATCGTGATAATAACGGCGCACCGAGCAAAAGGGAGCAGGTGTCTCATGGTAAACCATCCCTGTGTCACTGAAGAAAATTCAGATGAGCCACAGAGCTGTGTGTTTAAACGGGACGGTAGTTGAAACTCCCGTTGACTTTATTTCCCAAATACAGGAAAAGCCAAAGTGTCTGACGGCTGCAGAACCAGAGATGGCAGGTTGACGCCTGCGCCATCTCTAGTAGAAGCGTGAGCCTGCAGCAATATGAAAGCAGCAGACGTAAATCGGCGGTCTCCAGCTCTGCAGCTGTACTTTTGTCTTCGGCCCGGCCGAAAACGGTTTATGATTGGTCAGTCCTCGTGCACATGTGCGGATAATCGTTCTCTTTCCTTACTCCCGGAAGAACGGTTCAGAGTGCAAATGGTTTCTTTGTTGCTAATCTGTGGGGAATATCTACAAGAAAGTTCCACAGAAAGTAGCAACGGGTCCTGAGAAATGTTGCTAGGTTTGTCGCTAGGCGTTTTTTTTTTGGGGGGGGGGGGATGGGGGTGGCGGGGGTCGTTGACGGGTCAAAAAGTCGTTGGGAACAGTGACAAAGTTGCTGAGTTGGCATCACCGTGCGTGACTTAGGCTCCATATCGAGAAATGGCCCTGGTTCCACAGGCATCTTTTTGATTAGTGTAAGCACTGCTGCCATGTAGTGACTGGGGATAGTTTAGCATACCAGCATGAAACATTTAAAACACAATGGAATATCCTGCATGTCTTTTGTGTACCTGTTAGGTTTCTTGAATCTTTCACAGTGGGTTCAGGGATCTTCACATGTGAATAACACACTCTGGACTTAATACTCTCTTCTGGTCTTCAGTCCATTGATGTGGATAGCCTGAGCCCCATTTTTTCAGACCACTATCTGGTTTGGTGTAATTTTAGTCTACCGTCTCCACAGGTTCCAACTTCTTTTCCTGAGAGGCACAGTCATGCTGTGAATCCTGCTAGGGTGGCAAGATTCAGTGAGTGTTTTAGTGTAGCAGGGTTAGGGTTAACCCTCTTCTCTAAAGCTTAATTTATACTTCTCCATCTGCGTCGGTGCAAAGGCTCTCCAGCAGGCTCGCAAGGACAGACAAAGTCAAGCCCACTTTTGTAAACCTCCATCCATGAGATGGAATACGCAAGCTTGTGATTAATCAGGACACCGCTGTTGTCAACAGTTCCGCCATTACCCCCTCAGAAACATAAAGAAAGCCGAAAATATCTAGCAGCAGATATGGAGCAGCTTGAAGAATACCTCGCGGAAAACTCTAAAAATATGAATGTTTGATTCACTCATGATTGGAGGAGTGAAAATATATGAAGCAAGCATTTTATTTGTGGAATGAAATGATGGCAAACATGGGTTTAGCAGTGGCGAGTGTATGAAAAGGTGGAGGAGAATGGGGGACAAATTTGTCTGTGTTAAAAAGTCTCCTAAATACAAAAAAAAAAAAAAAAACACAATAGTAAATGCACTAACTTGGACCAGATACATGATACCCCAGATACTCTGGATACCCCAGAACAGCCCTACACCCTTTGTTGTCCTGGCAGGGAATTGGTTTTGCAACACTCCCCAGGAGACGGAGAAATCAGAGAGCAAAATGTCTCTGTCCATGTGTGCGTCTCCCTCGTGGAGCTGACAGAGAAGTATAAATTAGACTTCAGCCCAGCTCCCTTTGAAGAGATCATTACTCATTTTGATGTACATCTGTTTTGTATCATTTTTCCTAGGGCTGTACGATATTAGGAAAACCTGTGATTTTCTATAACAATGATTAATATTGCAATGACGATATTACTTGTGATAAATAAAAACTTAACTCAGGAACAAAAATAATCGAAAACAAATAAATAAATAAGTAATAAAAATGAGAAAAGCAAAAGATGTGAGGAAAGGGAAAAAGAAAATGAACAAGAAAAGACAATCCGTGGATCCCAGGAAAAGCAGAACGCTGACAATTTTTCTAAATCACATTTGACAATATTTTATATTTGTAAATAATTACAAAAGCTGCACTAACGTTCAGTTCTTCTCATGTAATGCTAATATGCTTTTCTCTTTTATGTTACAGAGTTCAGAATCAGAGCGAAAATGACATAATCCGTAACCAAATAGGTTACACACATGCATGGATTGGTCTGCATTGGGAGAAGTCCTGGTCTGATGGCAGCAGCTCTCTGTTTCGATACTGGGCGGACAATTATCCTACAAATTACTATGGTTCAAAGTGCACAGCTGCAGCCTTTAATGACTCAGGAAAATGGTCTGATGAAGAGTGTCAAAGTAGTTTACCGTTCATCTGCTACAAAAACGGTAATGTATCTTTCACCCTCTCACATATTCATTAGATGCTCTTTTATAAACACAGTGGTTGCGTTGCAACTGTGCTTAACTTAAGAAGGTAACCCGATGTATTCTCGAGCTCTGTGTGACTCTGTTGGGGCCAATAATAATCAATTAACATTAGCACACTCTAGTGGTCACTGCTCATAGCAGCATGCACTGCTTCTCAGTACAATACACCACACACCAGAGTTATGTGAGTCTTGTTCATCTGTGCAATATTACACATTGGAAATTAAATGAAAACGATCAAATATGAGGTCATTTTGCCAGAGAGTGATTATCTTAGAAATTCTCTTGATTATCAAAAACATATGAGAATCAACGGTAAAGTGGACTTTCAAAATTATTTCCTTTATGAAGCAAACAAATCCTAACAGTTGCACCTCCAACAACGAGTCTGTCAAGCTGATCAAGTTTGCAGACAACACCACCGTCATCTGACTCATCTCTGACAGAGATAAGTCTGCCTACCGAATGGAGGTGGAACAGCTGTTGTCCTGGTGCAGCCACAACAACCTGATGCCAAAAACCCAGAAGGCAGCAGAGGTTGAGGTGGACTTTAGGAAGCACACAGCTCCACTCTCCCTATAACCCTGTCGGACACTCCCATCATGATGGTGGACTCATGTCGCTTCCTGGGCACCACCACCACCCAGGACCTCTCGTGGGAACCCACCGTCACCTCCGTCATTAAAAAAAACAAGCCCAGCAGAGGATGTAAATGGTAAATGGCCTGTATTTGATATAGCACCTTCTAGAGTCATGGAACCCCTCAAGGTGCTTTACAACACAATCAGTCATTCACCCATTCACACACACATTCACACACTGGTGGGGATGAGCTACGATATAGCCACAGTTGCCCTGGGGCGCACTGACAGAGCCGAGGCTGCCGAGCGCTGGTGCCACCTGTCTCTCTGACCACCACCAGCAGGCAACGTGGGTAAAGTGTCTTGTCCAAGGACACAATGACAGCGACAGACTGAGCGTGGCTCGAACCTACAACCTTCCGATTACGGGGCGAGCACTTAGCTCCTGTGCCACTGTCGCCCCCAATCCCTCCCTACACTGTCTTGTAATTTCCTGAGGCAGCTGAAGAAATTCAAGCTGCCGCTGCCAGCACAGTCGATGAGGCAGTTCTACACCGCAGTCATCGAGTCCATCCTCACCTCTTCAGTCAATGTGTGGCATGCTGGAGCTAACACCAGGGACTAGAAGAAGCTGCAGTCTGTTGAGCGCTCTGCTGAGAAGGTTACTGGCTGCAAATCCCCCTCCATACAGGACCTGAACACCTCCAGGACATTGAGGCATGCAGGTCGGCTAACAGCTGACCCGTCTCACCCTGGACACAGTCTTTTAGACTCGCTCCCATCTGGCAGCAGGCTCAGATCCATTCGGACCAGAACTTCTCACCACAAGAACAGTTTCTTCTCCTCTGCTCTTGGACTCATGAATAACACTCCTAGGTCTGCCCACTCCAGTCGCTTGGTTTCAGTCACATGACCCCGTGTTGTGTTGTATTTGTACCTGAACTGAAATGCTCTGATCAGTCCCTACACTGTCTTGTATATAGTAGCTGTTTCTCTAAGTATTGTCACTTTATATTATTATTGTATCATGATTATATTCTTACTTCCTATGTTTTCTTATCTCTTATTTTTATTTTCCTTTTTTTGCACCAACTACCACAGCAATTTCCTAATGTTGTGATTCTCACATACATGGCAATAAAACCTTCTGGTTCTTATTATGATTCTTCTTCTCAAACCAACCTGATCTGTATGAGTAACCAACTCAGACACTTATTTGAGCTGCTTTATCGTGTCTTTTGAACCACTTTCATTTTCATTTTGAGTACATGTATCCAATGCGCTTAAGGCAATTTTCCACCTCTGTGGAAACAAAAGACATATTTTATGCTCGGATTCACTTTACCTGTTCTTCATAAGTGGTTTGTCAATGTAATGCAATGTTTCTAAAAAAATCAGTTCTTTAAACAGGGATAAAAGAAATCACATCAATAGTAATGATTTCAAATTTAAATTGAAGAAATTCTATTTAAAATAATAAATATTTCAGTCTTTGATTTTGATTTTCCATTCTGTTTTTAAATAGTAGATTATCTATAGGAGAGATAACCTTCTTAGGTTGCGTTCAGTATTATATTAAAGTATTAGAGTATTCTCAACATTTACAGGTGCTGGCCAGTAAATTAGAATATCATCAAAAGGTTGAAAATATTTCAGTAATTCCATTCAAAACGTGAAACTTGTACATTATATTCATGCAATGCACACAGACCAATGTATTTCCGATGTTTATTACGTTTAATTTTGATATTTATAGGTGACAACCAATGAAAACATCAAATCTGGTATCTCAGAAAATTAGAATATTCTAAAGGCCAATGAAAAAATGTTTGTTTCTCTAATGTTGGCCAACTGAAAAGAATGAACATGAAAAGAATGTGCATGTATAGCACTCAATACTTAGTCGGGGCTCCTTTTGCCTCAATAACTGCAGTAATGCGGCGTGGCATGGACTCGATCAGTCTGTGGCACTGCTCAGGTGTTATGAGAGCCCAGGTTGCTCTGATAGTCGTCTTCAGCTCCTCTGCATTGTTGGGTCTAGCGTATTGCATCCTCCGCTTCACAATACCCCATAGATTTTCTATGGGGTTAAGGTCAGGCGAGTTTGCTGGCCAATCAAGGACAGGGATACCATGGTCCTTGAACCAGGTGCTGGTGGTTTTGGCACTGTGTGCAGGTGCCAAGTCCTGTTGAAAGGTGAAGTCTGCATCCCCATAAAGTTGGTCAGCAGCAGGAAGCATGAAGTGCTCTAAAACTTCCTGGTAGACGGCTGCATTGACCCTGGACCTCAGGAAACAGAGTGGGCCAACACCGGCAGATGACATGGCACCCCACACCATCACTGACGGTGGAAACTTTACACTGGACCTCATGCAACGTGGATTCTGTGCTTCTCCGCTCTTCCTCCAGACTCTGGGTCCTTGATTTCCAAAGGAAATGCAGAACTTGCTTTCATCAGAAAACATAACTTTGGACCACTCAGCATCAGTCCAGTCCTTTTTGTCCTTGGCCCAGGCGAGACGCTTCTTGCGCTGTTCCATGTTCAAGAGTGGCTTGACACACGGAATGCGACACCTGAATCCCATGTCTTTCATGAGTCTCCTCGTGGTGGTTCTTGAAGCGCTGACTCCAGCTGCAGTCCACTCTTTGTGGATCTCCCCCACATTTTTGAATGGGTTTGTCGTCACAATTCTCTGCAGGGTGCGGTTATCCCTAGAGCTTGTACACTTTTTTCTACCACATTTTTTCCGTCCCTTCGCCTGTCTGTTAATGTGCTTGGACACAGAGCTCTGCGAACAGCCAGCTTCTTTAGCAATCACCTTTTGTGTCTTGCCCTCCTTGTGCAAGGTGTCAATGATTGTCTTTTGGACAGCTGTTAAGTCAGAAGTCTTCCCCATGATTGTGGTGCCTTCAAAACAAGACTGAGGGACCTTTTAAAGGCCTTTGCAGGTGTTTTGAGTAAATCAGCTGATTAGAGTGGCAGCAGGTGTCTTCTATATTCAGCCTTTTCAGAATATTCTAATTTTTTGAGATACCAAATTTGGAGTTTTCATTAGTTGTCACTTATGAATATCAAATTTAAATGTAATGAACATTGGAAATACATTGGTCTGTGTGCATTGCATGAATATAATGTACAAGTTTCACGTTTTGAATGGAATTACTGAAATATTTTCAACCTTTTGATGATATTCTAATTTACTGGCCAGCACCTGTATAATGGAAATCTAAAATTCTGTCAATTTAGCGACAATGTTCATCGCCGCCTCCAGAGGTCACCAAGTCCTGCGTTTTTATTTGAGAGAAAGGGATCAGAATCATTAGTATTGTTGTTTGTGACTGTTATGGTTAGTATAAGCAGTATTACTTGTTTCATGGGTTGTATTTAATTTTATTCTCAATTCTACCTGATGCAGATTTCCATCCATCAGAACAAAATGAGACCAGCATCTCTCTGCAGTGGAGTAAAGTCAACAACAATATCAGCTTTGTTCTCCAGTTTAATGGAACAGAGACCAACATCAGTGCACCAGATGGAGACGGACCAGTAACTTACACAGTCTCATCTCTGACTGCTGGATCTAAATACACATTCACTCTGTTATCTGTGTTTGAGAACATCAGGAGCTCTGGAGTACAACTTACAGCTGCTACTGGTAAGATGTTTTAAATACGGATGTCCCGATCAGGTTTTTTTGCCCTCGAGTCCGAGGCGGAACGAATGCCGCAAAATTCGTGCAACACCATGCAGGCCTGGAGTGTTTATAGGCATACCATTGCGGTAATATTGCGCCAATTTGCTGGCATGGTGTGTCTTATAAAAAGGGCTCCTGACTAGTGTCAGGGTCTTTACAGCAATCCTCATACTAAGCAAGCATGCGGCGACTGTGGAGAGGAAAACTCCCTTTTAACAGGAAGACACCTCCAGAGGATCCTGGCTCTGTATAAGCAGCCATCCACCACAACTCACTGAGGATCGAAAAGACAGAGCAGACCTGCTGAGGGTGAGACAGGGAGCACCAGACCTGCTGAGGAGCTGGTAGGTGCTACAATGGAGTGAGATTTTAGATGGTTGATGACGAGAGGAAGACTCGAGCATGATAACAAGTGAACACGACTAAATAATACTATAACAACCATGATTTTAATATTGCACTAGTCCTCCAGCGATATTTTTTACTCCTTATTCATGTCCACTGTTTTTATATTAGAGATCAGATCAAGTTCAGAAGGAACCTGCTGACGGTGAGACAGGGACAGCCAGACCAGCTGAGGGTGAGACAGGGAGAGCCAAACCTGCTGAGGGTGAGACAGGGAGAGCCAGACCTGCTGAGGGTGAGACAGGGAGAGCCAGACCTGCTGAGGGTGAGACAGGGAGAGCCAGACCTGCTGAGGGTGAGACAGAGAGAGCCAGACCTGCTGAGGTGCTACAGTGAAGAGTGAGATGATTTTAGGTTGCTGATGAGAGGAAGATTTGAATGTGATAATAAGTGAACACAGTTGAATGTATTTAATCCCAACAAGTAGAGCTGGGCAGTACGGCTTAAGAATAAAATAAATGCTTCCTTAGAAATATTAGAAAAATAAGTGTTAAACTGTATTCTGGTGCATTTAGACTGCAATTTTGGCCACTGTTTTTTCTTTTGCCCGTCTGAAAATTAACGTAGTTCCAGCTGTTGTTGTGAGTGTCAGAAGCTAACAGATTTTTCTGATTGTTGGTCAGCATTGTTGGCTGATGTAGTTTAAAATATTCTGATGAGAGTCAGATCGATTCAGACTGAATATTCACAGCTTTAGTCTTGTATTAAATCTGTTTACACATCTCTACCCATATGTATAATATATCCTACATTCATACTATTAAATAAAAATAAAACAGTACTGACACATAAACAGCTTTTTTATCATTAAAACGTCCACGTTGGCTGGTAATCACCTGGATTTAGCTAATGGGGAGCCTAAGTCTCCTCCCCTTCATAATGGTCAAATAATGCATTTATCTTCTGTGTCTGGTATACCTTAAGCCATTCCAGGTTTATGTTCTCCCTTCGCTGGTTGAGGTCCTTGGTGAAGGCAGCCTTGAATCGCACACTATAGGCAGGATCATCATCTGAGATCTTCATTGCGTGCTGGAGGTGGCACAGGGCAGGTAGAGCCACAGAGCAGGATACATAGTTTCCCCACCAAGCAGCTCAGTAATGTACCACACACACACACACACACACACACACACACACACACAAACACGCACATGGAGAGAGAGAGAGAGAGAGAGCGTAATAAATAATTAATGATCAATTCATTTGACTCCGATTACACATTTTTTAAATTTTTAATCACATTGCATTTAAGGGCAGATGGTTCTTAGATACAAAAGTGACATTTCAAAGAACTTGTATGCCAATTCATGAACATCTGAATTATCTTTGTAGACCATACCTGCATGGCTCCAGCATTTTCTCCAGCAAGATTGTGCAAGATTGTGCTTCTGCTGAGACAGCGTTGTTTGCAGAGCGTCTCTGTTTCGCCTCACGCGTTTGACCATCTCAAGGGTGGAATTCAACATCTCGCACAAGTTGTTCCTGTTCTTGTCCAATGGAGGCTTGCTGGGCATTCAGCTCGTCTGAGTTTGCTGGACTGTGTTTGAAATGTCCGACCACTTTACGCCACTTGACCAGAACGCCATCAAAACCACTTTCCCGAAGTGACACTACTATAGCTCTCTGAATAACATGTGCAACGCAGGGCAAATGCTCGAATGGCAGCATCCTCCCTGCTGCCACCATATTACGAGCGCTGTCTGTTCCAATAGTGCTGGTTTTGGCAGCTAAGCCCCCACTGATTAGCAATGTCAAGAAACTGACTGGCACATGCGTCTGCAAATTGGCGCTCCTCTGTTTTCATCACACCTAACGGTCAAACAAAGATCAGAATAAGTTCACAAGCAGTAAACAACTAGCAATCATTAAGAAGCAAACATAATGTGGTGGTAATTCATGGTGTTGTGCTAATTAATAAGTAGGCTAATTAAATTAAATTGTACAACAGTTAGTTCTAACCAAGTCATTTGATTGGACAAGAGACATTCCTTGAGTGCTGATATTGGAGTACAACAGCACTGGGACATTTTACAGACAATATCAGGCATTCTAATGTTATGTTGTGTTATTTTTGTGTTGCCTGGCAACAGCTTTTTAGCTGAAACTATTTGTGTTGGCGGAACTAAATAAATGATGGAATAAACTAACAAATTATAATCTTATGTCACTTATTATTGTTAAATAAGAAAATTTGCTCTTAGAACTGTTGTATAAAAACAATATCACATGAGAGGGAGTGCTGTTGTGCCAAATATCAGCACTGGTGTGATTATTTACCTATTAATGATATGAATCACACAAATGCATATGTTCAACACAACAGCACTCCCTCTTGCGTGATATTGGTTAATTATGAAATTTAAAAGGACACAGCCTACCTAAAACAAAGGAGTGAAGTTCCCAGCTGGCATGGATGAGGTGTGCAGTAACACCGAGGTAGTTATCATTACACAAGTTGCCTCCACCAACTTCTCATCTTTCGCGGCTTTCTCTGTTGTATGCTGGTCGTGTATTTTCCTCACGATTGTTCGCCTCGCAGGTAGTTTGTAGGATGAGTCAGCTGTGGCCTCCTGGAGAACAAGCTTGAGCCCATCATCTTCGATCACGCTGATGGGTCGGCAGCTCGTGGCAATCCACTGAGCAAGGAGATTAGTGAGCTTACTTGATAAAGCTGCACTGATGGGCTTGCCTCGGTTGCACTCAAACATAGTAGTTTGACGAAAACTCTTCCCCTGCGCAACACTTGGCCCAGCATCTTCCAAATTAGCTAAGGGATGCTTAGCGTTTAGGTGGTAGATGAGACTGGAAGAACTTCTACAGTAAACAAATTCCGCATTGCACAAGGTGCAAACAACTTTAGCCTTGCCAAGGTTTCCATTGGGAAGCTTCTTAAAAATAAATTTTCCCTGGAGCAAACCCAGCGGCTTCATAGGTGCATCCATGTCGGCGTGTCACGTTTGAAGATTCCTCTGGCATTAAAGATGTTCTCTTTCGCGCGTATACATCCGCGCCTTATATGTCGTCGATCCGCACCGAGTATACATCCGCGCAATTTGAAGAATAGATTAACGGCGTCATTTTTTTAATTGCGCGATAAGAGTCTGGCTTTGCCGCAGCACGTTAACACCGATAACGGCCCACCCCTACTGAATACACATTACTGATTATCATGAATAATAATAATTATTATTAACCCAAAGAATTATAAGTCATTTCAGTAATTCAAAAACATTTATACTGAATCAAGAGATTATTTATGATGATTATAATAACAGTAATAAAGTCAAAGAGTTTATTTAAATTATTATTTAAAAATTATTATTGCGATCTTGAAGTGTCCTTCATCCTGGGACGGAACAGCAGCAGATTTAGATGATATTCAGCAGACATCATGGCTCCTCACTTGTTTAATCTGTGGGGCAAAGTTACAGTCGACCCAGATGACCCAGCTGGGAAAATGTGACCTTTGTCACAAATTAGAGGACCTTCGTGACGCTACACAGCTTCTTCTGGGGAGAAAAACACTTGGAGAAAAAAATCAAGTTAACAGCTGAAATAGCAGGAAATAATACAGTTAAAGAGCAAATTGTAGAAGAACGTACTAGAGTGTGGAAAGTGGTCAATATGTCCTCCAGCAGTCTAAGCCTATAGCAGCATAACTACCGAGATAACTCTGGATAACCTAGCCTTTTGGATGGAGGCATGTTGGAGGCAGGGCAAGGGAGAACCGTCTTTACCAACAAATTGACATAGTGGCCTAAAGTGTCCCAGGAGAAGGGTGGAGTCCTAGCCTGGCAAGCCATTTAGTCTGGCAGTGCTCCATTTTTTTTTATTTTTATTTATTTAACCTTTATTTACCCAAGAAAAAAAGGTCCCATTGAGATTTAAAACCTCTTTTTCAGGGGAGTCCTGCAGCAAACATCACACAAATATACAAGACAAAATTTACAATTTAGACTTGTATGAAAACAATGTAAAATAAAACTTCTTAGAACAAAGTTAAGTAAAATATTTTAAACTTTAAACAAGCCCAAAAATAAAAACAGTCTAAATAAAACAGTTGCATGTCATTGAGTTGCTCTCAAGATTTCTTAGTTTAGATTTAAAAACATTCAATGAAATAAACTCTGTCATCTTCCATTTTTCCTGCAACTCATTCCAAGCTGATGTCGCTGAATAGACAAAAGCTCTCTTTCCAAGTTCAGTACGTACAAATGGGACAGAAAGCAGCAAAGTGTCTTGTAGACGAAGAGAATAACGACCTGCAATTTTCTTTTTAAGTAGGGAAGTTAGCTAGCCTAGTGAACTAGACCAAAGGCTAGCAGTTAGGAAGGTAGCAGACCAAGTATTGACAGCTCTCTGTCATGGGGCGGGTTCTACTGTTGTCTTTCAAACAATCACCGCATGCTACTAGACAATGAACAACAAGTTAAGTGGAGTCCAAAACTCGACCATAGACAGTCACACACAAAAACAATCACACACTCCCACCCTCATGCTCACACATAAACACATACAACCTCAAGACCTGAATGAACATCAAACACCCACTCACAACTCCCCATACACACCCTACACACTCTAGTCCAGGTATTGCTCCACAGCAGGCACATCCATTACCGGACCCAGGAGATGGTCCCAATCTTACTGGGAGCAGGGCACCCCATCCAACACAAGGCAAAGCAACCCACTAGCCCAGACCCCAATCAGATAGCCAGCACTCACTCCCAGCCTCAAGCCTCGAGCATTTAACTGAGAACAGAGGTGTGAGAAGACCCCTAGTCTCCCTCCACCTGCTCCAATGTGCTGCCAATGCGTGTTGTTTTAGGGTGCATTTAACCGGCGGGGATATTCAGATCACTCTTATCACATCACAATATCTGCATCAACAATACATTTGTATGGGTAATGATATAACAGTACAAGGAGCTCTGCTGAGTCAACTTATCTCTCAGATTCTATAACCCTTCCACTTTCCGATGAGGTGACCCTGCCAGGACAGGGGGTGGTTAAACAGGGTTTAAAGTTTATGCTTTGGCAGGGGTGAAGTGATGCACCCCTTAAAAAATATTAAAATAAAAAATAAATATACACCAGAGGTCAATCTGACCCCATTAACAATGCAGTAGGGTTAAGCAAATTGTATGTTTTTCTTTTTTTTCTTTCAGCTCCTCTAAATGCAGATGGGTTCAGAGCATCGGGACAAGATGAGACCAGCATCGCTCTGCAGTGGAATAAAGTCAGTAATGATGTCAGTTTTGTTCTCCAGTTTAATGGAACAGAGTTAACTTATTCTGCACCAACTGGAGATGGACCAGTAACTCACACAGTCTCGTCTCTAACTGCTGGAACTAAATACACGTTCACTCTGTTCTCTGTATTTGAGAACGTCTGGAGTTCTGGAGTCAGCATCACTGCAGCTATTGGTGAGATATTGTACTTCACTTTTGTTAACGGTACACTAAGTGCTTTAACACCCTCTAGTGACTGTTAGAAATCCCTTTCAAAGAAATTGTTCTCCTATCCTTGTTGTGCGCCTGTGTTTTTAACATCTCAATCTAAATGCTGAAAGTTCTCTCCAGCCTTCATCAGTTTTTACAGGAGTGGTTCATCCTTGATTCAAACTAATCAAATCTGTTTAAGCAGGAGAGATCCAAAACATGCAATAATCATTTGCTGGAATCAGAATCAGATTTATTGTCAATGCCCCAGCATCCTGAAGCATTGAAAATTGTCTCCACAGCACAGCCTGACCAAAGTTAAACACACAGACATGTAGAACAAAAAAAAGGCATTCCAGAGTTACCTCCGACAGGGGTTTGCAGAGCAAGAAAACTTACTAATTATCACCCACTCACTACAGTTAGGGTACAGTCCTCCAGCTCCTCTGACTTGACCTGAGCAGCTGCAAAGGCGGAAATATGCACACATGCTCAGTGGGCATTATTTTACCCCAACAATCTGAATGAGTGTTTGTATAGACATCAATCGGACTGACGATCGGACAAAACCACCTCTCTCAATCGGAATGGAATTTCATTTCGATCAGGCCGTTTTGGATCAATATATTCTGATTGACATGTTTACATAAAGAATTTTTGATCTGATAGGCGTTCATTCCGATTACTTGTGCCCATGTAAACCTAGCTTCTGCATTAGATCAGTAGTTCCCAACCTTTTTTTTTTCTTGAGGGCACTCTTGCCTGAGTCCAGGACACTTCAGGACCCCAACCCGCATACACACATTGAAAGTACCTAATTATATTCTACATACAGAGATCCAGAATTATAGCTAGTTTTGATCATACTATTGGGTTTGATATTGGGATTTTATAAATGTCATTTTTACAATTATTTACAAGTAAATTCTCACAACCTCAGCATAGAATAAACTGGGGGGGTCCCACAGATTGGGAATCACTGCATTAGAAGGCTCTATCACCCTCGTTTAAGCTCTGGTATTTCACCAGGAAACCATTTTGTGGTTTAAATATTTATCTTTTTTTCAAACAGCTAAATGTGCAAATTACTCTGCTAGTGTACGTGTATTTCTGCTGCTGCTGTATCCCTCCTCCTGATCAGAGTCTCATGTTGCCAGTTTTCTGGTTCTCCACTCAGGCAGATGGATACAGAAGAAAGATTGAACATATAAGAAAACTACTTATTATGAGTGATCTAGAGGTGGGGTCCTAATTATTGAACATTGTCTGACTGAACATCGCCTGAAATTAGGTGGCATATCCCTTTGAGGCACTGCAAACACAAAGGGGCCATGCAAATGAAAGTTGGCTTTGCTAATGGCTTTAAAGGCAGGCAAAATATCTGAGTCTGAGTTTTTGAAACATCTTTACATCAGTTTTATAAAAACTCAATATTTGTTCCTGCAGCTCTGTTCAATGCAGCCTTTGCCCAAAATCACCAGTACTATTTTGTGAACACACCAAGAAGCTGGAGAGAGGCTCAGACTATCTGCAGACGAGACTACACTGACCTGGCTACAATAACAAACATGGATGATGTTGCTGCTGTTGTCAACACCACCTCAAGTTATAAAGGTGAGTTAGTGAAATAGCAAGAGAGCCATTAATCACATGTTTTTCCTGATAAACTGTATAAGTGAATGTCTAACAGTGCTGTAGACACATAGTCATTATTTTGGCACTTTGGTGCATCTTACTTCAAATTTCAGCCTAAAACCATCATTATTGCTTTTTCGGGGTTTTCACCTTGGCGGAGTCCAACTCTCACTGGGAACGAGCCCCACTTACTGCCGGTATTACGGACCAAGCTTTGTCATACAGGGACCTAACAGCCTGTATCAAAGAGCCTGGTACCCCATATAAAATGGTAAATGGCCTGTATTTGATATAGCGCCTTCTAGAGTCCTGGAGCCCCCCAAGGCTTTACAACACAATCAGTCATTCACCCATTCACATACTGGTGGGGATGAGCTACAATGTAGCCACAGCTGCCCTGGGGCGCACTGACAGAGGCGAGGCTGACGAGCGCTGGCGCCACAGGTCCCTCCGACCACCACCAGCAGGCAAGGTGGGTTTAGTATCTTGCCCAAAGACACAACGACAGCGACAGACTGAGCGGGGCTCGAACCTGCAACCTTCCGATTACGGGGCGAGCGCTTAACTCCTGTGCCACCGTCGCCCCATACTTTTCTTTATGTTATGATTTCCATAGTATAATGTATCAAAAAAGAAATATAGTTGTTTTTGTCTTTGTCTCCCACAAGCCATCAATTTGACGGCATTTTTGTTTACATGGGAAAGTTTTCCCGTGGAAATAAATAAATAAATACAGTGGGGCAAAAAAGTATTTAGTCAGCCACCAATTGTGCAAGTTCTTCCACTTAAAATGATGACAGAGGTCAGTAATTTTCATCATAGGTACACTTCAACTGTGAGAGACAGAATGTGAAAAAAAATCCATGAATTCACATGGCAGGATTTTTAAAGAATTTATTTGTAAATCAGGGTGGAAAATAAGTGGTCAATAACAAAAATTCAACTCAATACTTTGTAACATAACCTTTGTTGGCAATAACAGAGGTCAAACGATTACTATAGGTCTTTACCAGGTTTGCACACACAGTAGCTGGTATTTTGGCCCATTCCTCCATGCAGATCTTCTCGAGGGCAGTGATGTTTTGGGGCTGTCACCGAGCAACACGGACTTTCAACTCCCTCCACAGATTTTCTATGGGGTTGAGGTCTGGAGACCGGCTAGGCCACTCCAGGACTTTCAAATGCTTGGTGTGAAAAAATCAACTGTGGGAGCAATTATCAGAAAATGGAAGACATACAAGACCACTGATAATTTTTTTTTCACATTCTGTCTCTCACAGTTGGAAGTGTACCTATGATGAAAATTACTGACCTCTGTCATCATTTTAAGTGGGAGAACTTGCACAATCGGTGGCTGACTACATACTTTTTTGCCCCACTGTAAACATATATATATATATATATATATATATATATATATTAGGGGCTGCACGACTTAATTTTTTTAAAGTCGACTGTCAAGTAATGAAAATCGAGTCGACTTTGACTAGTCGTTGATGACATCATACACCTGAAGCGGCGCGGGGGGGTTTGCTGGAGTTTTTGACAATTAAAATTGCGCTCACATTTTCAAAGTTAAACACATCTCTTTTAACAACGGTAGTTTCTGCATCTATACTGCTCCGCTTCAGCTCTCTCCCCCGCGCAGCAGCCGCAAACTCACTGCAGCCTCTCAGAGTTCCTGTTGCTCTAAACATTAAAATAATTATTTCATTTTCTGTTCCTCACATCTGATTACCTTCAATGGTGTCTGTTTGTTGCAACCACCAGGTACAAAAACTAACTTGTTTTTATTTGACTATTTTTCTGTCCTGTCTGTTTATTATCTTCCTGCATCTCCTCTCAATCCTAAAGAGAAACTGCTACATTCACCTTATTAGTTACCTTTGAACTGCGGTTCTAAAAGATCTTCCGACTGCAAAAACAGCGGAGTGCGCGCTGCTCGCCGGCCGCACCAGTGAGGTGCTTCACCGGAGGACAAAACAGGTGATGCGCCCCGCTCCACAGCAGCGAAAAGCATCAGGAACAAATAAAAGACAGAAAACACAAAAGGAAATGAGCCGACATGAACGATCGTGTGGTAAATCTGTTTTTGAGGTGGTGACACCTAATTTGATAATGTTACTGTGGCCATGCTCAGGAGGACGCAGATGTCTGGAGCGCGTCAACGATCAGAGCTTTGCATGCGCAAGCTGGTTAAGGATAGGATGGGGGTGAGGGGAAGGTTAAATTGCAAGAGGGTAAAGGTCACAATTTGGTTAAATGTCTGTTTTACGGCGGGTGTCAGTACCGACGCTCTGGCACAGCGGATTGCCTCCCGACGTGCAGGAGCTTGTCACCTGCTGTCTTTTCCGAGGACTGCACCTTGTCAGACATTATCACGTGACAGCGTCAGCGACTAGTCAATGACGGGCATAAAAAGTCACTACAGAGCAGTGAAGTCGACTAGTCGACTAGTTCATACAACCCCTAGTATATATATAAATATATATATATATATATATATATATATATATATATACTGTATATATATATATATACAGTATATATATATACTGTATATATATATATATATATATATATATATATATATATATATATACAGTATATATATATATATATATATATATATATATATATATATACAGTATATATATACTGTATATATATATATATATACAGTATATATATATACAGTATATATATATATATATATATATATATATATATATATATATATATATATATATATATATACAGTACAGGCCAAAAGTTTGGATACACCTTGTTCAATGTATTTACATCAAATCAAATCAAAGATACTTTATTAATCCCAGAGGGAAAGAGGCATCACCACTTACATTGGGAGATTCTCACTGAAGGCATATTAACTATGAATTAACACATGTTGAGTTATGTACTTATCCAAAAAAGGTGAAATAACTGAAAACATGAGCTGGAGGACATGGTCTCTAGAATGAGATGAGCAGCAGGAACTCTGAGAGGCTGCAGGCGCATCAGTGAGTTTACGGCCGCTGCGCAAGGGGATGGGGGAGAGGGCTGAAGCAGGGGAACAGCAAAGATTTAACAACTACCATTGTTAAAAGAAATGTGTGTTAACTTTGAAAATGTGGGAGCAATTTTTAATTACTTGTCAAAAGCTCTAGAGAAATCCATGATTTAATAAAAATGGAGTTTTCAAGAGTAATGCAGAGAAGCGCTTTGTAGACAGACAGCCTTGGGAAAAGATAAGGGAGGAGAAAAGAGCAGCGTCTGTACTCTCCCGGTGCCAGAAGATGCAGTGCTACAAAGTAACGCGTTACTGGCATCACTGATCACCACCCACAGGCAACATGGCTGATGTGTCTTGCCCAAGGACACAACTGCAGCATTCTCTGGCGAGAGCTGGGATTGATCCTAAGACCTTCCAATAACTGGACAACCCATACTACCGCTACTTTGTACACTCTATCAAACTCCAGTCCTCGAGAGTTGGTATCCTGTATATTTTTGTCATTTCACTGTTCCAACATGGTTGATTCACCTGTACAGTAGCTCATCAAACTCTTCTGAAGCCTGTTAATCACTTGCTGATTGAAACCAGGTGTGTTGAAACAGGAAAAACACTAAAACATGTGGGATAGCGGCCCTCGAAGACTGGAGTTTGACACGTGTTCTCTAGAAGGTGTTATATAAATATGGGTCATTTACCATTTTACCATAAACAGTTTCTAATGAGGCTTAAATTGGTGAAAGGCTTCACACGATATCTGAAATCTCTAAATATATTACAGTTTGGATGAATTAGCACTTGAGGACATGATTCACTGGCTTTTTTCCAACAGGCAAGGCTTGGATAGGTCTACACGATAACCTGGTAAACAGCTGGAAATGGTCTCTAACTGACAGCAGCTTCTATGGTGAAGGAGAGACCACATATAGGAACTGGCTTCCTGGTTATGTCAACTACCAAAGCACACGGCAATGTGCTTATATTTATAGCTATTACTATAACTATTACCAAAATGGTAAATGGCTTGACAATCCTTGCACATCCCAACTACCTTTTGTGTGCTATAATGGTAAGTTTTTACCCAGTTTTATAGATAAACTTTATTCTAAATAATACATCATAATATCAGTTGGTTTTCTTTATTTGAAGGAGTAACTTATGATACTTCAGAGATATGGTTAAAAATAATTTATCCTAATGTTGTTTTCTATTTTTTCTACAAACAGGTATCATAAATGGCTCACCATCTTTTGTTTACAGAAGTGAATCTCTGAGCTGGACTGATGCTCAAATATTCTGCAGGGAGAATTATGTTGACCTGGCCAGGTACAGCTAACACTAGTTAATAGTCCATGAATACAGCTCTGTGAATAAAGCATTTTCCTACATACACAGGGTATCTAGCTAATGCTTATAAAGTTTTAAAAACTTTAAATTCAATCGTTGATAATTAAAGGTACACTGAGTAGGAATTCTACAGTGCAATAATCACAGTATAATGTCTTAGTCATTGTGGAAGGAAGGTTACATCAATTTCCTTCTCAACCAGCTGGAGGGTTGCCAGTTTTTTTTTCTTTTAAAAAGACAGAACAGGGATTTAGTCTGTTTACAATCTGTGAACACACGGGGTCTCAGAGTCTAAGCAGGCTAGTGCTGCAGCACCAGCATTTGTTATTTGACACCGACCAGCAAAAAGTTCCTGAGTTGCAGACAGTATATTAACCAGTAAAAGGAGCAGCTCAGAAGCTATTATTCATTCTTTCTATTTTAGATTGAAAACAAAGATGAAAAACTGTTTTGTTTTTTATTCAAACATATTGTGTTTTTCATATTCTCTGTTTTAGTCTTGGATCAAAAATACAAAATGGAAAAACAGCTGCAGGACCAAATTTAATTTTAATATTTCATTTATTGGGTACAAGAGGACAGTTGTTGTACCGATGTAGGTTAACTGAACGTTAAAGCAGATGTGAGGATCTTCTTGTTAGGGAAATGCAGAAGCCTTCTGGTTAGGTGGGAATTTATTCATGAAGTAAAAATCAGTTTATTACTCCAATAGATTCATAATGTGTTGCTGTGGCAATGCCTGACACAAGCTTCCTCTGCATCGGGAGCTCCAAGAGAGCTCACAGCAGGTGTAAAAAAGTCATTAGCCATTGGCTTATCAGGGCAGCACACATGAATATTACAATCACCAACAATCAAAAATTATCATACATCAAGTGATAAATGGTAAAGGGCCTGTATTTGATATAGCGCCTTCTAGATTCCTGGAACCCCCCAAGGTGCTTTACAACACAGTCGTTCACTCATTCACACACACATTCACACACAGGTGGTGATGAGCTACGATGTAGCCACAGCTGCCCTCGGGCGGACTGACAGAGGTGAGGCAGCCGAGCACTGGCACCACCGGTCCCTCCGACCACTGCCAGCAGGCAAGGTGGGTCAAGTGTCTTGCCCAAAGACACAACAGCAGCGACAAACTGGGCAGGGCTTGAACCTGCAACCTTCCGTTTACGGGGCGAGCACTTAACTCCTGTGTCGCTGTCGCCCCCACATCAGCATGTTTGCAGCGAGGAAGTCAGCAAAGTTATTTAAAAAGTCCACATTAAATTTAGGAAGACGATATAGCAATGCCACAAATAACAAGGGAGGTGGGCCAAGCTCAAATAAGCACTTTTCAAAGCTAGAGAGTGGATTCAGAGGAGTAAACAGTTTATAGTTAAAGTAAGATTTATTACAATCAGCCCGCCGCCTCTGCCACAAGACCTGAAGACATTAAAAGTTACAATCCACTGGCAGTAGTTCCAACTAGGCACTTGAATCCCCTATGGGTACCTTGGTCTCACAGATACACAGGAATTCCAGCCCATGTGCATCAAAGTCCTTTAAAATAAAAGTTTTATTCATTACTGACCTGGAGTTCACCAAGCCGGGGCAGAATGGTGGAGAACGATAGCCTGGCAAGCCAGACTAAATAAATGTATTATTTAGTCTGGCCATGCTCCATTGACGGCTCGCGGTTGTGGGGCAGGTTCTACCGTTGTCTTTCAAATGATCTCCGCATGCTACTGGACAATGAATGTGACATACTCTTGTTTCACTCTGTTGCATCATCCCACCCACCAGGCATATAGAGTGCCCTGATTGGCCCACAAAGCGGATAAAGCTCTGTGATTTGTTCACTAAGCAGATAGAGCACTATGATTGGCCCACCATTATGGACCAATCACAGCTCTTTATGTGTTTGAAACCCCTCTAGAGAGCTGTGATTGGCCAGCCAGAGTCCTGGTAGGAGCTGCTGAGGTTCCAATGGAGCATGCCTAGACCATTCTTTGCAATGCAAGAATTTGGTCTAGTTCACTAGGCTAGGAGAACGAATTAATCCAGCACCAATGGAACTCACGGACATGGGCGTGACTCCCACACTAGACACAGGGTGCCGATTCGCCAGGTTCACACCCCTCTATCAGAAAGTGCACCGCACAGGAGCCTCCACTTCCAATCCCACCAGTGGCGCCAGGCAGGGTGGAGGAGGGTCCAGCTGGTGCGACAGCACCAGAAGATAGTGGACAGGCAGACAGTCCTGTGATCTCCTTCCAGGACCATGGTGGTTTGGCACGCAGGCTAACACTTCACCTACCACGGCCACCCCAATGCCTGCAACACTTTCTCTCATGATCTCGATCCAGGATACACCACTGCCAAACAGGTGGCGCCAAAGCGTGCTGGGATGAGAACGGAAAACTGAACCAAATGACCCTTAAGATTGTCCAAAGGAGATGGAGGAGTTACAGCAAGACCGTATCCAGAGTTGCAAAATTATCGATGTCCACCATCTGTTATTCTGTGCACATAAATTACAGTGTAGAGACCAAACTGAAGACCAAAAATTATGTTTAAAGTTAATCCTTTATTTAAAAACGTAAGTGAGATGTGTAAGATGAGTAAATCCGTGAAAAGTGACATATCTGAAGCATCTGTGGAACCCAACAACACTCACTAAACTGATATGAGATAGTAAATCAAATACTTATTTAACCAGTATACAAGTTTTTGACATATATTTCACTTATGCTGCTGAAATTCTCCTGTATCCAGAAGCGTCCTAGCACATCAGAACTTTCTCAGGATCAATTGCTCTGCTTTTATGCACATGCAATATTGTCCTCAATCTCTGTCCAAGTCTGCTGTCCTCCCTTTAAACTCACACAGTCAAGTATACATTTCAGTGACATCTACTGTCCTTGTACTGTCTTTGTCTTTGAATTTATTTTAGATTTAACCCACTGAAATATTTATGTAAATAAACTAATATAAATGGTAAACGGCCTGTGTTTGTATAGCACCTTCTTGGGATTTTACAACCCCCCAATCAGTCATTCACACATTCACACGCTGAAAAAACTTGTTTTATTGTAACAGAAACCTAATCTATTGTTCTAGGCTTGTTTCTGCAGCACAGGTTTGAGACATCAGTTGCCTCAATACCGGGTACATCCTCTAGGTTGTACGAAAAGTCTGGCGTATTGTTTTTATTAAACGGTAAATTGTAACTTTTTTATAGGCTTCTACTCCCTCTGCGGAAGCCCAAGGCGCTGAACATAACATAGATTAAAATAAAAACAAAGTGATAGACAGTCCTAAAAACCACATACAAATATAAAAGCAGGATAGAATACACACACACACACACACACACACACACACACACACACACACACACACACACACACAAAAGAAGGATAAGAAACATGAAATCAAGTCACATAAAAGCCAAACTCTTGAATATGACTTCAAGCGACTCTTGAAGACATGCAGTGAGGGTGACTGTTTGATGCTTAGTGGCAACTCATTCCAGAGGAATGGAGCCAAGACCAAGAAAGCCCGATCTCCTCTAGATCTATACCAGGAGTGAGGAACAGTCAGCAGCTCCAGCTCAGTCGAGTGTAGAGATCGTGATGGGGTGTGACGTGTTAATAATGCTGCCAAATATAGTGGATCACCACCACATAGAGACAAGAAGACAAAGCAAACACCCCAAAACAATTTCATATAATAAGGAAGGGGGCTAAAATGGCAAGCATTTGGAAACAATCTGGGTGATTCCTGGCCGGGTTCCTGCATCTTACCAAAATCAGATCCCGTGTGTTGTGCTTAATCCTGACCAGATGTATTTTAAGGCCATGCTGATTTCACACACTTGTGTGGAGATGCATCTTGTCAATTAGCCTTAGTCAATAATCTGAATTTGATAAGCCAGCAGTTTTTCAAAAGACTACAAACATCTTTTGTGTTTTTCTTCTGACCGCATTTTTAGGTTCTTTTTGAAACACAGGGAAGGTTTTTTACCTTGCTGACAGTTTTGATTGTGTCTGCGATCTTCCTTAAAGCTGACGCCACTGAGCGTATTTTTTTTACACTATCTGAATAATTGCTCAAAAGCAAACCAGATGATGGAGACTTAACAGCCAAACACAGTTGAATGTTTGTTATTGTTAAATCTTACGAATGAAAGGTGATCCCACTTTGTCATAATTGAAGACATCGTCTAGTAGTGCATCCACACAGAAGTCAGGCATGCTTGTTGTGTTTCACGCCTATGTCTGTAAAAATAAAGCCAGCAATTTCCGCTATTTTGATATAGTTCAATCTAAGTTTTTTACTTTTTTTTTTAACAAAGTAAGAAGCCTGGAAAACAAGGGCAATTTTACCCTCAGCTTCCACTGAGGTAAAACATTGTAGCTATGCGGCACAGCCACGGCAACCTCGTCTTCTCTAAGCCAAGTTAGACAGCTAATAAACACTAAAACATCCACCAAGACAGCCATTTAGACAAAAATTTGGTTTACGTACACTTTTTAGTTTCGTTGAACCATACGAACCCTATAATATTGATTGTGGTCTCTCTCTCTCAACCTAACACGCAAAACAGCTTAGCCGGGACACATTGTTCACAATTTTGTCGTGTTTCAAAAGTAATAGCAGTAATTTCAACATGAGTGAGTATCCTGCTTCAAGTCTAAGTATCATACTGTTTGTAATAAGGCAAACCGTTTGTAAATCTGTTAATATACCATCGAGTTATCAGTATTTTTATTTGATTCGTGCACTCACCCTCAGCTAGAGAAAGGTTAGCTGTCCGAAGTAAGATGGCCGTCGTGTAAGGACACTTTCGACTCCCAGTTAGGGCATCTAGTAAATATATATGATATCTATGGGTTACACCACCAAATGGTTCCCAAGCGCGGCTGTGTCTGCAGCTCACCGCTCCCCCAGGGGATGGGTCAAATGCGGAGAACAAATTTCGCACACACATCAGTGTGTGTGACAACTAATGGGACTTTAACATTCCTGTCTCAATTGCAGTCATTCCAAGCTGCCAGCTGTCTTTTCAGTCATCATCAAACTGTCCTTAGTTGCCACCAAGTCTGTTCCTGGGTGTCCCTGGCTTAACCAGATTGGAAGTTATAAAATACATCTTGGTACACATCATCAGTGGTGTCACCTGTTAATTGTAATGTGTAATCAATGAATTCATAATTGTTAATGTAATCAGTTAACTCATAATATATGTTTAGTTTTCATTCAAAAATAATAAATTTATGATATATTTTGTATAGTTAGAGAATAAAGTTAACACTGCATGATCAGATGATGACAATCTGAAATTAAGTGTTGAAAAACAAGGAATTTGTTGCCAATTTTTCTGAAACACATTTGACACGGTTTTATTTTCCTAACTAATAATAAAAGCCACACTAATGTCCTGTTCTCGTTTTGTGGTGCTAACGTGCTTCTCACTTTTTCTTTACAGTGTTCGAAGTCAGAAAGATAATGACATCATCCGTAGTCTGTTTAGTTACACAGTAGCATGGATTGGTCTGTATCGAGAAAAGTTGTGGTCTGATGGCAGCAGCTCTGCGTTTCAATACTGGGCGAACTACGAGCCAAATGGATCTCCTGCAGGATACTATGGTCCAAAGTGTATAGCTGCATCATATGGTGACTCAGGAAAATGGTCTGATGAAGAGTGTATGGACAGTTTACCATTCGTCTGTTACAGAAATGGTAACGTATTTTTTTCCTCCTCCCAAGTTTAGTAGGTGCTCTTCGGTAACGATGAGTGGGATTGTGTTGATTTAATGTTTAACCTAAAGCTACAATTTCCTCTTTTCAGGAATTGTGTATATTTTATTAAACTATCTAAAAAAAGGGATTGTCTTGGCCATTACTGTGATAAAATGAAGCTACATTTTTTGTTGTTGTTGCAAATAACCCTGTTCCATTGAGCTCCATGCAATTTGAGTTGACTTCTGTTCAGCATTAGCCAGTAGGGAGCCTAAGTCACGCCAGTCTACTTCTGGACCATGGGTCCCCAGAAGAACAAAAAAAAAAAAAAAAAAAGAATGCAAGTCAATGGAGCTAAAAACACTATTTTCTAATCCCGCTTGTCATGTGCCATGGATGTCACATTTGATATCCATGAATTTTATAGACACATTCTGGTGCCAAGACCGCGCTTATTTTTTCGAATGGGGCAAACTGTATTTTTTTGTATATTTCTGGTGTTGTGTGAAAATATGTCCGGGACTACAAATGTGCATCACCAAATTGACGTTATATAACAAGAAACAGAGGAAAAATGGAATTAAGTTCAGCAGACATCAAATCCTTCCCTCAGGAGGAAAGAACCACCATAAATCTGGTCATGTGGTAAATAGCAGCAACGCTAGAGGAGAGGAGATTCTGTGGTGACGTCAAATATGCAACGTAATGAAGTCTGATTTGTAGTTATTATAACTAAAAACTTTTACAAGCTGAAAAAAGTATTTGGCTGGCACGGTCAAAACACACCATTACTTTTCAGTTAAATTGAAGGACAACAAATGTGTGATTCAGGGCGTAAGGCTATGTGGATTAGAAAATAACTCTTTTAATTACGTTGACTTTGGGTTTAAAGTTTACCGGGATGTTGTGTTTAACGATGGAAAACATTAAACCCAACAACACCCTTGGACAGAAATTTGGCCAGCCAAAAGACACAACACCCATACAGAATCTTAGTGGCAGTCCGGTGAGGACTGTCCAGATCTTTACATTGGGGAAACTAAACAACAACTACACAAACACATGGCTCAACACAAGAGAATCACCTCCAGGGGATGGAGAGGTGAGGTACCCAGAGTAGTTTTTCCTCGTTAAATAACAACAGACAGCTACAGCTTATCAGCTTGACTCTCCCATATTCCAGTTAGAGTTGACAAAGCTCCTCAGATGAGAAGCAAAACGTCTTCAAGAAACCAAAGAAGTCCAGTTGCCTTCATTTGAACCCTTTAGATTACCGTGACCTGGATGACTGAGAAGCTTCACCAGAAAAATCTAAAATTGTAACTATCTTCTGATGTCACTAAATCCCACATTTAAATGTGAGAGAGATAAATCAGATGTATCATACCAGTATAGTAGTCTGTGGGTGTTACTTGTTTCATGTCTTGTATTTATTTCTTCCTTCTACATGATGCAGATTTCCATCCATCCGAACAAAATGAGACCAGCATCACTCTGCAGTGGAGTAAAGTCAACAACAATATCAGTTTTGTTCTCCAGTTTAATGGAACAGAGACCAACGTCAGTGCACCAGATGGAGATGGACCAGTAACTCAGACATTCTCTTCTCTGACTGCTGGAACTAAATACACATTCACTCTGTTCTCTGTGTTTGAGAACATCAGAAGCTCTGGAGTACAACTTACAGCTGCTACTGGTAAGATGTTTTAGATCTCTGTTGTTACATATGTCTTTTCCTCTCTGGAATATCATATCCTGCCTTCAAAACAAATGTAAACTTTTATGTCATTAAGCCAGAGAACATTTGTCATCTAACACATTTACCTCCCAGACACGACTAAAATATTTTTGTGTTTTGTTTCAGCTCCTCTAAATGCAGATGGATTCAGGTCATCAGAACAAGATGAGACCAGTATCACTCTGCAGTGGAATCAAGTCAACAATGATGTCAGTTTTGTTCTCCAGTTAAATGGTGCAGAGTTAACTTATTCTGCACCAACTGGAGATGGACCAGTAACTCACATCATCTCATCTCTGACTGCTGGAACTGAATACACGTTCACTCTGTTCTCTGTGTTTGAGAACATCAGAAGCTCTGGAGTCAGCATCACTGCATCTACTGGTGAGATACTCACTTCACTTATTGTTAAACTGGAATGAATATTTTATTATGTGAATGATTTAATTATAATTCTTTTAAGTTGTTCATCATTAATAACTTGTAACATTTATAATTTAGAGTAAAATGTTTTTATTTCTTTGTTGACCGTAATAAGCAGCTTTTTTCTTTATTTTGTGAAGTTACATTTTCTGCTCGTTTAAAAATTTTGATTGAGTTAAACAAATATGTAATTTTAAATTTTTTTGCCATTTAATGCTTCCTTACTAATTTGTTTCTCTAAGGGATGTTCCACCCATTTAATGTATCTATATTAAGGATCACCCTGCTGGTGACGTTACTCAAAGTGAGCCAAGACCCTTGAGACAGGAAGTAGTCAAGCAATACTCACGGCTAGCTATCTATTGGCTACATTCCTGTATTTATACAATTCTTGCTCAAAAGCCATACTGTTGTGATAAAATTATCTGATATCCTTATTTGCACCTCAGCAATTTGTAATGAGACCATTTGTTTAGTTAATCCTGGTTTTGCTTCAAATCAAGCAATGCTCTAATTTCTACTCTAGTGTAGGTAAACTGCTGCTGCTGGTGCTTTATCTGTCCTGATCAGTCTCTTGTAGCCAGATTTTGTCGGGCTGATCAGACTGGATGAAGGAGATGAACAAGGTGAGACGTTTAACAGTTTTATTATTTCTCCGGTCGTATCTCTGTGAGGAAGAAACGATGACTGAGATGAGAGGCCGGTACCGGCGTCTTCCATATATAGCCTTGCTTGGCTGTGACGTGGAGGGAATCCCCGCGAGGAGCACGCTGGGAGCTCCCCATGAGGAGCATGTCGGGAGTTGTGGTCCGAAAGTCAGCCGGGAGATACCTGAGTCCTGACAGGACCCCCCGGTCCAGGGACGGCTCCAGAAGTCCCAGCGCGACCCCGGCGGACCCAGAAGTCGGAGATCAGGGAAGGGTCCAGGATGGACCGAGCCGGCTCCCAGGAGCGTTCCTCGGGGCCATAGTCCTTCCAGTCCACTAGGTACTGCCAGCCCCGACCCCTGCGGCGAGCGTCCAGGATGCGCCGGACGGTGTAGATAGGCTCACCGTCGAGGAAGCGGGCAGGAGGCGGCGCCGGAGCCGGAGGCGGGAGAAGGGAGGACTCCACGAAGGGCTTGAGCCGGGAGGTATGGAAGGTGGGATGGATGCGGAGAGTAGCCGGCAGTCGCAACCGGTACGTGACCGGGTTGATGACCCTTTGGATGGGGTATGGGCCGAGGAACCGAGGAGCAAGTTTCTTGGCCCCGGCACGGACCCGAAGGTCAGCCGTGGACACCCAGACCTTGTCCCCAGGAGCATAGGAGGGACCAGGACGGTGTCGACGGAGATGCTGGCGAGCATAGCTGGTGTTAGCTCTGGTTATGGAGGCTCGTGCTTTGATCCAGGCGCTCTTGCAGCGTCTCACCATGGCTTCCGCTGCTGGAACGGCGACCTCGGGTTCTTGGTGGGCAAAGACCGGGGGCTGGAAGCCATAGCAGACCTCGAAAGGGGACAGCCGAGTGGCAGATGAGGTGTGAAGATTGTGGGACAGCTCCGCCCAGAGGAGGTATTTAGGCCACTGTGAGGGTTGAGCCGAGACAAAACAACGAAGGTACCGACCCAGCTGTTGGTTAGCCCGCTCCGTCTGGCCATTGGTCTGCGGGTGGTAGCCTGAGGATAGACTGACCGATGCTCCCATCAGCCGACAGAAAGCTTTCCAGAACCGGGCCGTGAACTGGGGCCCCCGATCCGAGACCACGTCGACTGGGAACCCGTGGAGGCGCACCACGTTCTCCAGGAACAGTTCCGCTGTGCGTTGGGCTGAGGGGAGACCCGGAAGGGCGATGAAATGGACAGACTTGGAAAAGCGGTCCGTAACCGTCATGACAGTGTTGAGGTTATTGACCGACGGGAGACCTGTGACGAAGTCCAGCCCCACGTGGGACCAGGGGCGGCTGGGCACCGGAAGAGGTCGGAGGGCACCAGCCGAGGCCTGGTTGGGGTTCTTGGAGCGGGCACAGACGTCACAGGCGCTGGTGTATTCTTTCACATCCCTCGCCATGCCTGGCCACCAGAGGGCTCGCTGGAGGAATTTAAGAGTTCTGGAGAAACCAGCGTGGCCAGACAGGCGTGATGAGTGGGCCCAGGACAACGCCTCGCTGCGACAGGCCGTGGGGACATAGAGGCGACCCGCTGGGGTCTCAGGAGGCGCGGGGTCGTCCCGGAGGGCGTTCTGGATAGCTTCCTCCAACGGCCACCTCAGTTGGCCCAGGAAACGGTGTTCCGGGAGGATTGGCGCTGGCTCGGACGAGGGCGAGGAGTGGGTGAATTGGCGGGAGAGGGCGTCCGCCTTCTGGTTCTTGGCTCCCGGGCGGTAGGCGAGATGGAAGTCGTAGGGTTCAAAGAAGAGGGCCCAGCGAGCCTGGCGAGGATTAAGCTGCTTGGCAGATTTTATGTGGGTCAGGTTCTGATGGTCAGTCCAGATCGTGAAAGGCTGAGTGGTGCCCAGAAGCCACTGCCTCCATTCCTCCAATGCCCATTTTATGGCCAGTAACTCACGGTCGCCCACACCGTACTTCTGCTGGGTGGTGGAAAACTTCCTGGAGAAGTAGGCGCAGGGATGGAGCCTGTCGTCGGGCCCGCCTTGAGACAGGATGGCGCCGACGTCCGAGGCGTCGACCTCGACCACAAAGGGGACTGCAGGATCTGGATGGCGGAGGATCGGGGCCGAGGTAAAGCGGGTGACCAGGTGGTGGAAAGCCCGAATGGCGTCGGGAGTTAGATGAAACGGCTGGCCAGGGGAGCCTGGTCGAGTGAGAGAGGTGAGAGGGGCTACGAGGGTGCTATAGTTCTTTATAAAACGGCGGTAAAAGTTGCAGAAACCCAGAAAACTCTGCAGTTGTTTCAGGCTGGTTGGCAAGGGCCAGTCCTTCACCGCCTGGATTTTCTGAGGGTCCATGGTTATCCCTTCGTCCGAGATCCTGTAACCCAGGAAGGATATGGACTGCTGATGGAAGGAGCATTTCTCGGGTTTACAGTACAGGTTGTGGTCCAGGAGCCGGGTCAGGACGGCGCGAACATGATGGATGTGTTCGGCCTCGGATTTGGAGTAGATCAGTATATCGTCCAGATAGGCGAACACCCACCGTCCCAGCATGTCGCGGAGGACATCATTAATGAGACGTTGGAAGACAGCAGGGCTATTGCATAGTCCGAAGGGCATAACCAGGTACTCCCAGTGGCCGGTGGGTGTTATGAAAGCGGTCTTCCACTCATCCCCGGCCTTTATACGGACCAGATTGTAGGCGCTCCGGAGATCCAGTTTCGTAAAGATCCGTGCCTGGGAGATGGCATCCAGAGCGGTAGTGAGGAGCGGCAGAGGATGGCGGTCCTTGACCGTGATCTTGTTCAGACCCCGATAGTCTATGCAGGGGCGAAGATCGCCTTCCTTTTTCCTCATGAAGAAGAAGCCAGCGGCACCCGGAGAGGAGGAGGGTCGAATGAACCCCTGCTGGAGGGCCTGGGCGATATATTCTTCCATCGCTTTGGTCTCGGGAGGCACGAGAGAGAAAAGGCGCCCGCGGGGAGGACTGGTTCCGGGTAGCAGCTTGATCTCCATATCATATGGCCGGTGAGGTGGCAGGGAGGTGGCGCGCCGCTTGTCGAACACCGCGGCCAGGTCCCGATAGGGCAGCGGCAGGTGGGGCGGTGTGGAGCTGGGGCCCCCGTCCGGAAGACCCGCCGAGGAGGGAGGAGGAGCGAGGTGGGTCTGGCACGAGGTCCCCCAGCCCAGCAGGCGGTTCTGGGACCAGGAAATATGAGGGTCGTGGAGACGGAGCCAGGGGAACCCCAGGATTAGGGGAGAAGAGGGAGCAGAAATGATCAGGAAATGGAGGGTCTCCTGGTGGCCTTGGGTGATCATACGGAGTGGCTGGGTTCGGTCTCGGACTGGGTAGGGTTGGAGAGGCCTACCGTCCACCGAGGTCACTGGTATAACCCTCTCCAGGGGTTGTAGGGGGATCCGTAGGCGTTTTGCCAGATCCAGGTCCATGAAATTGTCCGCGGCCCCCGAGTCCACCAATGCGTTTACGTGGAGTGAGGCCTCACCATGGAGGAGGGTGACAGGAATAAGGAGACGGTTAGTAGCGACAGGGGTAGAAGAAGACCCAGACTGAGCGACCCCAATACTCAGTGGGGCCCCCCGTTTCCCGATCGTCGCGGGCAGTTCAGGCGTCGGTGGTCGGGAGAGCCACAGTAGGCACAGAGGCCCTCGCGCCACCGTCGTTGTCTCTCCTCGGGGGGAAGGTGGCCGAGCTGCATGGGCTCCTCCGTCAGCATGGGTACAGGAGCTGGCGTGGGTGAACGAGGGCAAGGCACCGGCATCCTGGGGGGACGCGTGGATAACTTGGGTCGAACCAGAACCCGCTGGTCGATGCGCAGCGCCAGATCAACCACCTCATCCAGGGTCTGAGGCAGCTCCCTTCCCGCCAACTCATCACGGATGTAGGGTGCCAGCCCCTCCAGGAAGGCGGCCCGCAGAGCGGAGTCATTCCACTGCAGCTTGGCGGAGATGGTGCGGAACTCCGACGCATAAGCGCACACCGAGCGTTCCCGCTGGTGGAGTTTGAGAAGGCGTGTCTCTGCTCCCACTTCGCTGCTGGGGGGAACAAAGGTCTTCCGGAGAGCGGACACAAACGCAGCATAGTCGTTGCAGGCAGGGGATTTGGAATTGTAAAGCGCAGCAGCCCACTCCGCGGCGCGTCCGGAGAGCAGGGAGGTGAGATGCGCCACTCGGGAGCGCGCAGATGGGTAGCGTCCAGGTTGGCACTCGAACTGCATGTCCAGCGTGGCGAGCAGACCATCAGGGCTCCCCGTCTCTCCGTTCCACCTCTCCGGCAGGCTGAAGTGGGGCTCCTCCCTAGGAGCAGAGCGGGTTGGATGCTGGAGTGCCGCGATCTGTTGCTGCTGATCGTTTGCTTGTTGTTGGAGAGCCGTGAGAGCCGTGGATAGACGCAGGGTGTGGTCGGACAAGGAGTTCACCTTGGTGTTGAGCTGATCTACCATGGAACGCAGCTGCACGTTCTCGTGGCAGAGACGATCGATCTCCGTCGGATCTACTTGGTTCTCAGTCATCCTGTCGGGCTGATCAGACTGGATGAAGGAGACGAACAAGGTGAGACGTTTAACAGTTTTATTATTTCTCCGGTCGTATCTCTGTGAGGAAGAAACGATGACTGAGATGAGAGGCCGGTACCGGCGTCTTCCATATATAGGCTTGCTTGGCTGTGACGTGGAGGGAATCCCCGCGAGGAGCACGCTGGGAGCTCCCCATGAGGAGCATGTCGGGAGTTGTGGTCCGAAAGTCAGCCGGGAGATACCTGAGTCCTGACAGATTTCTGGTTCTCCACTCAGGTGGAGGGATGGCTCAGATACTTTGTGCATGTATACAAACTACTTGCTGCAAGGTTAGATAAATTACTGATATAACATCATCTGAAAAAAGGAAATGGGTGGAATATTCTTCTGAGGCTCTGCACACTCGAGGGGGTAGCAGAACGACAGTGGGGTTTACCGGCACTACTGAACCTGAAAAGCAGGCAAAATGTTTCATTCCTGTTTTATTCTTGTAATATTTTTATCACTTTAACAAAAAAGTCAATTATTTTACAAAGTAACAATAATGTCTTTCTGCAGCTGTTCTCAATGCAGCCTTTGCCAAAAATCATCAGTACTACTTTGTGAACACACCAAGAACCTGGAAAAAGGCTCAGGCTGTCTGCAGACATAAATACACTGACCTGGCTACAATAACAAACAAAGCTGATGTTGCTGCTGTTGTCACCACCACCTCTAGTTATACAGGTGAGTTAGTTATTATCCGGAACTGTTCATAAACAGCCTGTAAAATTACAGCCATAGATTTCTGATGAAGCTCAAACGGTGAGAAAATGTGTCATCAACTCCTACATGCTCTAAATATACTGTATAACATTTTTGATCAATCAGTATTTGAAGACATGATTCGTTACAGCTCTTTTAAATGACAATTTTGTGTGTGGGGGGGTGGGTTTCCCTACAGGCAAAGCTTGGATAGGTCTAAATGATGACCTGTTAAATGGCTGGAAATGGTCTCTATCTGACAGCAGCTACTATGTGGAAGGAAACACCACATATAGAAACTGGTATCCAGGTTACCCAAGCAGTTACATAACCCAACAGGAATGTGTCCGCATGTATGCCTATGAATATTCAGGCAGGTGGTTTGACACTTCTTGCATATCCCTATTCCCATTTGTGTGCTATAATGGTAAGTGTTTTCACAGTATAACAAAAGACCTTTGTTTATTATTCATGCAGTTTATGATTTTCATGTCATTTCCTGAAATATGTCATTTTAGGTTTTCTGAAAAAAGATCTTCATTTTAGAGGCATACTATGCTAAATTTTCATATTTTAAAATCTTTCTTGAGCCAGCATGTGCTAAAATGGCCCTTTACACGGTTGATGAAATGTCAATCACCGAGTGACGTGCCATCACCCCAGGTGCCGCAAACTCCGGTCCTCAAGGGCTACGATCCTTCAAGCTTTTTGTGTTTCCTACTTGACCACACCTTAATGAAGTAATTGAATCCTCTCTTTACCACGTTTAACTTTGCACAGGCTCATTCATTACAACCAGGTGCGTAGGAGCAAAAGAAACTGTTAGAATGTGCAGGATGGTAGCTCTCGAGGACCAGAGTTAGGATTAGGTAACCCCTGTGTTAGACTTAAAAATAATAGAGCCGACATGCCAGCACTGGAGTCTGCTTCCAGCAAGTCTCCTGCGTGTTTTCGATCATGAACACAGCTGATTTGTTTGATTTAGTGATGAATCACATCTGTAGAAACTAATGAAGGCTGGGAGACATCTCAGCTGTTATACTTAGGTGTTAAAAATATGAATGCACAGTGAGGAGATAAGTTTGATTTTCGGTTTGACCACAGAAAATTAATAATGGACATTAGAGGGTTCTAAAAGCAAGCAAATTTGCTAAGTGCACCTTTAAATTAAATAATATTAGATGGTTTGTTTTTGTATGACTGATACATCACACTGCAGTGTTTTGGTTGGTAATGTTATTTTTTTTAAATCTACTTACAGGTGAAGTAAATGGATCACCATCCTTTATTTTCAGAACTGAATCTCTGAATTGGACTGATGCTCAAAAATTCTGCAGGGAGAATTATGTTGACCTGGCCAGGTACAGCTAACCTTAGTTTATACTAATACAAATCTGTGAATAAGGCATTTGGCTCCTTTTTTTTCACTGTTCAATGTTTCACATCAGCAAAACAAATTTCAACATCAAAGATAACCCATGTAAACATAAAATGCAGTTTTCCTAATCATGATTTCATTTATTCATGAAACAAAACTGTCCAAATAAATCAGGTTTCTTTTGGAAATGCATTTGCTCTGTAAATGTAACATAAACATAAACGCAGCAATCAGCAGTTTGTGATTTTTGGTAATGCGTCTCTCATTAGTATGGAGGAACTTTGACCTACTCTTAGTCAGAATTGTTTTAAATCAGACACATGGGAAGGTTTGGTAGCATGAATGGCCTTTTTACTCCCTTTCCACCTTCAAATCCAAACTAAAAACTCACCTTTTCCAGACTGTATATTCTCTATGAGATAGTTCTGCTGCTTGTTTCTGATCTTTGTTTTGTTTTACTAGGGTTTTTATGAGTGATTTGCTGCTGCTTTTAAACTTTTAGCTTGACTTTTATCATTCTTGTACAGGGACCTTGAGTTTTATGAAAGGCACTTTTAAATGAAATGTATTATTATTATTATTATTATTATTATTATTATTATTATTTATTATTATTATTATTATTATTATTATTATTATTATTATTATTATTATTATTATTTGAGGTCAGACACTTTCTTCCAGGGTTCAGTCAGTTATATCAAATGTTCCAGGTCCTGAAGAATCAGAGCAGCCCCAGAACATCACTTTATCACCACCATGTTCCACTGTTGTTGTTTTTCTGAACTGGAGTTAGTTTTTTTCTTTGTTATGTTCATTCTGTGTTTTATATCCATACACAGAGTAGGAACAAGCTGTTAGGGCATAAGGACCCATTCTACATGTTGTGGTTTATCATCCCCCTTGTCCAAACAGTTCTTTCCTTCAGGAGTTTAGTGACTTTTTATCCTCCACTGTGAAGTTGTTCAGACTTCTGATTGTTGGTGATTTTCACATCCACGCTGGTGATGCCTCAGACCACTTTGCCATTAGCTTCTCCAGCCTCATGGACTCCTTCAGCTTTACCCGCATGTTTCTGGCCCCACACACACCAGGGGGCACTCTCTGGACCTTGTTTTTAACCTGGGTTTAAATGCTGACAGTGTTTGTCCTGAGGATATTTATATTTCAGATCACCATTGTATTTTCTTTAACTTGTCAGTTTCTGCATCCCCACCTCCTGTTCGTCATCTGGTTAATTCTTGTTTTCTTAATGAAAGCACAGCTAGCAAATTTTCTGCAGCTTTTGCTCCTCCCTGTTCTGATGATTACCCGGATTTCTTCACTTCTCAGTTTAACGAGCACTGGCTCTCCATTTTGAACATCTGTCCTATCAGAACCAAATTATTTGTCCAGACATGTCCCAACTTGCTTCTGTCCTGCAGCCATGCTCAACTGTACACCTTTTTATAGAGTGAAGGATGTCCCAATTCACCAAACACAAGAAGCTCTGCTAGTGAGTTTTGACAGTTCTTCTGACTTCACCTGTTGGTTCTCCATCACATGTGTATGACTCCTTGAGGCTGTGAGGGAGCAGCTTCCCCACTTCTTCTTCAGCCCCACATTGTGCTATCATTTGCCGTCTCATAGGTGGGATCTTTCTCTGGTCTGTGTCTCCAGCCGACCTTTCTTTTTTGGATGACTTCTGCTATCTAACCCATAACTTGACTGAGTTGTGATTTTCAAACCAAGGAGCCATTTGGCAATAAGATTAACAAATACAAATAATCATAGACATGGTCACAAAATCACAGGCCAAATGCCACATCATAAAAATGCATTTTTAAACTAGTTTTAAATGAGGAAACCGTTGGAGCCTATCTGACCAACAGCAGAAGTGCATACCAAAGGGTAGGGGCAGCACACATAAATGCCCGCTCCTCCCGTGCTTTATGTCTTATCCGGGGCATACAGAGCAATAAGATATCAGTGGAGCTCAGTGCTTGCCCAGGGACATAAGGAGCAAGCAGCTCAATATGAGATTTGTTAGCTTGTAAAAATACTAAATGAAAATAACTGCTAATCCAGAGTCGCAAACTGCACTGCAGAGTCTCTTGTCGCCCAGTGTAGCTGCTACTTACCACATGAACAGATTTAGAGTGTTTTGTTCCATGTTTAATACTCCTGCTGTCATCCTGGGAGGAGGAGGCTTGCTAAACTCAGCCATTTTTCTTCTTCTCTTCTTCATACTTTGTTTAATGGTGTCCATTTGATGAGATGAGCATTTGTAGTCTTGGACGTCTTTTCACACAAAACCTAAAATAACTTTTGCTGCCTGTCAATTTGTATCTTTAAAATTCACAGAAATTAAATGTGACATCCAAGGCATATATCAAACAGGATATGAAAAAATTACTTTAATGCTTCATAGACTTCCATTTGTCTTTGTTGGTAGTAGGGGATATTTTTGGCCATTGGAGGCTTTGGTCTTGGACCTCCCCATGATAATATTGTTTCATCGTCTTGGCTTGCTGATTTTAAACCAAGTGAGGCCTGTAACACTTTAAATGTTGGTTTGGGTTTTGTTCTGAATTTTTGAAAATCTGTTTGATGATTTTAGCCTACTTTATATTTTCTGACAGATTTTTGAAGGGATTTCCAATTCTACGGGTCTGGCAGTAATCAGGTCTGAAAATGTGGTTGATCAGTTAATTTGTGACTTACCTGGTTGAGTTTCATCAGAAATAAGAAATCAATCATACACATTTTAATAGATCAAAAACAACAATAACCGTGTATAATTCTTTCATATAAAAATAAAGGCAATGTTGAATCAGAGGCTTACAAGGTATTCTGATAATACATTTGCTGCTGACCAGCCTTTTAAAACCAAAGTTGACATGGTTTTATATTCTTCTATTCATCCATCCACCCTTTTCATGTAGTGCTAATATACTTCTCTCTTTGTTTTTATTTACAGTGTACGAAATCAGACAGAAAATGACATAATCCGTAATCTAATAGGTTACGCAGAGGCATGGATTGGTCTTTATTGGGATAAGTCATGGTCAGATGGCAGCAGCTCTGTGTTTCGATACTGGGCGAACTATGAGCCAAATCATTATCCCGGAAGTTACAATAGTCCAAAATGTATAGCTGCATCGTATTCTGACTCAGGAAAATGGTCTGATGAAGACTGTAGAGGGAGTTTACCACTCATCTGTTACAGAAATGGTAATGTATCTATTTCTCTCTCACATATTTAATAGATGCTATTTTATAAGTGAGACAGACAGTGGTTGTGTAGCTGATGTGTTTAAATGAAAAAGATAAAATGAGATCTTATATAAGTGTGATTCACTGCTGTCGTGCAAATTTTCAAAAATATTGTTCTAAAATTAACTGAAGAAAAGTACATTTTTTGTCAGTTTAAGTAGTAAATCAGATTTTTTAATCATTGCAGATGTGATAACTTTCTTGGGTTGTGTTAACCAATAACCTGGTAAGCTATCCTATACAGGTGCTGGCCAGTAAATTAGAATATCATCAAAAGGTTGAAAATATTTCAGTAATACCATTCAAAACGTGAAACTTGTACATTATATTCATGCAATGCACACAGACCAATGTATTTCCAATGTTCATTACATTTAAATTTGATATTCATAAGTGACAACTAATGAAAACTCCAAATTTGGTATCTCAAAAAATTAGAATATTCTGAAAAGGCTGAATATAGAAGACACCTGCTGCCACTCTAATCAGCTGATTTACTCAAAACACCTGCAAAGGCCTTTAAAAGGTCCCTCAGTCTTGTTTTGAAGGCACCACAATCATGGGGAAGACTTCTGACTTAACAGCTGTCCAAAAGACAATCATTGACACCTTGCACAAGGAGGGCAAGACACAAAAGGTGATTGCTAAAGAAGCTGGCTGTTCGCAGAGCTCTGTGTCCAAGCACATTAACAGACAGGCGAAGGGACGGAAAAAATGTGGTAGAAAAAAGTGTACAAGCTCTAGGGATAACCGCACCCTGCAGAGAATTGTGACGACAAACCCATTCAAAAATGTGGGGGAGATCCACAAAGAGTGGACTGCAGCTGGAGTCAGCGCTTCAAGAACCACCACGAGGAGACTCATGAAAGACATGGGATTCAGGTGTCGCATTCCGTGTGTCAAGCCACTCTTGAACAAGAAACAGCGCAAGAAGCGTCTCGCCTGGGCCAAGGACAAAAAGGACTGGACTGATGCTGAGTGGTCCAAAGTTATGTTTTCTGATGAAAGCAAGTTCTGCATTTCCTTTGGAAATCAAGGACCCAGAGTCTGGAGGAAGAGCGGAGAAGCACAGAATCCACGTTGCATGAGGTCCAGTGTAAAGTTTCCACCGTCAGTGATGGTGTGGGGTGCCATGTCATCTGCCGGTGTTGGCCCACTCTGTTTCCTGAGGTCCAGGGTCAATGCAGCCATCTACCAGGAAGTTTTAGAGCACTTCATGCTTCCTGCTGCTGACCAACTTTATGGGGATGCAGACTTCACCTTTCAACAGGACCTGGCACCTGCACACAGTGCCAAAACCACCAGCACCTGGTTCAAGGACCATGGTATCCCTGTCCTTGATTGGCCAGCAAACTCGCCTGACCTTAACCCCATAGAAAATCTATGGGGTATTGTGAAGCGGAGGATGCAATACGCTAGACCCAACAATGCAGAGGAGCTGAAGACGACTATCAGAGCAACCTGGGCTCTCATAACACCTGAGCAGTGCCACAGACTGATCGAGTCCATGCCACGCCGCATTACTGCAGTTATTGAGGCAAAAGGAGCCCCGACTAAGTATTGAGTGCTATACATGCACATTCTTTTCATGTTCATTCTTTTCAGTTGGCCAACATTAGAGAAACAAACATTTTTTCATTGGCCTTTAGAATATTCTAATTTTCTGAGATACCAGATTTGATGTTTTCATTGGTTGTCACCTATAAATATCAAAATTAAACGTAATAAACATCGGAAATACATTGGTCTGTGTGCATTGCATGAATATAATGTACAAGTTTCACGTTTTGAATGGAATTACTGAAATATTTTCAACCTTTTGATGATATTCTAATTTACTGGCCAGCACCTGTATATGTGAATATATAGTCTGGCCATGACCCATAGAGAGATCTCTGTTGTGGGAAATCTGTGGTTGTCTTTAAAACTCTCTCCACATGCTATTGGCCAATGAGCAAGGTGGCATACTCTCCTATATGGATTTCAGTCAACGGGACAGTTTGTCATACACTGTTGAAGAAGATGCAAATACATCCTTTTTTAAAAATAAAGGACATAAGCACCTCTGTTTGCTCTTGGCTCAAAGAAAAGCCCACGTCTGTATAGTCCAAAGTTGCCAAAGCTGTGTGAATGAAGCTCCTACCATCTTTATTTTTGCGCTCAATCACAGCAACATTCCTCCCACCAAACCAATAGAGTACAGTGATGAACCAGGTTTCCACTACCAGAAATTCAGCGTAGATTTACAGGAAGCTCCCGACATGCCCGTGTCTCCACTTGACCGGGCCGGCAGAACGGCTGTTTTCAGGAACCTTCTGAGTACCTGCTCAGGTTTGGTACTCCGAATGGCCCGGTGGAGTAGCTGATCGGACCCTCTGGTTAACTCACACTGATTGATTGTGACTTAGTAGGAAATTACATCAGCAGACGTCATCCAAAACAACTGGCATTAGTAAAATTAGAAGAGTTATTGGTGAAGAAGACTGGAAGCAAAGTAAAATAAGCAGAGATTGTGTTTATAATCTAACTCCTGACACCAATAAACACGGTGGAATTCTCCCACAGCTGTTACTAAACTCTCGACACTGAAAAAAATGTGAAATTCCTCCACAGACGTAATTAACGGGGCTTTGATTTCTCACAAAGCGGTGTAAAAAACGGCACTTGTTCTGGTCAATGAACACAACATTTAACATCACACAACTGCTCTGGTCCTCTTACTGGATTAAATTATAATATATTTTGATAGAATAAATGCTTTTAATATTTTTTTATCTTATATTGGATGTTTTTTTAAGCTAATCAGTGACATCACTCACTGCTAAAGCAGTCGCAATATGCTGACGTCTGAGCAAAGTTCTGAAAGGGCTGAATTTGAATGAAGACGCAACAGTTGAGAGGACAGGACATCCTATCTCCTGGTCAATTTCCTCATTCCAGGAACTACCCCGGAGTTCCGGTAATGGGAACTCAGCTATTGTCATGATACAAAAATAGTCGGGCCTGATCGGGCTCAAATGGAGCGTGGTTAGACCAACATGTAGAGAAAAATCCTTAGCCTGTCTAGATTTCTAGGCTAGTTGATAATTATTTTTCACACTTGTTTATACAGAATAAAATGAGCAGTGTTAATCCAACACTTAAAGAGTCAATTTCAACACTGAGCCAGTGAACATATGGTCCCATCCTGTACAGTGTAAAAGCTACACTGATCTCAGTGTTGCATACTCAGATTCAATTTTACTCTCATTAGAGTTAAATTCAGTTATAGAGTAAACCTTCTTTAACTCTCACAACTATTAAATTGCTTTAACTACATAAGATATTTAACACTCAGTGTTATTTTAGTATGACACTAACTAAAAACATGACTACCCACAATGCACCTTGCCCTCTGCAACTAAAGAAGCAGAGGAAGAAGAAGGTGGAGCTTACTAGAGTACTTTTTACTCTGCTTTGGAGTAATTATCATCAACACTGGAGTATAGAGTACTCCAAAAGAGTAGATTTTCTTTAACACCTGACAGGTTACACCATAAAGTGTCGTTTTAAAATATCAGTTTTAACTCTGAAAAATAACACCAACATCGCAGGGCAAAGGGAGCTATTTTACACAGAATTTCAATGAATTGGGTGTATTTAGATGTGAGAGAAAGAGATCCCATTATATCAGTACTAGAGGGTTAGCATAAACTGTATTACTCGTTTCATATTTAATTTTTTCTCGATCCTACATGATGCAGATTTCCATCCATCAGAACAAAATGAGACCAGCATCACTCTGCAGTGGAGTAAAGTCAACAACAGTGTCAGTTTTGTTCTCCAGTTTAATGGAACAGAGACCAGCATCAGTGCACCAGATGGAGATGGACCAGTAACTTACACGGTCTCATCGCTGACTGCTGGAACTAAATACACATTCACTCTGTTCTCTGTGTTTGAGAACATCTGGAGCTCTGGCGAACAACTTACAACTGCTACTGGTAAGATGCTTTAGATCACCAGATTGGTTTTTTTAAGGTAACAGTTATCCAAACCAACCTGGATCTATATTAGGAGAAACCAACCCAAACACTTTTTGAGCTTCTTTTACATACCATGTTAAACCACTTACATTGTGCACATTATTGTGTAAAGGAGAGTTTTGGAATCGCTAATCAGTTATCCAAAAACCATTTTCCATATCTTTGAATACAAAAAACGCCCTACTTTTTTACTTTATAGTTCATTTGAATAATATTCACAGCACATCACTTTCATATATATAGAAATATATAGAAATATGTATGTATGCTTGTTTATATGTATATGTAGTGGATACGTGTGTACATCTATATGTATATGTATAGATGAACTATGCGCGACCATATGGGCATGCAATGCACTTTAATGTACACATGTATGAATAGGTATATGTGCAAAAATTCCTTTTGCTTTTTGAATTATTACTATTACTTTTTTCTTTCGTCTTTACAAATTGAACTCAAGTTAGCTAACCAGTCATCAATGACTTTGTATAGGCTAATTTAGAATTATTGTTATTTCAGTGGAAAAATATAATTTTGGTTAAAAAGGGGCAGATAACATAGGTTTTCTTCTTTCTGTACCCTTTTCATTTTCTTGGTTTGAGAAACCTCATTTTATTTGTTAGTATTTTTTTTCTATTTTAATAATAAATGAAATAAGCAATTAAAAAATGGTATATATATATATATATATATATATATATATATATATATATATATATACGGTATATATTTGTGTTACTACTTTATGCATTTGCAGCTTAATTGGAGTCCACCTGTGGCAAAAGTTGATTGTACATAATTTTAAAAAGCAAACACCTGTGTGTTTATAAGGTTCAGCAGTTAACAGTGCATGTTAAAGCACCAGAAGATCTGTTTTAAAACTTCTGAGACCAGATTGCCTCATCTGTCAGTGGGATAAACCAACAGGAAGGGCTTTTTAGTCAGTGAAGTGGCCATCCACCCATTTTCCTCTGCTTATGCAGAGTGGTGTCACGGGGCGAAAGAAACTTGGCGAACTCCCACGCACCCTCAATGACCTCCTGAAAAGTATAGAAGTGGTCCAGTATTCCACGGCCTGGACGAAAACCACCTCTGAGACCTCAGCAACAAAGATTGGAGAGCCCAGCCCAAAGTCCCCAGACTCTGCTTCCTCACTGAAAGACGTGCCAGTGGGATTGAGGCCAGCCTCAAATGGAGGAGTTTACGTGTCTGGGTTTCTTGTTCATGAGTGAGGGGAAATGGAGCACAAGATCGACAGGTGGATTAAAAAATTTTAAATGACCAAAACATTTCATTAAAATGAGAAAAGCAAATATGATGACCAAAAGATACGAGGAAAGGGAAAAATAAAATGAAAAGGGCAATCAGTGGATCCCGGGAAAAAGCAGAATCGTCAGAAAGAGCAGAATGAAGCTAAGGCTGGTATTTGCAAGCATCCAAATTAAATGCCATCTGCCTAGAGGGCGAGCATCTAATCTATAAGAACCCACCCGTTTGGCTAAATGGGTGAGCTCTATTTGATTTGTCAAAAACTTCATGTTCTGTGTCACGGCTGCCAGCCTTGAGTGAGGAGCAGGAGCCAAGATCACCAAGCTCCAGTGAATCGGCCTGACACCGCCCCTCCTTCTCCTATCTCCCGGGCTGCTGAGGAGCACAGCTGAACTGAATCTACCTGATGAAGCAAACACCTGCATAAAAGGGCTGTGCCTTCAGCAGTCTGGGAGGCAGCAGTGCAGGGGTTCTGCTGTCCTCCAGGATTCATTTGGTTTAACCCCCGTCCGTCCGTCCGTCCGTCCGTCCGTCCGTCCGTCCGTCCGTCCGTCCGTCCGTCCGTCCGTCCGTCCGTTCGGATGAGTTTTTACTTAAAAGTTTAAACTCTTGGATGATCCATAAGGATATTTTGTGTGCAGGTTGTTTTTAAGGTTAACTTTGTCTGTGGCTATTTTACTGACCTCGGTTTTAAACACCTTCCGTTGTGGTAAAGCTTTTAAAATAAGTTTTTACCAGGTGTTTTTAGTCAGTACAATGTTTGTAGCCTTTTATCAACTTCAGGATTTTAAAACACCTTCGTTGCGGTAAAACTTTTAATATAAGTTTTAACCAGGTGTTTTATAGTTGATGATTTGTTGATGTTAACCTTTTAGAGATCTGTTTGCTGTGTTTTGATACCTTTCTGTACAAATAAACCCATTTTAAACTCCTCCACCAGTTCTTATGTTTTCCCCATCCTTCACACTTTTAACATCTCATGTTGGGGACGTAACATTCTGTTTGACTGACAAAATGCATTATGTGTAGCAAACATTTGTGCTAACTATTTATTGCAGTATTTCCCTGTTCTTTGTGATGTGCATATTGTGCATGCTGATATCACAATGACGGTACTCTAAGGATATATTGTGCAGCCCCATATAACAGTAAAAAAAAGTTATGCGCTGTAAAGGCACTGTACATCCCTCACAAATTTAGAACTATTTCTTATCAATCTCCCTCTTACCAGACCTACTCCTTCTGACAGTTCCTGCACAGTCCTATTGTCACTATAAATAACACATGAATACCGGTTTGGAAAAAACACAAGGAGCACTGGTGGCACTTACAAAGTCAACTTACCTCTCCGATTCTTTTAACTTTTTGTGTTTTTATTTCGTTTCAGCTCCTCTAAATGCAGATGGCTTCAGATCATCAGGACAAGATCAAACCAGCATCACTCTGCAGTGGAATAAAGTCAACAATGTTGTCAGTTTTATTCTCCAGTTTAACGATGCAGAGTTAACTTTTTCTGGACAAACTGGAGATGGACCAGTAACTCACATAGTCGCACCTCTCACTGTTGGAACCGAATACACATTCACTCTGTTCTCTGTGTTTGAGAATGTCTGGAGTTCTGGAGTCAGCATCACTGCTTCTACTGGTGAGATACCTCACTTCACTTATTTAATTCAAGTAGAACAAGCATTTTTATTTTCTGATAAAGTATTAAAATGACCATTTTCTTTGGTTTATGTTAATAATTAATGCAGCCATAGTTATGAGTAAAGAAAAATGTTTTTCCATTTTTTTTTATCTTCCATTTATTTTCCGTACATAAAATTTGAGTGGGCCATGTTCTGTACCCCATTATGGAGGAGACTAATTTGTGGAGGAGACTAATCAGAGCTGTGGCTGTAAGGTGGTTGTACCTCACTACAATGTAAACCACCAAACCTGATGCTGTCAAGCTGAAGGAATGAGGTATTTTTGGCCTGTGGTACTCCAGGCAGCTTATGAGTACTGGCATGCTAATCGGTCGTTGAGGCATAAACACGAGCATAGGAGAAGTTACGGTAAGTGAGACCACGGAAAAAGGTCTTCCACACGGCTTCGAGGAGGTTCTGGTCTACCATTCAGCATCTCAGGAGGGGAAGCCGTTGCACTACCAACACTGTTTATAGTGGGGACAGTGTGCTGCTGACTGTGACTCAGGACGTTGTGAGTTGGTGGGTAGAGTACTTCAAAGTCCAGTGAGGAACCGGATTCTGGGGACTTTGAGTTGGGCTCTCCAATCGTTGGTGCTAAAGTCACTGAGGTGATCAAAAAACTCCTCGGTGGCAAGGTCTCAGGGGTGGGTGAGATCCACCCAAAGTTCTGTAGGGCTCTGGATGTTGGTTAACGCAGCTCTGCAATATCCGTCCTGCATTATTGACAGTCTCCTGTTTTAAGTTTAACTCTTTCAAATACTGTGGTGAAGGTTCTGCCGTTCACTCAAGCCAGGAGGCGCGATTTTAAAGCAGGTCTGAAGCATACGGAGGATGCACACAAACCACTAAGGCCTAGTCCACACGTAGCCGGGGTTTTTTAAAAACGAATACCCGCCCCTCCAAAAACTTGCATCCACACCACCGCGTTTTAAAAACAAACTCTGTCCACACGTACCCGGATAAATACGTTGTTAAGGACATGCCAGACCTGTAGGCGGCAGTACTTCCCCCGTTCTTAACCTCGTCCTTCGTCTGTGGTCTTCCGCAAGGAGCAGTAATTCCGCTTGCAAAAACAAACAAGCAGAAAGCGCTTGGACAATTGATGGATCGGGTAGTGACAGAGCTTAGCTCTGAAGGCTTCCATGCTGTCGGCTAGTGTAAACACAGGTCGCACACGTGATGTCAGCATTGCTTTGTCGCGGAAAGTGACGTTGCGGACCTTAAAACTCCGGTTTTGTCCGTCCACACGCAGTCACCCAAAACGGAGAAAACGCAGATCTTCACTTTGGCCGGAGTTTTTAAAAAGATCCGTTTTCGTGTGAAAAAACTCCGTCTTCGTGTGGATGACAGGCCAAAACGTAGAAAAATATCTACGTTTTGGCAGATCCCCGGCTACGTGTGGACAGGGCCTAAAACAATAAGAAAATCAGTAAGCACGGAGGACAGAGAGACGAGTGTGGTGGTGGTGTTGTGGGTTAAAGCTGTTCAGGGCAGCTTGGACAAAGTCTTGGTTGTTTCTCAGTCATATTTTGTGTCACAGTGAGGAGTCTGATATATAACGAAACAGAAAATCGAAGTCACAAAAAATATGTTGGTCAAAAGCGGGTTTCCCAGTAGTTAGCCAGGCTCATCCTACAACCCAGAGAAGGTTCTAACAACGACAATGTGCTGGGGTTTTGTTGTTTCAGATAGATATGAGCTGAACCCTTTTATTTTCTCGAGCTGAACCCCTTTAAAGCCCAAAGAAACGCTGAGAGAAGGAAACTCTAGCTTTGATGACTTTTTCTCAGGATTCTGAGAGAGAAAAGTCAGGATTCTAAATTTAGGTCTGACTTTTTCAGAGATTAAGACCAGTGATGTTTTTTTTCTGCTCCCTGAATAGTTACTATAACAGTAATGCCACGAAAAATGTTGTACATACATACATCAATGCATACTTAAATACATACAAACTTTTAGTGTCTTTTTGTTGTAGAAATTCAGTTCAGTTATTCAGTGACAACTCTGATGGGGTAGTGCCTGTTAAGTTGATGCCCCTCCTGGCCACCTGGTGCTTTAAAGAAACAATGTGTAATTTTTACCCTTAATTTCTAGAAATATTCATCAAAATGTTGTTGAAAATGAATTAAATGATGCCCAGTTGTTGAAAAATATTGGCGGCTTTGTAGCGTGGGCAAATCGATGATTTTTATTTGTTATGACCAGGAAGATGTAATATTTGATATAAATATAAAATATTAACCTGCTAGGTCTTTATTGTAATTATTCAGAAGATTCTAGGATTTAATTCAGAAGATCTAAGCTCTGTTTTTTCAGTGATCAACCACACTTTGTGTTATTTCAAGAAAGAGTCAGGTTTATAAAAGTAAGAATTTATATTACAAACAATTTAAAACATGACTAATTAACTAAGCATTTACTCTGAGAGGATGTAACTAAACGTGATGAAGGATCCTATGTGTGAATGCGATGTCAGTCAGAGCTTCCTTATCACAATAAGCTGAGTTCTGGTGAAAAGAATTTGGTTTGCTCTAAGCTATAAAGTTCTTATCATCAGAAGAACATCAGACGCAATCTGTCATGTCTACTTCACCCGTTTTTGAGAGACCCTCTTGGTGGATCTGAAAATCGCAGGGGTCAGCTGACCTCTGGCACCGGAGGACTGTAGAATACCGTGGTACCGACTCTTCAGTCCAGAGATGTCTCGGGTCACAACAGCTGGATGGAACCGTGCGTCTGGCGGACTCTTAAGGAGTCTAACAATATCAGCTTTGTTTATGCGGGAACTGTTTGCTCATCAGCTTTGCAGGTGAAAAAAAGGTTTTGACGACGTGTCAAAATCTTTGATGGTTAAAGAGGTTTTGCTACAGATGGCCAGTCTGAGCGATTCTCTAGAACTAACGAATCACTCAGCATGATCCAGTTGTAAGGTTTTGATGTTATGATTTGCACAGCCAATCAAAGGCTGACAGCTTGGGAGATGTTACCAAGACAACTCAGAAAAACACCTTCTTGATACAGGATGTTCTTACTGGTTTAATACTATGTGTGTCAGGGTTTAACTTAACCTTACTTGTTATTGTGTGAGTGCAGGTGTGAGGACCTTGTCGTCAAAACATGTTGAACACATGGCAGGTTCTTGTAGAGGAGTGCCGTCAATTGATCCCAGCCTTACAGCCCCACCCTCAGTTCCACCTCTCTTCCCTTTTTTTTTTGGAATTGTCTGGGCTTGAAAGAACCTGTGACACGGTCAAAATGGCAGTGGTGGCCGCCTCCAATTTCAGCTTAAAAACGTATTTGTCAGGTTCAATTGGCTGAGCTGATGTGGAGCAGAGGTTTCTTGTAGCGTGGCTGTGTGACCCAGACGTGGAGGGGCTGGCATTGGGTTGAACAGAGCACGCGGATTTCATCTGGGAATGGCGACGCAGCGCTCGGAAAGAGCCGAGACTGAGCGGTAGTTCCAGATAAACAGGGAAGCCGACTTACTGGTGGTAGGCAGCGTGGAAAGATCTCTTTCCTGGTTTGAGGGCTGGTGAGCCTGAGAACTCGGTTTAATGTCTGTCATGAACGATGACTGAGTGATCACTCAGCGGCAGCACTTCCGTATACAGAGTTGGCGTGATGACGTTGTCGAGCTGCGCCGGTGATGGGGATGCTGGGTAGTGTAGTGCTCTGCCAGTTAGGTCCGTAGGGGGTGGTAGGAGGGGGAGTTCGTGACAGGACCCCCCCCCCACCCCCACCCCGCCCCGAGGGATGGCCCCAGAAGTACCAGGGTGGCATGCCCAGAAATCGGTCAACAGGGCCGGGTCCAGAAACGAGCGAGCGGGTTCCCAAGAGCGCTCCTCCAGACCGTAGCCCACCCAGTCCACCAGGTAATGCCAACCACGTCCTCGGCGGCAGGCTTCCAGAATCCTGCAGACAGTGTACACACGATCCTCGTCAACACAGCGGGGCGGAGGCACCCGGGCCGGAGGACGGTGGAGGAGAGGAGACCACCGGCTTGAGCTGGGAGACATGGAAGACCAGGTGAATCCTGAGAGCGGCCGGAAGGCGCAGCTGGTACGGGACCAGATTGATGACCCTATGGACTGGGAAGGGCCCCAGGAAGCGGGGAGCGAGCTTTCGGGAGCCCACCGGCATCTTCAGATTAGCGGAGGAGAGCCACGCCTGGTCACATGGCTGGAAGACGGGGCCTGGCCAATGGCGGCGGCGATGTTGACGGGAGTACGCCGTGTTGGTCCGAGTGATGGCCGCACGGGCCCGGATCCAGGCAAGACGACAGCAGTGGACCAGAGTCTGAGCAGCAGGGACTTCCACCTCAGGCACCTGGTGGCCGAACAGAGGGGGCTGGTACCCATAACACGTCTCGAAGGGAGAAAGACCCATGGCAGAGGAGGTATGGAGATTGTGGGACAGTTCTGCCCACAGGAGGAATCGGGGCCAGGTGGATGGTTGGGACGAGGCGAAGCAGCGCAAGTAGCGTCCCAGCTGCTGGTTCGCCCATTCTGTCTGACCGTTAGTCTGTGGGTGGTAACCGGAGGATAGGCTGGTTGAAGCGCCGACCAGACGACAGAAGGCCCTCCAGAAACGCGAGACGAACTGGGGTCCTCGGTCGGATACCACGTCCTGGGGGAAGCCGTTAGATGCACGGCCTTCGAGAACTGTTCGTTGATGGTGAGGATAGTGTCCAGGTGATTGACAGCGGGCAGTCCCGTGATAAAATCCAGGCTGATGTGGGACCACGGCCACTTGGGCACGGGGAGCGGTTGCAGGTCCCCGGCGCCAGGTTGGGTGGACGACTTGGACCGGGCGCATACATCACATCACAGTGAACTCGCGAACATCCTTCCTCATAGAAGGCCACCAGAGAGCAGGGGGCGCCACCGCTTACTCCAAGTCCATGCAGCTGCGTCTACGTGATGAACATGAAGGATGGGGAGAGGAAGCAAATGAAGTCACGTTACATCTAAGCTGGACACCCATTTCACCTGAAGCCATTTGATTTCACAGAAGTAAATTCTTTTCATAGTTGTTTGTTTGACTTTCCTTCATGTGGAAAAAGACGTCTCCTCTGCGTCTGCCACCTGTATATGTAGAGGACATCTGATTATTGATGCGCTTTACTTGCTGTTGCGCATGCTCCCGCTGCCACGTCTGCCCTTTGCTCCCCATCCCAGCGCACCGCCATATACGCATTCCCTCTAATGTGCAAAAGGCGCATAACTGTCGTGAAGCGCACCGCCGCCATGCGTACGCTGTCAGCTCAGGCAAGAGGAGAGAAAAAAGAGACGAGTTATTCCACACCGTGCACATTCCAGCAATGATGGACAGCATGCAGCACCTGACCAACTAGTGATCAGATGTGCCAGCATTAAAAACACGCAACACAAGACAAACAAAGAATATGAAATAAAGAAGCAAGAGCTACTGTAACTGGGTGCTGCTCAAACATTTTTCTCATTTTATAACATTTTAATCATTTTTTATTTTTAACCTTTGTTTTTGTGAAGTGCCTTTTGGTTTTTATCTTGAGAGGCACTATATAAAAGGTATTGTCTTCTTTTTCTCCACATCATGAAATGTTTCTCATTAATGTACACACAGCACCCCATATTGACAGGAAAACACTGAATTCTAGAAATTTCTGCAGTTATTAAAAATACAAACTGAAATATCACATGGTCCAAAGTATTCTGACCCTTTCCTCAGTATTTAGTTGAAGCACACTTTTGAGCTAATACAGTTCAATTCAATTCAATTCAAGTTTATTTATATAGCGCCAAATGACGACCAGAGTCGTCTCAAGGCACTTCACATAATAAACATTCCAATTCACAGTTCATTAAGCCAATCAGAAACAATGTTTCCTATATAAGGAACCCAGCAAATTGCATCAAGACACTGATTAGTGTCAGTGACTATACAGTAATCCTCATACTAAGCAAGCATGCAGCGACAGTGGAGAGGAAAACTCCCTTTTAACAGGAAGAAACCTCCAGAGAATCCTGGCTCAGTATAAGCAGCCATCCTCCACGACTCACTGGGGATCAAGAAGACAGAGCACACACACACACACACACACACGCACGCACGCACGCACGCACGCACACACACACACACACACACACAATAATGTGTCCATAGTTCTATTGGGATGTCTTAGTAAATATTCTATTTTGTGAGATCAACTTTATTGTATTTATCCTAGTGGATCTCTAATTAAATGGGTAAACTAGCAGTAACACGTCCAACGTCAAGTAAAGCAAAAAGTTATTATCAGGAGAGGGATAATGTTTAAGTGGTTAGCAGCAGTGTGCTAGACGATGGCCCCCTCCATGAGGCCGCCACAGCTCTGCAGAACGTCGTTGTAGCTTCCTCTGGGGAGAAAAACACTTGGAGAGAAAATAAAGTTAACCGCTGAAATTGCAGAAAGGAATAGAGTTAAAGAGCAGATAGCAGCCACCAGTCTTGTTGGTAAAGAAGCAACAAGTTTCTTACACCAGGATTTGGGGATCCTCTGCCATTCCTCCTTGCAGATCCTCTCCAGGTCTGTCAGGTTGGAGGGTGAACGTTGGTGGACGGCCATTTTTAGGTCTCTTTAGAGATGTTCAATTGGGTTTAAGTCAGGGCTCTGGCTGGGCCATTCAAGAACAGTCACAGAGTTGCCGTGAAGTCACTCTTTTACTATTTTAAGCCTGCCGCTCATGAGAGCAAACTGCTGAGCTAACAGTCATTTGAGGCCATTTGCTCAGCAGTTACCTCGCTGTGTGCACCTGATTTTCACTCCGTTTTTGCAGTGAAATTTTTAACCAGTCGTCCTGTCCCTGCAGCTAAAAAAAACACCCCCACAGCATGATGCTGCCACCACCATGCTTCACTGTGGGGGATGTCTTGAACTATTGAAATAATAAAAGGAGAAGGTGTAGGACCATCTCAAGGATGATCAGAAGAAATATAAAGCACCTGAGTTAAATATATGAGTGTCACAGCAATGCGACAGTTCAGCTTGTCTTTAATAAATCTGCAGAAATTTCTAAAATTCTGTTTTTCTACCAATATGGGGTGCTGTGTGCTCATTAGTGAGGAAAAAAAATTATTTAATTAATTTCAGCAAATGGCTACAATTTAAGAGTGAAAAATTGACGGGGTCTGAATACTTTCTGTATCCACTGTAGGTAGTTTCAGCTCGTTAAGCAAGAGAAACAGCTGCTCTTTTTAAGCTTGACCCTCCCATTTTCCAGTCATAATTGACAAAGCTTCTTTGATGAGAAGCAAAACATCTTCAAGAAACCAAAGAAATCCAGTTGCTTTCACTCAAACTCCTTTAGATTACCATTACCTGTATGACCGACCATCTTCACCAGTACAATGGGATTTTATTACAGCAGACTGAATAGAAAGTAAAATATCTGAATCTGTTCTATTATACGAGATTTACAATAACTCTAATTTATTTCTGCAGCTATGTTCAATGCTCCCTTTGCCCAAAATCATCAGTACTACTTTGTGAACACACCAAGGACCTGGAGGGAGGCTCAGACTATCTGCAGACGAGACTACACTGACCTGGCTACAATAACAAACATAAAGGATGTTGCTGCTGTTGTCAACACCACCTCTAGATATACAGGTGAGCTGATCTGAACTACTCATAGGCAGCATGTACGTTTACATTTACATTTACTGGTGAGGCTCAGACTGGTGAAAATCTTTTCATCACCTCAAATCTTCTAAATGTATTACATTTTAGATCAATCAGCCCTTGAGGACATGATTCACTGCAGCCCATTTAAATGCCAAACTTTTTTTTTTTCAACAGGCCAGGCTTGGATAGGTCTATATGATGACATGATAAATGGCTGGAGATGGTCTCTATCTGACAGCAGCTTCTATGGTGAAGGAGAGACCACATATAGGAACTGGTATCCTGGTTACCAAAACATTTACCAAAGCACACAGACCTGTGCTTCTATGTATGGTTTTGACTCATACTACAGGTGGTATGGCTATCCCTGCACAAACCAACTACCATTTGTGTGCTATAATGGTACGTTTTCACACGGTGGAACAGATAAACTTTCTCATTAATGCAGTTTATGGTTTTAATGCCACTTACTGAATGATCCAATTTTAGGTATCCATTAAAAATTATTTGTTTTAAAATTACAACATATCAGATTATTTTGTTCCTGTCTGACGTAAGACACTGTAGGGATTTGGTAAGAAGAACTCTTTATTCTAATGTTGTTTTCTATTTTTTTCTACGTATAGGTCAAATAAATGGCTCACAATCTTTTGTTTTCATAACCGAATCTCTAAATTGGATGGATGCTCAAAGCTTCTGCAGAGAAAATTATATTGACCTCGCCAGGTACAGCTAACATAATGAATACAGCTCTGTATTGAAGTATTTGCCTAGTTACAGATTTTTTTAGGTTTTTATTGTACCAGTTTAATGCTTCAGATCAACAAAAAAATTCAAACATCAGACAAAGACAACCCGTGTCAGTAGAAACTGCAGTATTCAAGTCATGATTTAATTTTTTATGGAACATCTGCCTATCTCTAGCAGTCACTGGGGAAACAGACAGAGTGCACTCTGACAGACAGCCAGTCCTTCACAGGGTAGCACAGATATGCAGAGGACAAACAAGCATGTAGGCACACTTAATCTTCTTAGGACAATTAAGAGTGGCCAGCAACCTAACAGTCTTATTTTTGGACTGTGGGAGAAAGCCAGAGTATGCATGCAAAGGGAGAACATTCAAACTCCATGCAGAAAGACCCCAGGTTGGCATTTTGACTCAGGACCTCCTCTCTGAGAAGCAACAGTGCTAACCACTGCACCACTGTGAAGCTCCTGTTGAGAGAATAAATGTATTAAAATAAACCAAATTTAACTTCCTAAACTGAAAATCTGGGCTCAGTCATTTTTGATGAGTCTCTCATAACATAGTGAAAGAAAAAGATGTAAAAATGTGCTTGGTCAAAGTGAATCCAGACTTTTGAAATGCATGTATACACCTTAGTCTGTCTGAAAATGAACTGAAAAAGCCTACTCCTTATTTGGTCACCCAGATAATGCGATTAAAAACAAGAATCCATTTAAACACTTCCTTGATAACTCAAACTATGACCAGACTGGGCGCTTCTCCTTCAGCAAGTGACAGGACCGCAGTAGTGGTCCTCTGAAATCATATCATCACCACAAGACTCTGCGTGCATCTGTTGTGATACATCACCAAACAGTACAGCGTGTTCCGAATGTGCTATCCTGCAATGTTGTTCAAGTGGCAGTGTTGAATGCTCTGTGCAGTCACTAAGATTGTACTTAACTTATTAAAAACACATTTAAAAAAAAGATGTTGTTCGATGCAAAGGTGAGAGCAAATTGGAAAATAGCAATAGCCTTTATTGATGCCATCCAAAACAATGACACACTGCAGGGACCACTGAGATATTTCTGATCTAATACAAAAATTATTTAGTTTAACCAAACAGAGCTTTGGGCAGGAAATGTCATATATTGTCTGTCAAATCAGACATCCTAGTGGTATGAGTGTCCACCTTAAGACTGGAGAACTGGAGCTCTAACCTGGTCAGGTCATACCAAAGACTTTTAAAAATAGGACCCAATGCCTTCCTGCTTGACACTCAGCATTAAGGGGTTTGATTGAGTGGTTAAATCACCAAATGACTCCTGAGCGCAGTACTAATGGAACAGGCCTGGACTGAATGATGGCACCTCTAACTTAGTATTGTGTTGCACAACCTTTTGAGGCAGTTTCTGCAATCAAATGATTCCTGTAACTGTCAATGAGACTTCTGCACCTCTCAGCAGGAATTTTGGCCCACTCCTCATTAGCAAACTGCTCCAGTTGTCTTAGGGTTGAAGGACACTGTGGTGGTCTGCTGGGTTGTGCTCATCTGCAGGGGGAGTAGAGAATGGATGTGACAGCAGGAATGTGTGCAACAACAGCTGAAGCGCACCAGCAATTGTCATGGTCTGCGTCTGCGTCTCCCCTCGTGTGTCTCCTTGTGTTCTCCATCCCTCTCTAGGTTCTCCTTTTGTGTCTCCTAGTGCCCTCATGTGTCCTTGTTCTGCATCTTCCTCATGTGTCTCCTGGTGTTCTCCATTTTCCCCCAGATCTTCAGCCCTCTAGGTTTCCCTCCTCAGATATCCCCCTCCCAGTTCCTGTGCTCCCATGGCCCCCTTTAGTCACGCCCCTGTAGCCTTTCTTTCTGTAGTGTTTTTCCTTTAGTTTCAGCTTCCCCCTTAGAATATTATGTTTTTTGCCCTCTCTTAGGTCATTTTCCTTTAGCTACAGCTGTTCATGTTATTAGTCTCTCTAGTGTGTTCTTCCCATCGGTGTTTGAGCCCCCCCCCCCCCCCCCCAGATTATTAAGATATGTTTCCTGCTCTTCTTGTCTTTAGGTTTTATTCTTAGGTCATGTTAGTTTTCCTCCCTGATTAGTAACTCAGTTCACCTGGTCTCTCTCCCCACACACCTGCAGGTCATCTCCCTCTCATCCTCTCCAGTGTATAAAGCCCTGTCTGTGTCTCTGTGTCTTGTTGGTCCATTGTTTGGTGTCAGCGTTGTTTTTGTGCCTCGTCTCTAGGTTTTGTGCTCTATGTGAGCTTTCGTTCTCCTGGTGTTCAGGACTTTGGTTTTTGGCTTCCTGCCCTTTGGATTTTTATGTTCCTCATCCTAATAAAAGGAATTTTACTTCATAAACTGCTTCTGCCTCATGTCATCTGGGGTATTCTGCATCTTGGGTCCTAACCTCCTCCTAACTCGCAATGTGACAGCAATCAGACACCCTCCTCTAAATACAGTATACAGGTGGCAGATGCAGAGAAAGAAAGAAACAATCTTTTATACGCTTCGCAAAAACATAAAAATTTTTCAAGTATTAAATGAGAAAATATAAAAATTGTGATTAAAAAATTTTTAAGGAAAGGGGGAGAAAATAAATAGGAAAGGGGGAAATCAGTGGATCCCGGGAAAGGCAGAATAAAGCGAGAGTACCAACAATTTTTTCCACGTCTGTATGTTTGAACATAGCGAGATATCTTCATAGCAAGGCCAGGTACCTTTATTTATAAAGCACATTCTATCCACAGAAGCAATTCAATGTGCAACTTTGTTCATTCAGCTTTACGTTTTATTCTCTGTTCAGAGACGAGGGTGGGGAGGTGACTTAATGTGCACAAGGGTATTCAAGTTGGTAAATGTGGCAGAAATTCACCATGTTACTGCACTAGTTTCCAAAATGTGCTTACACCAAGGTCAGAGTTTGCGCACATTTTTCTTGTCACAAAGTATTTTCTTCATAAATCACAAAGTTTGTCTAGAAAGTAACTTGTGCAAATTCCAGACCATATTTTGTCTGAATGTAAGCTTTAGAAATGAGACATGAGGCCTCTGTTCTTTTCATGACATGCTAACATACTTCTCCTTTTATACAGTGTTCGAAATCAGACAGAAAATAGCATCATCCGTAATCTAATAGGTTACACACAGGCATGGATTGGTCTGTATCGGGAAAAGTTATGGTCTGATGGCAGCAGCTCTCTGTTTCAATACTGGTCATACTACGAGCCAAATGGTTATCCTGGAAATTACTATGATCCAAAATGTATAGCTGCATCATCATATGACTCAGGAAAATGGTCTGACGAACAATGTACAGAGAGATTGCCGTTCATCTGTTACAGAAATGGTAATGTATCTTTTTCCTTCCCTTACATTTAATAAATGCTCTTAAAAAGGGTGAGACACACAGTAGTTGTGATGCTGTGCTGTAATAAATAGCTCTACATGTTAATTTCATTTATATAGCACCAAATCACAAGAGACATCTCAAGGCACTTAAAGTAAACAGTCTAGTTGAACCTACTTATTAGTGCACTGAGTTAAGTCATACCAATTAGATAAAGGTTTCCTGTTTAAGTGGGACTTGTTGCAGTAATACAAGTTTGCAAAAAAATCCGTTCTGAAATGAACTGATGTGGCTTGAAATTAACACAACCCACAATAATTGTAAGTTTAATTCAATTTATACAAGATGATGTTTGAAAATGAATTAAATAATGCTCAGTTGAATAATAATGGTGGTTTTATAACATATAAGCGGGTCTAAAATACATGGGAGTGTGTCGAAGTCTCTGTGCAACAACATATTAGACACTATGTTTCCTTCTACGGGAGCCTGTGAGGACAAAACACATTTACTGATTTGTAAGAAGCAGTTCAGTACTAGACTTTCACCATTCTTAAACGTTGTTTGTTTACACAATTACCTCTTCACTCGTTGTCAGTGGTGAAAGGGAGTCTGATGTGCTTGTCATTTTGGTGGAGGTTGAACGAACTGACAAAGTACTCGTTCAAAAATTGCGCTCCCATTTATTTTTTACTTTAATGGCCATCCATTGGTCTTATTGAACACAAAAATTCAGCTATCTTGCAGTGATTTAGTTTTGTAGTGTCCCCTATTACCTCGAAAAATGCACACTGTCACTTTAAATGTGAGGAAGAGGGATCAGATTTATTCTACTAGCCTATGAGTTTTAGGGTTAGTATAAACTGTATTACTTGTTTCATTTGCTGTGTTTATTTTGTTCTCACTTCTCCTTGATGCAGATTTCCATCCATCAAAACAAAATGAGACCAGCATAACTCTGCAGTGGAGTAAAGTCAACAACAGTGTCAGTTTTGTTCTCCAGTTTAATGGAACAGAGACTAACATCAGTGCACCAGCTGGAGATGGACCAGTAACTTACACAGTCTCATCTCTAACTGCTGGAACTAAATACACATTCACTCTGTTCTCTGTGTTTGAGAACATCTGGAGCTCTGGAGTAGAACTCACAGCTGCTACTGGTAAGATGTTTTAAACCATTTTTGTTAATCTCCGCAATGTTTTATCCTACAAAGAAAAAAAATTTGTAATATAGCGTCCTTTAGCCAGAGAGTACTTTCCACTACAGATTTCATAGATCAGCAAACAAATTTATCAATTAACGATAAAATTCAGTTTTCAAAATTTTTCATGTGTTTTGGCAACAAAGCTTTATTAACCAACCTTGGATCTATGTGTGGAGAAACCACCTCCGACCATTATTTTAGCTGCTTGTACACATGCTTTTTTACATTTTCTTCAACTTATCTGGGGTCTGGTCGCATGGGCAGCAGCCTAAGCAGGGAGGCCCAGACTTCCCTCTCCCCAGCACTCAAGTCAGCTCCTCCAGGAGAATCCCAAGGCGTTCCCTGGCCATCCGAGAAACATAGTCCCTCCAGTGTGTCCTGGGTCTTCCTTTTTACATATTATTGTAATAATAAGCTTTTGCATATTATTGTAAACCAGTGTCATTGTCATGCTAGTGCCTGTTGTGTTGTTGCTTTATCTTTAATTAAACAAACCACTGAGGATCAAAAAGATCTATTCACTTCTACTCTACCACCCTCAACTATTTGAACCCACTTTTTCTCATCAGCCTTACTCTAACCTGAATTGATCAATCTGAAAACCCCTATCCAGTCACATTATCACTATTAATTATTAATAACACATTGATATTGGTAAGGGCAAACACTACATGTAGCACTGATTTAGCTTTGAAAAAGTCAACTTACCTCTCACATTCTTTTAAATGATTTGAAGTCTCATTTTCCTTTCAGCTCCTCTAAATGCAGATGGGTTCAGATCATCAGGACAAGATCAGACCAGCATCACTCTGCAGTGGAACAAAGTCAACAATGGTGTCAGCTTTGTTCTCCAGTTTAATGGCGCAGAGTTAAAATATTCTGCACCAGCTGGAGATGGACTAGTAGCTCACACGGTCTCATCTCTGACTGCTGGAACTGAATACACATTCACTCTGTTCTCTGTGTTTGAGAATGTCAGAAGCTCTGGAGTCAGCATCACTGCATCCACTGGTGAGATAAGTCACTTCACATATTTAGTGTTTAAGTGGAATAATTATTTTTATTTTTGAAATAACAAAAAAATGTAATAACTTTTTCTTTAATTTAACATCAATAATTTGTGCAGCTATAATTTAGACACTGCAATGAATGTAGAATTACAGTTTAATTAATGACCATAGACATTAAAGATCCATATCGAGTATGAATCCGATCTAATGGACACTGAGTTATTTAAACCAGAAGATTGGATCTTTTTATTGCAGGGATTAGATAACCGTTACATATTCACTCAGAGACAACAGAATAGAGAGAGTCAAGTTTAAAAGTTAAGAATTTTATTATTAACAAATTAAACCAGACTGACTTCAAAACTAAATGTGTGGTGTAACTAAAATGGATGAGACGGTGAATGGATGACGTGTGATGTAAATCAGAACCAGCAAATCCGAAGAAGCGATTGTTCTGACGGGAACTGAAGGTGTTGTTTTGCATTAAGCTTTGGAAAGCTTCAGAAAAACATGAGACCCCATCATGCCGGCCTACCTAGCCTTCGGTGGAAGTCCTCTGCAGATCAGGAATATCGAGGTCCAGTGAACCCTCTCTGGAACCGAGCTGGTAGGAAAAGCCGCAGTTCCGATCAAACCCGTCGAGTTACTTCCGGCACATGACACGTTTATTGGCGTTTGGTCAGACCCAAGCCTGGATCTGAAAGGTGGAGCTTTTGTTCTGAAAGGCTGTTGTTGCCGCTGGTTGTTATAGCGACTGGATTTTTCAGCTTGTCGTTGGTTCTTTCGGTTAAAGAGCATAGATCAGGATCGGCCACTCCGTCACTTTCTCTGGAACGCTTTGAACTGGCGTTAGAGCTGACGTGGCGTAGTTTTATACTTCGGATGTTATGGTTTATTGTCGAATGAAAATTACCAAACACCATCAGAACCACGCCTCCGTCAGATCTGTAAGATTCTGATTGGATCAGTGAAAGTAATGTGTTATGTCTTTTTAACACTACGTGAAATGAGTCCTGTTGGAACACTTAAAGTCACAGTACTTATTATATTCTATAGGATCATAATAAAGTAGTTAATATTTTGATTTCACAGGTCGGTCACATCTTATTCATTGACTAACACTTTGATGGATTTGCTTTATTAAAATAGAGTTCTTTGATTAATTAAAAGAAAAGAGTTCATTCTTCGTTCTTCTGTTGAGCTGAAAATAAGCTGGTTAGAAGGAATGCATGAGACCTTGAGACTATCTCTCATGCAGACTAGTCCTGAGCAAAGAAGGGAAAAAACACAGTCTTCCGTTCCGTTACAACACAAATGTTTAGATATTCTTATTGGCCTTTACGTCAAGTGTAAAAAGCAGCTGCTGTTGCAACTAAGCAGCATATTACCGGACCAGCATATGTAGTGTTTTTGTGCTGCTATGTTGGTCCAGCATGCCAGAGCAGCAGAATGCCAGACCAGTATCCCATGCTGGTGTCCTTCAGAAGTTCTCAAACGACTGCGATTGTTGGACTGATCACTGAGGACGATGATGTGGAGTTCAGAGGACTGAAGCAGGACGTCGTTGACTGGTGCCAGCAAAGCTACATCTTGATCAACGCAGGGAAAACAAAAGAGACAGTGGTGGATCTTCGCAGACGCCGGCCTGCTGTTCCTTCATCAGTGAACATCCAGGGAATGGACATTGAGAGAGTGGACTCTTAGAAATACCTGGGTGTTCACCTGAACAACAAACTGGACCTGTCTCACAACACAGTAAGGGCCAGAGCAGGCTCTACCTCCTGAGGAGACTGCGGTTTTTTGGTGTGATGGGGACGCTCCTGAAGACCTTCTACGACTCTGTGCTGGCATCATCAATCCTGTATGGTGTGGTCTGTTGGAACAGCAGCATCACAGAGAGAAAGAAGCTGGACAGGTTGATAAAGAAGTCCAGCTTTGTCCTGGGCTGTCCTCTGGACTCTGTACAAGAGGTGGAGGGCTGGCAAAACTCAGATCCATGCTGAACCATGAGTCACACCCCCTGCAGGGTGCAGTGTCTCCTCTGTTAGACAATAACAGCCACTGCTTATGGAACCCATACATCTGTAACATTCCACCAAAAAATATCATCTTTCAAGACATGTGCAATACTACTGCTACTACTCTCATTGTTATGTGCAATAATTATCTTAATTTACAATTGCTATATACTCATGCGTGATATCTTGTGTGCCACTCCTGCTGCTATCCTGCTTTACCTAAGCTATTGCAATATTGCAATTTCCCCTCTGAGGGACAAATAAAGGTGTTCTTATTTTTGTTATTCTTAATAAAATTTTAAAAATAACTGTACCGATTTTGGTTCTGAAGACAAACAGAATCCTCCCCGGTGTCCAAAATTGAGTTGCGGGTCTTCTGAGTCAAACATAGGTCATAAAAACAATTAAAAAGAACAGCAAAGTCTAACAAGGTGGAACCATAATATACTAATCCACAGATTAAAAATTGAACATTCAAGATGGAGGGTGACAATGTATGAGTTAATGCTTTGTGGTTTCAGAGTTAAAGGCCAGGAAGAAATGTTGGGGTTTGAGGCATCATTTAAATACAGCAATAGAGGGCGCTTGCCTAATCTGGAGATGTAGTGAGTTCCAAAGTTTTGGGGCACAGCTAGAAAAAGCCCTAACCTCCCATGTATTTAAACATTCCTTAGGGACGGTGCATGAGAAGGTTAAATGGAGAAGTGGCTCATGGTAGGGAAATCATCAATAAAAAATCTTTAACCACAGAATAATGTACAGCCATGGCCAAAAGTTTTGAGAATGACACAAAAATTAGTTTTCACAAAGTTTGCTGCTTAACTGCTTTTAGATCTCTGTTTCAGTTGTTTCTGTGATGTACTGAAATATAACTATGTTGAATATATATATATATATATATATATATATATATATATATATATTCATTAACAATTAGATATGTTACATTTCCAAATAAATGTATTAATTTCAGTCTACTGCACTTAACAGGGGAAATAGTGTGGACATTTATTTAATTAGTTTAATTACAGCTAGCCTAATTTAAAATCCAACTGAAGTCTGACAATAAAGAACAAATGAATATTCAACCAAATGAGTAGTTAACAGTTGACAGTTTTAATATATAAATAACATTGATGTGGAAAAAAGGAGGTGTCCTCGAATTAACAATTAAAAGACAAAATAACAGCATTTAAAAACTATCCAGTAAGTAGTCCTCTTTAACTGAACAAAGTGCAATTTAACTGTTTTAGGAATGGACGAAGTGTCTCTTTTTCGGAACTCAAAAATAGTCCCCCTATTCAAGACTCATGAATAACAACAAAGTATCACTTTTTGCAGCTAGTGGATGGGGACCGGTTGCCAAGCAGTAGAAAGCAGTTCAATGAGCAGTTAATTGGCTGTTTTTCTGCAAAGCAAAATTTCTTGTTTTAACTGGATGAAAGATTAATCAGAAATTAATTAAAACTCAAGACTACAGTGAATATCAAATGTCTACAACCCCCTGGTAAAGTGCAACACTGTTTTAGTGTTTTTGGTTTCCTTCCCTCCACCTAAAAGACTTTTTTTTTTCAATTGAGTGATAAGTTTATAGGTCACGCTAACGGTGGAAGTAGTTACCGGTATATAAATTATTCATATTTGTCAAAATTTTATACAGTTCAGAAACCTGAAATTTTACCAGACTTTTGATATTCAACTCATGATGAATATGTTGTCACTAGTATTCAGTTATTTAGGTCACATCACATTTAATGTAAAAAAAGAAAAGTTTTCTACTTTTTTTGTACATGTTTCAAAATGTAGCTTAGCCAGTTTTACTAAACTCGATTTTTTTCTGCAGCTCTGTTCAGCGCAGCCTTTGCCCAAAATCATCACTATTACTTTATGAACACACCAAGAAGCTGGAGAGAGGCTCGGACCATCTGCAGACATAACTACACTGATCTGGCTACAATAACAAACATGGATGATGTTGCTACTGTTATCAACGCCACCTCTAGTTATACAGGTGAGTTTGTTATTGCTTGGAACTATTCATAAACAGCCTGTAATATTACAGCCACAGTTCTGATGAGGCTCAGATTGATGAAAAACATGTCATGATCTCAGAAGTCTTCTGAACATATTACATTTTAGATGAACCAGCATTTGAGGACGTTTTTTTTTTTTTTCTTGCAGCTCTTAATAACCAATTTGCTTTTCTTTTCCAACAGGCAAGGCTTGGATAGGTCTATATGATGACATGATAAATGGCTGGAAATGGTCTCTACCTGACAGCAGCTTCTATGGTGAACGAGAGACCACATATAGGAACTGGCTTCCTGGTTACCCAAGCATTTATGTAGGCCAACAGCAATGTGTTTACCTGTCTAGCTATTACGATTACTATTATTCTTACTCAGAAGGTCGGTGGCTTGACAATCCTTGCTCATCACTGCTACAATTTGTGTGCTATAATGGTGAGTTCTTATTCAGTTTAACATAGAAACTTTGTTTATTATTTATCCAGTTTACAATTTTAATGTAATTTTCTGAATTATGTATTCTTGGGTATCCAGTAACAAATAGCACTTCATCATTTTATATCGTGATGGCTGATTAATTATTTAGTTCATTTATATGTACTTGTGACACTGCAGTGATTTTGTTTGTAAATATTTTATCCTAATGCTGTGTTTCATTTTTCTACAGGTCAAGTAAATGGCACACCATCCTTTGTTTTCAGAACTGAATCTCTGAACTGGGCTGATGCTCAGACATTCTGCAGGGAGAATTACGTTGACCTGGCCAGGTACAGCTAACACCAGTTAATACTGCATAAATCTGTTAATAATCATTTGCCTCTATATTGATTACAGTAGCCTCTTGTTAAACAATTCACCTTTTGTGGCCACACAGTTTTGCAGATTTTATTTGTGCAATTTTGCATCCTTTTTCTAGAGCAGATTGTGTTCTGCATCTGATGATATGAAGATTAGGTTTTGGGTAGTGTTTACACAAGAGAAAAGTGTGAGAATATTAATGCCTGTCTGACAAAAGTATAAAAAGTGTGCAGTGAGGGGTTTTATAACCTGAAACATTGTGGCGGTGTGCTGGGACAAGCACGTCTATGGAGGAGGGCAGCAGCTGTGTCAGCAAGAGCGCAATAGTTGTCAGTGCTCTCGAGTCTTTATAAACAGGGGAGGGGTTAGAATTGAAAACTATCCGAAGCTTAATGTTTTTTATAAAGGTACATTTAGACTTTCCCATTTTGACCATCGTAAAGCAGTCAAAAAGCACTAGATTACACTTATGAATTGATAGGATGATAAAATAAATATATTGTTAGCTTCTATACAGAACTGTGAAAACAAATCTTCTCCAGGACTTGACATTAAGATTTCAGCCATGTTTATAGAGTGAAATTTTTTCGCATTATTCCATTAAAGAAAGGGCCAAATTCACAAAAGTCAATGGAATAATTAGAAGGGTATCTGGGGAGTTCTCCCAACCAATCTATGTGTTTTGTGGATTTGAGAAGGCATTTGAGCGCATCGCTCGGGGGTACCCCGTGGGGGTACACCAGTAGTATGGGGCACCAGGCCCTTGGATACGGGCTGTTAGGTCCCTGTATGACCGGTGTCAGAGCTTGGTCCACATTGCCGGCAGTAAGTCGGGTTCGTTCCCAGTGAGAGTTGGACTCCGCCAAGGCTGCCCTTTGTCACCGATTCTGTTCATAACCTTTATGGACAGGATTTCTAGGCACAGCCAATGTGTGGAGGGCATCCATTTTGGTGGCCTGAGGATCGGTCTCTGCTTTTTGCAGATGATGTGGTCCTGTTGGTTTCATCAGAACGTGATCTCCAGCTTTCACTGGAACGGTTCACAGCTGACTGTTAAGCAGCTGAGATGAAAATCAGCTCTTCTAAATCCGAGGCCATGGTCTTGAGTCAGAAAAGGATAGAATGCCTTCTCTGTGTCAGGGAGGAGGTCCTGCCCCAAGTGGAAGATCGCGGGGTCTTGTTCACGAGTGAAGACAAGATGGAATGCAAGATCGATAGGCGGATTGGTTCTGCGTCTGTAGTGATGTGGGCGTTGTAACAGTTTGTTGTGGTGAAGAGAGAGCTGAGCTGGAACGTGAAGCTCTTGATTTATCAGTCAATCTACGTTCCAACCCTCACCTCTGGTTACGAGCTTTGCTTAGTGACCAAAACAATGAGATCATGGATACAAGTGGTTGAAATTAGTTTTCTCTGCAGGGTGGCTGGGCTCTCTTAGAGGCAGGGTGAGAAGCTCAGTCATCCATGAGGGACTTGGTGTAGACCCGCTGCTCCTCCACATCAAGAGGAGCCAGTTAAGGTGGCTCAGGCATCTGGTTTGGATGCCTCCTGGTCACCTCCCTGGTAAGGTTCTCCAGGCATGTCCAACCGGGAGGAGACCTAACGAAAGACCCAGGACACGCTGGAGGATGTCTCTTGGCTGGCCAGGGAATGCCTTAAGCCTAATTTATACTTCTCCGTCAGCTCCATGAGGGAGAGACACATACGCATTGACAGAGACAGTTTGCTTTGTAGCATACCAAATGTCCAAGTATTCCATCAAAATGACCAGAAAATAACTTTTAACTTACTTTGCCATGTGTCTTAAACGCTGCCCACGTGCTCAGGGATTTCTGCATTCCAGAGAAGTCCTTGGGAACCATATGTGAACAATACCCAGCGGTACCAGCCCGAACCAATGCGATCAAGCCCTGACCTTGCCAGCTCAGATATGTAAGCGGATGTAGTCCCTTTCAGCGTTTCCTGGGTCTTCCTTTAGGTCTCCTCCCTGTTGGACATTCCTGAAAACCTCAACTGGGAGGCATCCTAACCAGATGCCTGTGCAATCTCAACCAGTCTCTTCTCGATGTGGAGGAGCAGCAGACCTACTCTCCTGGATGACCAAGTTTCCTACCCTGTCTCTAAGGGAAAGCCCAGGCACCCTACAGAGAAAACTAATTTTGGTATATTCGCGATCTCATTCTCTCGGTCACTACCCAAATCTCGTAATCATAGGTGAGGGTTGGAACATAGCTCGACCGGTATATCGAGAGCTTCGCTTTCTGGCTCAGCTCTCTCTTCACCTTGACAGACCGGTACAACGCCTGCATTACTGCAGATGCCGCACCACTCCGCCTGTCAATAACCTGCTCCATCTTTCCCTCATCCAGGCAATACTTAGTATGTGTTACAGTATGTGACATAGTATGTCTGTGTCCCTTGCATTATGTTTCATAGTTCTAGAACCCAAGTTATTAATTTTAATTCATGGTTTTTAGTGGTCAAAGGTTGCAATAATAACTTACTGTCTATGTGTATATAAATGTACCTTTGTTATTATGTTTTCTTTAAATTATCCTCTTAATTGTTTGTGCTGCCGTAACAAGTGAAGTTCCCAATTGTTGGATCTATAAAGTCTATTCTATTCGTCACCAAGACCCAGAAACTGTAACTCCACTAAAAGAGGCTGGACCTTGTCCCTGACCTGGAGAAGGCATTCTACCCATCTTCCTTTTCCAAACATCTATAATAATTGTAAAAATAAAGATGACTATTTCACAAATCTTGCCTATTGCGGGTTATTTTTAGAACATAGCTTGTGGGATTAACAAGGAACACTGTATTCCTATTTTGCTCTTTAGTCAAAGTTCATTAAGATGCATTTTGGCATTGTTTTTTTGTACAGCATAAGTTTTGCTCTTTGAACTCTCCCATGATGCATTTTTTTTAACTCATTGCTAGATTATGACCTTTGATATTAACCAAATGAGGTTTGCAGCACTGTAAATGTTTTTCTGGGTTTTGTTCTTGAATTTTCTTACAACAGGGTATGACGAGTTGCTTGTTGAGATCTTTTAGCCTACTTCATGTTGTCTGACAGTTTATTTAAGCAACTTCTAATCAGTCAGGCAGTAATAAGGTCTGGGCGGGGCTAGTAAAAGCTTTCCAAATAATGTTGTTAATGGGTCTATGCATGATTTACATGGTTGGTTTTCATCCAAAATAGAAAATCTATAATCCAGAATCTAGTTATTCAAAAACTTCAAATGTGCAAAACAATATGTAAAATAATCATAAAAGTCACACCAATGTCCAGTTATTTTCATGTGATGCCAAAATGCCTCTCTGTCTTTTTTTTTCAGTATTCGAAATCCAACAGAAAACAGAATGATCCGTAATCTAATAGGTAACACAAATGCATGGATTGGTCTATATCGGGAAAGGCTATGGTCTGATGGCAGCAGCTCTCTGTTTCGATTTTGGGCTAACTACGAGCCAAATGGCTACTATGGTCCAAAGTGTATAGCTGCATCATATTATGAGTCAGGAAAATGGTCTGATGACGAATGTTCAGCTAATTTACCGTTCATCTGTTATAGAAATGGTAATGTATCTTTTTCCCTCTCACACTTAATAGATGCTCTTGTATAAGTGTCAGACAGAAGTGTGTGTGTGTGTGTGTGTGTGTGTGTGTGTGTGTGTGTGTGTGTGTGTGTGTGTGTGTGTGTGTGTGTGTGTGTGTGTGTGTGTGTGTGTGTGTGTGTGTGTGTGTGTGTGTGTGTGTGTGTGTGTGTGTGTGTGTGTGTGTGTGTGTGTGTGTGTGTGTGTGTCTGTTCTGTCTTCTCTATCCCCAGTGAGTCATGGCAGATGGCTGCTCATAGTGAGCAAGGATCTTCTGGAGGTTTCTTCCTGTTCTTCCAATGTTGCTACATGCTTGCTTAGTCTGGGGATTGCTGTAAAGTCTCAGATAAAACAAACCTGACGAGTTCCTTATATAGGAAAATGTTTGTTAACTGGCATAACAAACCAAACTCAACTGCAATATTTTTATGTTGTGAAGTGTTTTGAGACGACTCTTGTCATGATTTGGTGCTATATAAATAAACTGAACTGAACAGTGGCTGTGTTGCTGCAGTAACTGACTGAAAAGTTTTACATAAGTGTCATTCATTGCAGTAATTAATTCTGGTCAGCATAAGTTGTCTCAAAGTGCAATAGGAAACGTTCTGTTTTCCCTGTGTCCTGTCTGACTGTAAAGCAATCAGAATTTCCTTACATTTTTAATCCCTATTTTCTTTTTCATTGTAACCATATCTTTGAATAATTACAAAAATCTTTTTTATATTTTAATTTTTTGTTCTTGTAAAATGCCTTGTGATTTTATCTTGAGAGGTGCTATATAAAAGACCATTTTTGTTCTTTTTTATTAGTTTTCTATCAATGGAAACCAAACAGATTGCATTAAGTCACTGACGAGTGTCAGACACTTTTCAGCAATCCTCGCACCAAGCAAGCATGTAGTGACAGTGGAGAGGAAAACTCCTTTTTAAAGGGATATTCCACCCGTAAGTGAAATTGTGTCTATTTCCATATTCCCCAGAGTTAGGTAAGTGAGAACATTGCTTTTTGTAACCAGCGCAGTAATTCTCTTGGTCTGGCAGCAGTCCGTCTGCTTTAGCATAGCATAAACAATGGAAGTGAACAGCAGAAACTAGCATTTTTTGTGCAATAGTGACATGCATGGTGCATGGATATAACACAGCGGTCGAAAAAGTCTCCAGCGGCTGAAAAAAACAGCAGTCCCATCCATATTTGATGAAAAACCAAAAGGAAGTGCATCAGTACTATCTGTAAGTGGTCATTTTTTAATCTAATTTCTTGGGTTTTGCTGGGCTAATATAAATTACTGTAAGTGTGTGGCTAATGCGTGTGTGTTTGTTTATGGAAGCCGAAAGCTTTTTCGACCGCTGTTTTAGGCACCATGCAGCAGCAGTGCTTTGTCGTAAAGTAGTCCCAAGTCTAAACCTGCTCCTGGAAAACCTTTTGTACTTCTTACTTTTCATTTGAAGTTGACATGATTATTGAGGGGCTGCACAGTGGTGAAGTGGTTAGAGCTGTTGCCTTGCAGCAAGAAGGTCCTGGGTTTGCTTCCTGGCCTGGGGCCTTTCTGCATGGAGTTTGCATGTTCTCCCTGTGCATGTGTGGGTTCTCTCCGGGTACTCCGGCTTCCTCCCACTGTCAAAAAACACTACTGTTGGGTTGATTGGTCTGTCCAAATTGTCTGTAGGTGTGAGTGTGTGTGTGTGCATGATTGTAAATGGTAAATGGCCTGTATTTGATATAGTGCCTTCTAGAGTCCTGGAACCCCCCAAGGCGCTTTACAACAAAATCAGTCATTCACCCATTCACACACACATTCACACGCTGGTGGGGACGAGCTACGATGTAGCCACAGCTGCCCTGGGGCGCACTGACAGAGGCGAGGCTGCCGAGCACTGGCGCCACTGGTCCCTCCGACCACCACCAGCAGGCAAGGTGGGTTAAGTGTCTTGCCAAAGGACACAACAACAGTGACAGACTGAGCGGGGCTCGAACCTGCAACCTTCTGATTATGGGGCAAGCGCTTAACTCCTGTGCTACCGTTGTCCTGTATGTCTCTGTGTTGCCCTGCGATGGACTGGCTTTCTGTCCAGGGTGTACCCCGCCTGATTGCCAGTTGACCACTGGAGATAGTCACCAGTCCCCTGTGACCCTACATGGACAAGCGGGTTCAGAAAATGGGTGGATGGATGGATGGATGATTATTGAGCTCACCAGGAATAATTTGTATCATCATTTAGTAATTTAAATCACGTTTGCACACAAAATGCTAGTTTCTGCTATTTATTTCCATTGTTTATGCTAAGTTGAAGCAGAGAGACTGCTGCCAATTCAATTCAAGTTTATTTATATAGCAGCAAATCACGGCAGGAGTCAGAATTCCTTCTTCCGGCTCTTGGGGAGTGCAGACCCTTTTTTTCCTCCTCTCATCCTATCTTATCCTCAAGGCTCTTTGTCTGTCTCTGTGCTGGTGCACGGCTGCTTCTGCATTTTTTCTGGAAACTGAAATTACTAAAATGGACCTGGTCAGTTGGTCACTCAACGCGACTGATAACATTTTTTCAACGATGAGAACGGGAGAAGGGGCTCCCGGATGCCCCTCTGGGACAGACCCAGTTGGACACGTCATGGACTCCTGGAAACAGTGGAACTTGATTTGTTTATCTCAGCTGTCTGTTGAGGACTCTGAAGACGTGTGGATATTCGTGGTGTTGGTGTCAGGTTTCCTGCTCATTGGTCTAGGAGGCTTCTTGGCTTACCGGAAAATTAACGAGCTGTCGAGGAATATTGGCTTGCTCCCGGAGCTCAGAGATGGTTTGCACTGCGCTGTGAATTCACAGACTCACATAATTGTCGAGATGAATCGTAAGCTTGGAACTTTGGCCAAGATTCATGCTTTGGCACAAAAGATGGATGCCATCAAGGAGAAAGTAGATGAATCAGCATGGATTGGGATAGATTAATGTACACCATTATTGGGATTTTGAAAGGTTGAGGACCATGGTACTCAAAGGAAATTATCTCTATCTGGCCCCAAAACAATTTCTAATCTGAATCTGGAGCCCTTGAGCCTGTAAGGCTCCAGCGAATGCTCCCCCCTCAGAAGAAATGTGGAATGCCGTCGCTATGGCAACTCTGTCTCCTATCCCAGCCTGGGCGGGACTTTGGGCTGTGAAGGCCGAAGAATCATTCCAGGAGTCACTGCACACGGCAAACCTCAACAACCTCCTTCCCCCCCTGTTCAGAATGAAGGGACGTGCGCTGCTTATTGTGGCTGCAGTAACTGAAGTGTGGATAGTCCCAAACCCACACCGCACCTAGTGGACACTTATGTTGTGTGATGTCTGAAGTCTGTTGCATCTCTGTCTGAGATGTTTTTTTTTTGCAGAGCAAAGCTGCCCTCCTGGTGGGAGGGTAACTTTGAAGTGCCTTTTTCTTCCCTTCGCCTGAACCAATCCTCATGTAACCCTCTGATCTCTATTAAGGTAGCGCGACTCAGGGTTGCGAATGACCACAGTCACCAATCCTTCTCATGTGTCTTGCCCATGTATGTCTGATCTCTGAATTGTGTGTACTGAAACTCTAATTTCCCTCTGGGATTAATAAAGTACTGTATCTTTGAATTTGAATTTGATTCTCAAAGCACTACAAAATGCATTTTTCTCCCTTATCTAACTCTAGGGAATATGGAAATAGACAAAAATGTCACTTACGGGTGGAATATACCTTTAAACAGGAAGGAACCTCCAGATAATTCTGGCTCAGTATGAGCAGCCATCTGCAACAGCCATTTGGGGGTTTGAGGGAACAACGCAGATTGAAAAAAATTGAACAGTAACTGAGTTAGTAGCGGTAAATTCTATGTTAAAAAAAAGTCAAAAGTTAATATAAGATGTGGAAGAATGTTTAGTGTTTGGCAGTAGTGTGCCAGCTGATGGCTCCTTCCATCAAGTTATCAAAGCTTAGCAGAATACCAGACCTGGTGCAGCTTCTCTACATAAAAAAACTCTTAGAGAAAACGCAATTAAAAGTTGAAATCAAGCAGTTTGAGAATAGTGGTAAAAGAGAGTGGTAGAGTGTGGAAGAGTCGTCAGTATGTCCTCCGGCAATGTAACTACAGAGACAACCACCTCACTTGTCCAACAACTGGGCCAATATAAACTTAGATTAAGTTTACCCAAAATTCATTTTAAAACGAACTTTAAAATTTAAACAGGAAGATAACCTCAATACTAACACATTCTAAGTTTAATTGGATTTAGAGAAATTGAATATTTCCTTTGTGTATAATTAGGTAGTAGATCAAGTTTTTAAATCATAGAAGAGAATGTCACTGTCTTATTTTGTTATGGTTTCTTGATTCTTACTATAGTTTCTTCCACATGCAAAAAGAAAATCTCAACCTGCAGCTTTCAATTTAGTTGAATGTTTCTTCACCTCCCCTTGATGTCACTAAATACTACATTTAAACATTAGGAACAGAGATCATATTTATTTTACCAGTAATGTAGTCTGAAAGTGTTGGGGTTGGTATAAACAGTATTACTTATTTCATGACTTAATTTTCTTTTCTTCTCACTTCTACCTGATGTAGATTTCCATCCATCAAAACAAAATGAGACCAGCATCACTCTGCAGTGGAGTAAAGTCAACAACAGTGTCAATTTTGTTCTCCAGTTTAATGGAACAGAGACCAACATCAGTGCACCAACTGGAGATGGACCAGTGACTCAGACATTCTCTTCTCTAATTGTTGGAACTAAATACACATTCACTCTGTTCTCTGTGTTTGAGAACATCAGAAGCTCTGGAGTTGAACTTACAACTGCTACTGGTAAGATGTTTAGCTCATTGTTGTGTGAACCCTATTATTAAACCCCCCTCTGGTCAATGAAAATCCAGGAATAGACAACACAGTAAATAAACATGTGAAGGGGGTACAAGGAAGCATCCATCCAAGAGTATAAATTGATTTATTAAAGAAAAAGTGTCTCTAAAGCAAAAGTATGGTGTAAAATGGGGACACTAATGTAAATTCTATAAGCATATGTGACAGTGTGAGCGTCCTGTCACAGTGTCCCAATTGATCATGCGCCCCAGCTACTTGGCCAAGGGGATGTCCCTTTGGCTGACTGGTTGCTGTAGAGAGTGTGGAACCACCAGCTCCATGGTGTTGAAACATGGACAGCCAGGGATAATAACACCTATCAAAGTTAAAACAACAAATCTGCAAACCAAGCTGGCTTAAAACTTTTTTCATACCATTTAACAACGTTCTGACATAGCATAGCCATAAATACTTTGAGGAGTATTGAAGCGGTTTTCTCGCATTTGTCTAATAACCTTAGCTAATAACACAGCTCAGTCCAAAATCAACAAATTTTCACACTTCCACGTTTACCTGTGTCCTCCACTTATTAAGCGCTCACACATTTTGCTACAGAAAACCACTGGTGTGACAGACTTTCCACTCAATAAGATCAGAGAAGGAAAAACAGTTGTCTGCTACCACTTCAACTTTAGGACAAACTACCTGAGTCCCAAAAAGTAAAACACCATTTGAAGTTGCGGTTGTAGGGTTTGGTAAATTGAGTGCTTTAAGAGCTCAAAATACATTACCTCTACTCATGACCAATAAGCTGTGATACTCTATCTAAATATAGAATATCAACTCTGCTTGGCCCTTACTGTGTTTAATCAGAAGATTCTAGGATTCTTTGTTTTATTCAGGGATTGTAAACACTTTGTTTTGATTCAAGGAAAGAGTCAGGTTTGTAAAAGTAAGAATTTAACTCACAAACAATTAAAACATGACAAGTTAACTAATATTTAACTTAGATGTAGTATATGGTTTCTATGTGTAAATGCGATGTTATCAGAACTTCCATATCTAGGAATGCTGAGTTCTGGGTGTAAAAGAATTTGGTTTGCATTAAGTTATGAAGTTAATTCTTATCAAAAAGCATCAGAAGCAATCACACTGTGTTCTACCCCACCCCTTCGGAGACCCTCTTCACGGATCAGGAGGTCATCGAGGTCGGATGACCTCTTAGTACCCAGGTCCAGTAGATTGACCACAGCACCGACTTCTCCCGTCCAGAGATGTCGCCAGGCACACAGGTTGGATTGAACCGTTTGCGTCTAGACCCTTAAGGAGTTGGAACAAAATCAGCTTGTTCTGCAGGAACCTTTTTGCTGTATCAGCTTCGCAACAACCTTGACAGCGTGTCAAAGCTGCTTAGTTAAAGACTTCACCACGGACGGCCGTTTCTGTAGCTTCCTCTAGAACTGTAGAGCTGGAACTCGAACGAACTGCAACTGCTTAATCACCAGAGTGATCCTGTTTTAATGTTCTCATGTTATGATTTATGTGGCCAACCAGAGGTTGACATGTTGACGAATATTACCAAGACAACCTCAGAAACACGCCTTCTCAGATACCGGATGCTCTGATCTGGGATAAAGAAATATCTATGTGTCAGGCGTTTGACTTAACTTTACTTGTGTGAGTGTGGATGGTGATGACCTTGTCATATTAACATGCTGAAACATACATAAATCTTTCAATGTAATAATAGCATAACATTCATTTCAAACTTCAATCATTCAAGCACAGATTAATGAAAGTATTTCATTATATTATAATTATTATAAGTAACAAGAAACAAATGTTTATTTAATTATTTAACTTATAAGTTTTAAATGCTCATATTTAATTTAAGAAATCATTCTTTGATTTAGTAACTAATCCGAGCTGCAAGTGTTCACTTATTCAGAGGCATGAAGAATCCTGTAGGACGACAAGGGAAGCCTTGAGGCCTTGAGGTGGGAACATCATTGACGATATGTTATCATGTGTTCAGAGCTGCAGAGAGGCTCTGAGCTTCAGCTGATGGGATGAAGACAGGCAGATTAAAGGGAACACATGCAGTCTCGTGTCACCATTTTGACCAGATATTGGAGGGTCAAACTGTACTTAAAAACTGACCATTGCTGGACATTACATAACCCCCCTTTTCGAGGGCACAGGGTCCTGGCGGAAACCACGGGTCGTTGAACAATCCCAGAAGCCCTAGGGACTCAGTCAAGAAAGGAAAGGTTAGTTCCCAGGCAACGGCATCAGGAGTGAGGAAAGCAAACCCCCACACCAGAGAATAGTCAATGGCACGCCCAAACATGAAGAGGTAATTCCAAAGAGGCAACGATAATTCCACTTAACATAATCCACAGGAAGGAAGCAGATGAGCAGGGACCGGAGCGGGCCCCAGGCGAACCGTAGAACTCCAGCAACCACGGCAGGAACCACAGGACGGCCAGACCCAAACGAACCGAACCCTCAGGCAGCAGGCAGCCGAATCAGGCGATGGTGTAGAGAAGTCCTCCCAGGAAGCAAGGACCACAGGCGAAACCCAGGAGAGGAGAAGAGCACATATGCAGGGCAGATGGATGTAGACACACATAGATTGCATCTGATGTAAAATAACAAATAAAAATAAACCTTGCACTATATGTACCTATATGTGCTAGTGAACGCAAATTATGTGAACGGAGTTCAGATGAAAGAAATGAATGCAGGAAACTACGTGTGCTGGAAAAGTGTTGCAAAAAGAACAAAATTAACAAAACCCTATAATTTATGTAAGGGAAAATCAACGCTTTTGAGCAAAAATTTTATCAAAACAGAAGGGCTAAATAATCTGTAGCCCATAATTGGTAAAATCAAAATAAAGTAGATCATAATAGAAATAACGAAAAGGAATCAGCTGCAATGAAATAATGCAGAAATGTATATCTGTGAATATATATTTTAAAAGAAATAGTAATATAAAGAAGAAGATACACTAAAATGTAAATCAGTGTTGTTAGTAATCTGACCTATATGTGAATATACCACAATAGGAATCAGAGATTAGTAGATAAAATGAAGCATAAAATGGACCAAAATCAGTCACAAAACGTTTAAAAATTGCAAAAATGATCAAAATCACTAGGAATTGAAAAATAAAAGGAAATTGAATTTGGAGCAAACATAACAGTTAGTGGAGTTACTCACTGTTAACTGCTATGAACTCAGTCATATAACCATAGAAAACCCACAGCATGACCACAACAGTCAACCAAGTCTGTATGTTACGTTCAGACATGAATTCTATCCACGCACACACATACACTCAACAGAACTTGTGTGACTTAAAACAGAGAACCGAGCGAGAGCGAACAGAAAATTCACCCCCTTTTGAGTCGATTCAATTTTGGTCATCAGAGTTATGGGTTGTAATATCATCCAAATTAGCTGAACCCTTGTGCAGTTTGATTTGGTTCCTGTGGACCCACTTATAGACGGGATCTTTGTTTCCTTCGGTGATCTTGATCTGATACACAACCGGAGAGAGTTTTTCAGTTATCAGGTATGGGCCTGACCACTTCGGCGAATGTTTTTTGGCCAGTTTACCAGAGGTGACTTTTTTGTGACTGGAATTAGGAGCAAAGATGTAGAACCAGGCCTCATCACCAACGTTGAGTTCAGAATGTGAGGCCTTCTGATCATAATAAGCCTTCCTGCCCTCAGCTGATTTCTTCAGATTTGACTGTGCAAAAGAAAACGCTGCAGGCAGACAGTTCTTCAGGTCCTGCAAATACTGCCTGTTAGTGTGAGCCGGAGTGGCACTGGGCTGAACTGACTGATACAGCAGGTGAAGTGGCAGGGTCATATGTCTACCCGTCATGATTTCAAACGGGGAGACACCTGTAGACTCATGGGGAGTGGCCCGTATGGCCATGAGGACCAACGGAAGCTTCACATCCCAGTCTCTGTGATTAGAGGACACATATTTCCTTAACATGCTGACAACAGTCCGGTTCATCCTTTCCACCTAGCCGGAAGACTGGGGCCGGTAACCAATGTGGAAATTAGCCTTGACACCCAACATCCGCCAAAGATGTTCCCTCACTCCAGAGGTGGAGTGAGTTCCTCTATCCGAGTTAACATGTGCGGGGAGACCGAACTGGGAGAAGATGTGATTCATCAAAAGGACAGCAGTTGTTTGAGCCATGTCGTTAGATGCCGGCAAACATTCAACCCATTTGGTGAATGCACAGGTCACAGTCAAGAAGTATTTGTTACCTCTGCTGGACTTGGTCAGGAGCCCCACCCAATTGAATTGAAGGTCCGACCACGGTGTGGACGGCCTCCTGCTATGAAGAGGAACTCTGTGGATGGGGTTAGATGGCTGAAATTGACAGCAAACCAAACAGCTCTGGATGTAGTCCAGGATGTCTCGACGCATCCCCGGCCAATAAGCAACCTGGCTCAGGGCACCGAACGTGGCTTTGACACCTTTGTGCCCAGCGGAAGGAGAGTCGTGAGCTTGCGTGATCATACCCCCCCCCCCCCCCCCCCCACCCACCCCCACCCCCACCCGGGCCAATGTTCCAAGAAAAAGACAAACTGACTTACAGGCAGTAGGCTGGCTGATTATAAAGAGCTAAGTGCACTGAAACTTGTGGCTCGGGTCTATGCGAAATAATGACTGACTGCTGGCGTGAGTGTCAGAGGTGGGTAATGGAGTTTTAGCTAGTAGATCCATGCACTGGAGAGAGCTGGCGGGCTGTAATGGCATGACAGTTTGTAATTAATCGTGTGTGTGCAGGTAGGGGTTGAGGTTATGGGGGGCTGGCTTGTCCTTGACACAGGCAAGGGGCACTCAAGAAAAAAGTTTGGGATCTACTTACCTAGACTCTTCAAAGCTGGACCAGATTATTCTGTACTGATAGCATAATCTGTTAACCCATTAAGCGCCAAGGTCGCAATATTGCGACAAGCATCATTGCTGACTTTAATGAGCCACAGCTTCAATTCCCTCATGAAGTTATTAATTTACACCAGAAGATAGTGGAGATGTGTAACTTCAGGCTAAGCAATGCTTATGGGTGTGTTTGTATTTTAGAGTTTTAAAATGGCCTCCCGCCAAGAGGTTCCCAGTCGGGGAGGGGACGAGAGGAGGAGATGAGCGCAGCTCAAAGAGGGTGAATATTAGAGGGATAAAACGTGCAATTGCCTGCAGGTCTGGTCTTTGTTGACTGATCTCTTTATCTGGTCATGACTGATGCCGATTATGAAGCAGGATATTGACTCTAATGAAGAAAGTCACTCATCCAGCCAGAAAGATTGACACTGCTGCAGCGCACAGCAACAGGTGCTGCACGAGAGTAAGGTGTATGGAGCTTTCAAGATCCAAATGTTGGGTTTGAAGTTCGTTTCACCGTGTTTGGGATATGGTGGATGCATAAATGATAGTTAAAGCACAGCTAATGTAACAGATGTAGTGGCAATGTTAAAAAAAAGCCATAAAAAAGTGGCAGATGTGTTCTTTATGTGTGGAAGTCAAAGTGTGCCACATAATCATAAAAATATGTTTTCCCTTGGATCATATGATCATTACATTCAAGAGAAGGACATCCCTGAAGCTGTAAAAGCCTAAAGAAACATGACACATATGGCTAAAAAGCATTTCTCTTGATTGAGGCCAATGTAAATATAAAAAAATACAATAAAAAAGATAAACAATGCAATCCAAATTTCAAGAGCTTTATATATATATTAAACATTTTCAATTTTCAAAATATGATGAAATTTTCTAAATAACAGAAAAAAATAAGAAGGAAGATCTGTAAAAATGATGCATTCCAATATGGCAGCCTAGTGACATCATAGTATGCTAATTAGATCAGTGAATTCGCTCCCAACACAAACTTTGGGTCCTACTGAAGATGTTTCTCATTTTCAGTTTAGCTTCATCCCTAACCATTTTCAAGCTGCAACCATTTGAAATAGACATGTCAAAATTTAATATTTTCTTGAAAAAACTCTGGTGCCCAAAGGGGTAAATGTATAGATGATGATAAAGGAAACTTTAATTTGATTTGTGAAAATAGTGTTTTTATTTTCCTTCACAAATGTGGAAATGAAATGGTGTTAAAATGTAAAAAAAAAAATGCAACCCTAAACCTACAATGCTAGAATTGCCCCTGTATATTGGTAATGATAAAACAATACAAGGGGTACTGTGAAGAAGATCATTTGCATCTCACTTTCTTTGAGAATTATTATTGATAACGGTTGTGGTTTGTTGTTTCAGCTCCTCTAAATGCAGATGGCTTCAGAGCATCAGGACAAAATGAAAATAGCATTTTTCTTCAGTGGAATCAAGTCAACAATGTTGTCAGTTTTGTTCTTCAGTATAATGGAACAGAGTTGACCTATTCTGGACAAACTGGAGATGGACCAGTTACTCACATAGTCTCATCTCTGACTGCTGGAACCACATACACATTCACCCTGTTCTCTGTGTTTGAGAACATCTGGAGCTCTGGAGTCAGCATCACTGCATCTACTGGTGAGATACTCACTTCACTTATTTTATGTTAAAGTGCGATATTTTATTTTCTGACTAATCAAAATATTCGATTAACTTTTTATTTTTAGTTCATCATTAATGATTTATGAATTTGGTTGAAATTTAGCTGGGTTCTGAGCATTTGATTTATTAAGTGTCATTTTCTGTTTGTTCTTAATTAATTGGGTAGATTTAAAGAAAAAATTTGCAGTTTAAATTTAACTTTTAGTGATATAATGCATCTTTACTATTTCTTGTATTTAAGGGATATTCCACTTTTTTAAGTGACATTCAAACTGTTTATCTAATTTATCTACAGCAGGGGTGTCAAATATGCGGCCCGCGGGCCGCATCCAGCCCGCAAGCAGTTTAAATCCGGCCCGCGAGATGGTTGTGTAAACTTTATTTTCATACTTTACAATGTAGAGTGAAAATAAACTTATCTTTGTGAGCAAGTTTTCTCTGTAATGAGTATAAATAAAACAAAGCTGCGCTCAAAGCTCACACAAGAACTTGAATCACACCCTGAAGTTGGCCACCACTCAGGATGTGACTTCTGATGTTGATGTGCTGGTGAAAGCTAAAAGATGTAAAGTAAAATGAGTCAAATATACTTTAAGTGCTGCATGAAACTGATCTAGCCATGTGATCTGTAAGCTCTTTGAATCACTAAGGAATGTTTTTTTCATTTATTGATTATTTATATTTTTCTAATTTTCAAGTACACTTCAGGTGTTGTACTTGTACTATTTTGGATACACTGTCCTCAGGCCCCAGCCTTGTTTTATGTTGATTGTATTAAAACAAAGAAAACAATCTGAAGTTGTTTTTAATTTACCGATCCGGCCCACTTGGGACTCGATTTCTCTCAATGTGGCCCCTGAGCTAAAATGAGTTTGACACACCTGATCTACAGTAATGACCCTAACATCACTCAAAGTGAGTCTCTTGAGACAGGAAGTAGTCCTCTGACCAAAGCAATAAGACAGGAAGTAGTCCTCTGACCAAAGCAATACTCATGGCTAGCCAAACACTAGTGGTTAATTTCCAACATTTAAACAACTCTTGCCGAATAGTCACATTGATGGTATTTGAACAATCTATTATCCTCTTATAATTCTGCAATCTGGCATTTGACCATTTTGCACTTTTATTTGTTTCAGACTAAATAACATCTGCATTATTCCACTATTGTACAGGTGCTGGCCAGTAAATTAGAATATCATCAAAAGGTTGAAAATATTTCAGTAATTCCATTCAAAACGTGAAACTTGTACATTATATTCATGCAATGCACACAGACCAATGTATTTCCGATGTTTATTACGTTTAATTTTGATATTTATAGGTGACAACCAATGAAAACATCAAATCTGGTATCTCAGAAAATTAGAATATTCTAAAGGCCAATGAAAAAATGTTTGTTTCTCTAATGTTGGCCAACTGAAAAGAATGAACATGAAAAGAATGTGCATGTATAGCACTCAATACTTAGTCGGGGCTCCTTTTGCCTCAATAACTGCAGTAATGCGGCGTGGCATGGACTCGATCAGTCTGTGGCACTGCTCAGGTGTTATGAGAGCCCAGGTTGCTCTGATAGTCGTCTTCAGCTCCTCTGCATTGTTGGGTCTAGCGTATTGCATCCTCCGCTTCACAATACCCCATAGATTTTCTATGGGGTTAAGGTCAGGCGAGTTTGCTGGCCAATCAAGGACAGGGATACCATGGTCCTTGAACCAGGTGCTGGTGGTTTTGGCACTGTGTGCAGGTGCCAAGTCCTGTTGAAAGGTGAAGTCTGCATCCCCATAAAGTTGGTCAGCAGCAGGAAGCATGAAGTGCTCTAAAACTTCCTGGTAGACGGCTGCATTGACCCTGGACCTCAGGAAACAGAGTGGGCCAACACCGGCAGATGACATGGCACCCCACACCATCACTGACGGTGGAAACTTTACACTGGACCTCATGCAACGTGGATTCTGTGCTTCTCCGCTCTTCCTCCAGACTCTGGGTCCTTGATTTCCAAAGGAAATGCAGAACTTGCTTTCATCAGAAAACATAACTTTGGACCACTCAGCATCAGTCCAGTCCTTTTTGTCCTTGGCCCAGGCGAGACGCTTCTTGCGCTGTTTCATGTTCAAGAGTGGCTTGACACACGGAATGCGACACCTGAATCCCATGTCTTTCATGAGTCTCCTCGTGGTGGTTCTTGAAGCGCTGACTCCAGCTGCAGTCCACTCTTTGTGGATCTCCCCCACATTTTTGAATGGGTTTGTCGTCACAATTCTCTGCAGGGTGCGGTTATCCCTAGAGCTTGTACACTTTTTTCTACCACATTTTTTCCGTCCCTTCGCCTGTCTGTTAATGTGCTTGGACACAGAGCTCTGCGAACAGCCAGCTTCTTTAGCAATCACCTTTTGTGTCTTGCCCTCCTTGTGCAAGGTGTCAATGATTGTCTTTTGGACAGCTGTTAAGTCAGAAGTCTTCCCCATGATTGTGGTGCCTTCAAAACAAGACTGAGGGACCTTTTAAAGGCCTTTGCAGGTGTTTTGAGTAAATCAGCTGATTAGAGTGGCAGCAGGTGTCTTCTATATTCAGCCTTTTCAGAATATTCTAATTTTTTGAGATACCAAATTTGGAGTTTTCATTAGTTGTCACTTATGAATATCAAATTTAAATGTAATGAACATTGGAAATACATTGGTCTGTGTGCATTGCATGAATATAATGTACAAGTTTCACGTTTTGAATGGAATTACTGAAATATTTTCAACCTTTTGATGATATTCTAATTTACTGGCCAGCACCTGTACATAAACCTATGCTCCTCTTTCACGGGCTCTGATACATGGGGAGATGGTGGAATCATTTAATGTAGCTAGGAGTGAGGGAACAAGGAACAACAGGTGGCACAAACAGGGAGACATAAAGACTGATGTGAGCAGACGAACCAACATTACAAAAGGGACAAACGAGTGCGCACCAGTGAGATATAAAATCACCGGTGGAAAAAACAGGTGATGCGCTCCGCTCCACAGCAGCGAAAAGCATCAGGCACAAATAAAAGACAGAAAACATAAAAGAAAATGAGCCGACATAAACGATCGCATGTTAAATTTGTTTTTGAGGTGGCGACACCTAATGTGATAATGTTACTGTGGCCGTGCTAGGACGCAGATGTCTGGAGCGCGTCATCGATCAGAGCTTTGCATGCGCAAGCTGGTTAAGGTTAGGGAGGGGATGAGGGGAAGGTTTAATTGCAAGAGGGTAAAGGTCACAAATCAGTCAAATGTCCGTTTTACCGCGGGCGTCAGATACCGACGCTCTGGCACAGCGTGTCGCCTCCCGACATGTAGGGGCTCATCACGTACTGTCTTGCCGGTCATTATCACGTGACAGCGACTAGTCTGTGAAATGCATAAAAAGTCACTACAGAGCAGTGAAGTCGACTAGTTGATACAACCCCTAGTTCACGAACGTATCATCTTCCAGTAACAAACTTTCATGGAAGTCGGTATAGTGCATGTAATATTATTCTATATCATGACCTACTATGGTGTCCCACCTGAAGGCTGAGAGTCTGCTGGTGCAGCTCTTAGGCCAGCGATATTCAACTGGCAGCCCGCGAGCCACATACGGCCTGCAAGCCCTCTCTTTGTGGCCCCAAAACCCCTTCACACCCCCCACCCCCGACGGCCAACCAGGAGGTGTAGGATAGATAGAGCTGAGGAAAATAATCAAATAATCAATGCATCAAGATGCGGGCATAAAAGATTCTGCATCATAAATCAGTTATAGTGGCATGTGGTTTTGTTATTTTAACGACGGCACCAGCGCAGCATCCACATCTGTCAGAGCAGGTGTTCTCCACATTTACTGGGTAGGAAACTTTGATCTGCCTTTATGTGGTACTGCAGGGCTGAGCGCTGGAGTTATAACCTGAGACCGAACCCGAATCGAATCAGCCCGATCGGTTCTGTTGGATTTGGGCCGCGAATAATGTTAATTGAACGGGTTGTCGCGCGGCGTGCTCCGCTCGCTCTATCAGCGACTGAGAGAGAGAGAGGGAGAGGGCGATTGTCTGCTCACACAAGGATCGGAGGACGCTCCTCCAAACACGCATTATTATTTTCATAATTTCATTATTATTTCTCCTGGAAGCGCTCAGTCAGACCGAGTGCTGTGATGTCGGGAGATCCGGTCTTGGGGAGGAAGCGGGGTCAGTGACGGCGGCAGCAGCGTAATCATCCGTCTCTTTTATTCAGGGACACGGAGAAGTTTAAAGTGGAGAGAAATAGAAGATAATTTTTGTTCCACTTTATTCTTTTGTTTCATGATATAAACTGATGATAAATTAAACTTAAAGCTTCTTTCCGGAGTATTTTTCTTATTCGATGGCACCATCTAGTGGCTGACAAGCGTATCACACAAAAACTCTGTTCCAGAGGGAGAGACCAGGTGAACTGAGTTACTAATCAGGGAGGAAACTAACATGACCTAAGAATAAAACTTAAAGACAAGAAGAGCAGGAAACATAACAATTAATCTAAGGGGGGAGAAAAACCTCAAACATCTGGTGGGAAAAACACACTAGAGAGACTAATAATATGAACAGCTGTAGCTAAAGGAAAATGACCTAAGAGAAAAACCTAAAGACCAGAAGGGCAGCAAACATAACTAATATTCTAAGGGGGGAGCTGAAAAATACTACAGAAAGAAAAACTACAGGGGCGTGACTAAAGGGGCCACGGGAGCGCAGGACCTGGGAGGGGGATACCTGAGGAAGGAAACCTAGAGGGCTGAAGATCTGGGGAAAAAATGGGGAACACCAGGAGACACATGAGGAAGACGCAGACAAGGACACATGAGGGTGCTAGGAGACACAAAAGGAGAAACTAGAGAGGGATGGAGAAAACAAGGAGACACATGAGGGGAGACGCAGACCATGACAAATTGGCCCTGGACCCCACACAGACCACTACTGCCCTTGTCAGCCGCATTTGCAGAGTCTACTTTTTATAAAGTGTTTTAACCAAGACTGTAACTCCCTGGAGATCTGGAGCTTGAACTGCAAGAGAGCGCCATTTATAAACCCATTCACACATGTGATATTTGCCCAATTCCAATACTAGCACCACACCATATGGTCTTCTGTGAAGTGCACTTGGAGGAAGTGTGCAGTAAGGCTTTGAGTGTGTAGTACACAAGGGTGAAAATAATTGCCAAATTGGGACAGCGAGCATTGCCTCATCAACCGCAACGCATGCCGGGATGCTCGTCGCTTTGATAATTTTTTTTTAAAGAAATTTTTATTATCAACTTTCAAACAAACAACCAAACGTTCATCTGACATAATTTACATTAATTACTGTCTGCATTAAATCTTTGTCTAAAAATTTCAGAGCATCAACTGATCATCCTAAAATGAGCTCCTTTCATTTGAAAATACATAATTTCAGAAAAAGTACTTCAGTGTTTGCTCCTGCAGCAAATCAATCAATCAAGTTTTATTTTTATAGCGCTTTCTACCGCCCTCAAAGGGGGCCCAAGGCGCTGGACAAGAAAGGTAACAAAGATAAAAGTAGCAAGTCATAAAAACATTAAAACAAAATAATAACATAGACATTTGTGAGAACAATAAAATGCCAATGATATAAAATTTTGATGAAATAAAATTAAAATTTATGTGTTAAAAGAAAGCTAAAAACAAAAATATATGAACCAGAGACCAAAAGCTTTAGGAGAAAGCCATCCTAAAAAATGAGTCTTCAACCTGCTCTTAAAGATGGATTGTGGGTAATGTCTTTTGCCAAAGTCCACATCAGTGCAGACTGACATGGTCTCGGGAAGATGTTTGACCCAAGACAAAATCAGACTCAGCACACAACACAGAACTGGGTAAAGAATAACAGGGGTTTATTTACAACCTAGAGAGCACCACAAAAAGGGGTGAAGAGCGGGAGGCAATGGCTTGACCAAAATGTCTGGGGAGATAAACCAGAGATTTAGGAGGTGGGGAGAATGATCCATCTTGTAGGGCATAGCCCTCTCACTGTCTTCATGGGTGACCCCGCCAGGAAAGTTGGCCATTGAGCAGGATTGATGGTTTATCCCTTGGGTCCACGCGGCAGGAGTGAGGAGTGAGCACCACCTCACCCCTGCCGCATGGACCTCAAAGGATAAACCATCAATCCTGCTCAATGGCCAACTTTCCTGGCGGGGTCACCCATGAAGACAGTGGGAGGGTTAAAAAAGATGTACAGTTGGATGTCAGCTGCATAAAGATGGTAAGAGATTAATTTAAAAGAGCTCAGGATGTGCTGAAGATGAAGCAGATAGAGGATGAATAATAGAGGCCCCAGCACAGACCATAGGTGAAGGAGGTGGTGGAGGACTGGAAGAACAAATGGGTGCTCCTCAACCTGGAGCACCAGGATGTCCCAGGCAGTGACTCACCGCTGAATCCTCTGTGGTTGGTTTGTTCTGTCACAAGGTGAGTGTTGAGGTGCGAATCCAGTGGCAGGTGTGTGAGCCTCTTAGAGTCAGGTAGATGGTGAAATCCTTTAATGAGGTCCGATAGGAGTGCAGGAACAACAGTAAACACCTTAGGAGGCATGAAGACTGATGTGAGCAGACAAACCAACATTACACAAGGGACAAACAGCAGGTTACAGGTGATCAGGGATATGAGGGGCAGGTGTGACGAGATAAATGCTCAGTAGAGAGAAAAGACTATCAGGGCTGTGGAGCAGTGCGTAACAATTTCAGAGTCGGAGAACTCTGAAGCGTTTCACAATTCAGTGTATCATTTATCCATTCACACACACATTCCTATGCTGATGGTGATGAGCTACAATGTAGCCACAGCCGCTCTGGGACTCATTGACACTGACACTCTCCTGAACTCCTCCTGATCGGTTTTCTGGCTTTCTGCTGATCAGAAGACTCAGTGCACATTTAAAAACTATTCCCTTTGAGTGATTTTCCCTACAGGTAGGGTCCTAATCATCCCTAACTAATATGACTTACACATAAGTGGAATATTCCTTTGAGGCTCTGCAAACCCAAATGCGCCATCAGAATGATAGTGGGGTTTACTCACAGCAGCCTGATCAGCAAGCAAAAAAATCTGAACTGTCTTATTCTTGTAACATGTTTATATCAGTTTCATATGTAAAAAACAAACAAACAATATTTTGTTTCTGCAGCTCTGTTTAATGCAGCCTTTGCCCAAAATCATCAGTACCACTTTGTGAACACGCCAAGAACCTGGACAGAGGCCCGGGCTTTCTGCAGAGCTAACTACACGGACCTGGCCACAATAACAAACATAGATGATGTAGCTGCTGTTGTCAACACCACCTCTAGTTATACAGGTGAGTTTGTTAATATCTGGAACTACTAACAAACAGCCTGTAATATTACACCCACAGTTCCTGACGAGGCTCATATTCGTGATAAACTTTTCATGATCTCAGAAATCTTCTAAACACATTACATTTTAGATCAATCAGCATTTAAGGATGCATTTCCTTGCAGCTCTTACAATAAATGTGCTTTTTTCCAACAGGCAAGGCTTGGATAGGTCTATACGATGACATGGTAAAGGGCTGGAAATGGTCTTTATCTGACAGCAGCTTCTATGGTGAAGGAGAGACCACATATAGGAATTGGTACTGGTATTATAATTACCAATATTATAACGACAGGCAACAGCATTGTGCCTATATGTATAATTATTATTACAATGGGCAGTGGTCTGAGATGTTATGCACATCCTACCTACCTTTTGTGTGCTATAATGGTAAGTATTTACACATTCAACAGGAAACTTTGTTCATTATGTATTTTGTTTATTTTTCATGCCATTATCTGAATTGTCTTAGTTAGCCAGTAAAAAAAAATTCCATCATTTCAAAACTAATTCCTAATGTCCGATAAACAATACTGTTTTTGTACTTGAAAGTTTGCATTGATTTGGTTTAAGAATAATTTTTCCTACTATTTTTATCTACTTACAGGTCACATTAATGGCAGACCATCATTTGTTTTCAGAACTGAATCTCTGACTTGGACTGAGGCCCAAACATTCTGCAGGGAGAACTATGTTGACCTGGCCAGGTACAGCTAACCCCAGTTAATATTGTATGATTACAGATCTGTGATTAAAGTGTTTGCCTAGTTACAGATTTCTTCTGGATTTGCTCTTTTGTCACAGTTTAATGTTTCAGATAAGTAAACAAATTCCAGCATCAAGCAAAGATAATCTGTGTAAACAGACATTTTTCAGTTTATTTTTATGTTACTATTGGAAAAAAGCTGTCAAAATCAGCAGGTCTGCATAAAGAATATTTGCTCCTCATGTTGTCAGACAGATTACTAGAGTGATTCCTAACCTCATCAGAAATAAGAACTCTATATAGGTAAGGAAAGGGTGCTTTATTTATATGTTTATGTATTTAGCAGACGCTTTTGTCCAAAGCGACTTACAAGTAATAATCGGCATGTTGCCCTTGAGGCTAACAACAACAATAACTACAACAACTTGACTTCAGTCATGGAGAGGAGGGAACAAGGAGTGGACAGTAGAGAGTGGGGACGGGTGCAGGGAGGGTGCTAGTTTAGAAGATGCTCTCTGAAGAGCAGGGTCTTCAGGAGTTTCTTGAAAATTGAAAAGGAAGCCCCTGTTCTGGTAGTGCTTGGTAGGTCATTCCACATTTGTGGAACGATGCATGAGAAGAGTCTGGATTGTCCTGAGCGTGGTGTAGGCACTGCTAGCCGACGATCTTGTGATGACCGGAGCGGCCGGGCCAAGACGTAAGCCTTTGCAAGAGGATTCAGGTAGATGGGAGCCGTACCATCTCAGACTTTGTATGCTAGTGTTAACAATTTGAATTTGATGTGTGCAGCTAGCGGTAGCCAGTGGAGCTCAACGAACAGAGGGGTGACGTGTGCTCTTTTTGGCTGATTGAAGACCAGACGCGCCACTGCGTTCTGGACCATTTGAAGAGGTCTCACACTACACTACTTTGGGACAGCAGTAGCTCAGGTGGTAGAGCGGGTTGCCTCATGATCGGAGGGTCATGGGTTCGATTCCAGCTTCCGCCAGGGGTATTCTGCTGTTGTGTCCTTGGGCAAGACACTTCACCCAACTTGCCTGTGTTAGTGGTGGTCAGAGGGGCCGACGGCACCAAATGGCAGCCTCGCCTCTGTCAGACCTCCCCAGGGCGGCTGTGGCTACAAGTAGCTTACCATCACTAGCAGTGTGTGAATGTGAGAGTGTGTGAAAAGCGTCTTTGGGGGTCTTGAAAAGCGCTATATAAGTTCAATGCATTATTACAGCCTGGAAGACCAGTTAAAAGGGCATTGCAGTAATCGAGGCGGGAGATGACAGTAGATTGAACCAGGAGCTGGGTGGCATGTTGTGTTAGGTATGGTCTGATCTTTCGTTATTATTATGTTATTTTCTGATTCTGATTCTGATTCTGATACAGCACAAAGCGGCATGAACGATCAACAGAGGCAACATGATCTTTAAAGGTCAGGTGTTAATCAATCACAACACCCAGATTTCGAACAGCCTTTGAAGGAGCCAGAGATAGGAAGTCATTCTGGATTGAGATACTGTGCTGTATGGATGGTTTTGCTGGTATGACAAGTAGTTCAGTTTTAGAGAGGTTGAGTTGGAGATGGTGGGATTTCATCCATTTTGATATGTCAGAGAGACAGTTTGATATTCGTGCAGAGACAGTGTGGTCATCCGGTGGAAATGACAGATAGAGCTGGGTGTCGTCTGCATAGCAGTGGTAGGAGAAGCCATGTGATCGAATGATCTCACCCAGTGAGGTGGTGTGTATGGCAAAGAGAAGAGGTCCTAGTACAGAGCCCTGGGGGACTCCTGTGGCAAGATGGTGTACGGTAGAGGGTTGTCCAAGCCAAGATACACTGAATGATCGTCCTGTGGATCGTCCTGTGTCCTATTTATATAGCACATTGCATACACAGAGGCAATTTAATGTGTTTTCCAGGTGCAAGAAATCATCAGAACATAAGACTACATTTTAGCATCAAATTTTAAAATCAGTGTGATAACATAAAATTGTAGATTTTAACATGTTTAAAATGCATAAATAAAAGCAAATGTAAGACATTAAAAAACAAAGGCAAAGTTAAAGACTGAGTACGTTTTCTTTAGTTCTTTGTTGTTTTTACTTTTGCTGACGTGTTTCGACATCACTGATGTCTTCATCCGGGTAACCGCCGGATATTTGTGGCATCACTTCCTTTTATCCACGGCAGCAGAGGACGATATCGCCCTCTGCTGCCTGCGCCCTCTCCACTGATCACAGTGTCCCATGAATGGTCCAGCGTGTGTAGACTCCTTCGTCCCTGTTCAATGTGGACCCAGGAGGCTAGTGTCCACCATCGACATATTTACTGGACAATTCATCTCCATAGGCTCCAATAACACGTTTTTGAGGAGAAATGGGAGGTGGCCACCACTGCCATTTTGACCGTGTCACAGGTTCCGTCAAGCCCAGACAATTCTACAAAAGGGAAGAGAGGTGGAGCTGAGGGTGGTGCTGTAAGGCTGGGATCAACTGACAACACCTGGTCGAACTAGCTACAGGCTAACCTGAAGCTAACCCAAAGCTAAAGCGGAGGTGGGAGCTAAGCTAACGGAGGTAGCAACCTAGCTACAACCGGAGTTAACTGTGCACAACACCAGAGCTTCTGAGTCAGATATGCCGGGCTGACCGCTGGGTAAAACCGGGTAGAACACAGAGGTCTCCTGAGAGCTCTACAAGCCGGCAGCCGCGCAGTAGACAAGCGCTGCTGCGATCTGAGATGCGCAGAGCTGCCGCTGGGGAGAACCGGGTGGAAAGATTTCCATCCCAGATCTCCACAAGCCGGCAGCCCGTGCAGCAGACATGAGCCGCGATCAGACAGAGATGCGCCAAGCTGCGGGGAGGGGAGAACCGGGTAGAAAACATCGGGTTCCATCCGAGAGCTCCACAAGCTGGCAGCCCGCGCAGCAGACAGGAGCCGCGGCGATCAGAGATGCGCCGAGCTGTGGGGAGGGGAGAACTGGGTGGAAAACATTGGTCTCCCGAGAGCTCCACAAGCCGATAGTCGGAACCCAGCTCCACCAACATGTTATATTTCAACCCATTTTCTAAAATGCAGCATTATGTCAAATGCACTGGGTTTTACCCTATTAAATTTAAATTTCATGGTTAAACAGTACATGTTAAAATCTAAGCTCAGCTCGGCAGTGACCTAAAATACATAGATATAATTTTACTTACCGAAAAAAATTAAGTGGACTCCTTGGATGCTCTATTAGTGCAATTAATACCACAGCAAGTCATTTTGTCCAACAATTGCACAAAAAATATCCAAAAAAGAACGCACAAACGGCACAACTAATGGTCTAAGTTGAGAGACTGAAAATGACGGAACAGTTTTCAGGTGAGGCCGAGGCTCAGGCTGAGGCCTTTCCCCGGAGCTAGCTCTGTGGTCACGTGGGTCTGATGCTCATTAATTATACAGAATTTTAGGCTTTTAATACACTTAAACAGAAGAGTGAGAACAAAACTCACCCCCCTCAGAGTTGTCATGAGTGTAAACTAGATCATTTAAACCAAAAACATGTTTTGGTACCAGGCTGTAAACATGTTTATTTCTGCTGTGAAATTGGTATTTTTAACATTGAATGCCCAATCAGATCGAAAATTCTGCATGTAAACATGTCAATCAAAATATTCTGATCCGATTCGGCCCGATCGGATTGAAATTTCAATGCGATTGAGAGAGGTGGTTTATTCTGTTCTTCATTCCGATTGACGTGCATGTACACAGCCATTCGGATTGTTGGGGTAAAATAATGCCCACTGCGCATGTGTGCAACAGCGAGCGGGCCTATTCCGCTGTCATTTGGACTACCTGACTTCAAAAATGACGGCGTAATTAACGAGCGGCGGCTTTTAAATCCAACGACAAGCCGTCCCGTTTGAGCAATATTTAATTCAGAACTTGCATTTTGTGGAAGTAAAACAAAAATCTGATTATTGCACAAATCATTAGACAAACATGTTCAAATCTGTACTGGAAATACGCAGGTTTATTGCGGGGGTTGCAGCGCACGGATCCCCGTTTCTGTCAGCTTTGAACGTAGCAGCTTCTGCAGCAGGTGATGGAGACGCGCTTGTAAAGAACACAGGATAATACGGGTTTTACAGACCTGATTGGAGGCTGATGTTGGGTAGGAAAACGCCCTCGGTTAAATACTCTGGACGACAGTAAAGTCCGTGTTAGAAGCACGTAAACACAGATGACCTGAGATGCGGTTCGTTGATGATGAACACAGGCTTCTAAACTTTCTGAACATCTTCTGTTATTTTGTTTGAACAGATTTTTCTCAACAGTTTCACCTGATTGTCACATGTTATTAATACTAAGCCACAACAGAGCTCAGTAATACAACATGAGTCTAACCAGCGAGCGGCTGCGACCCAAAAAGTACCAGAACCGCTCACGGTGCATGCGCAATCATGCATCAACACTGCTCGCCCGCTATTTCCCTAATAACACGCGTTATAGTCGTGAAAATACGGTACTTCCGAATTTTTATCCCAACTTGACAGAGTTGATACAGTTTTATTTGCCTGTATATTACTTTTTGGGTCGTCACGTGTACAACATTTAAGTGGATTTACCTCGGAGAAAATGGCGAAGTGGCCATTCTGTAGATGCCTCTTCAGATTCGTTGTGTTTTTTCCTCGGAACGACAGTCCACTCTCGGCATGTAGTTTTGGTAGCAAAGTTATCATAAGAAAAATGACTCCACACATCTTCTCTTCTTTTTCGCCCAGTAGTTAACATTTTCCTCTACTCCTTCTTCTTATGCCGTCGATATATTCTGTGAGCTATGTTTAGCATGCCGCGCATACCTGCCCCTTTATACTATTCGGGATCTGTCTTCGCTCACGTCCCGCACGTTCACGGCACGTCATGCCCCTTGTCTTCTACTACGTTCGTGTCTCACAACAACACAATAGGCGCACCGCACCATAGAGCGCCATGTAGAGCGTCATTGTGGAGTTTCAATCAATTTAATTATCGTCTTCGTCTTTTTCCAAGCTTTTATTTTGAAAATTTGTTACGTTTTCGTCTGTAAATATATTTTCGTGACGAAAAAAAAGACGAAAATATTTTGTCAACAAAATTAACACTGCACTCCAGTACTCGACCGCTAGCCAGTGGCTAAATCAGCATTGTTTACATGATCTCCACAGACACTTTTTAACGGCGGTGAAGTTCTCCGTGCGTTACAGAGATGATGTGCTTCTCACAGAGCTTCTTCAAAAATGTTATCTTTGGACGTCGGTCTCCTTCGGCTGGTAATCCGTGGGAGTTTACCGCAGCATACACAGCGTGTCCCCCGGCTCGCTAGCCATACTGCAATTAGCTGGTGGCTAAGTCAGCATTGTTTACTTGATCTCCACAGTGTGTCACCGGCTAACCCTCCTTCGCCAACCATGGCGCTGCCAGTGATCGCTCCAAAAAAGATTGTTTTCTTTCTTTTTCCATATCCATTAGCTGGTAGCAAGCTTGTTTACAAAGCTGCTCTCATCTACGTGAAATGGTTGTTGTGGGAGATTATGTTCCCCTGAAATATTCTGTTTCCCTGAGGCAGTCAAGAGCAAATATTTCCAAATTCACAGAACTTGTTGTCCATTACGCAGACTAAACAACCTCAAATAAAAGAGTTAAACGAGTGAGATTATATCATTTTACAGAACTTTCAAAAACGATCAGTAAGCTTGTAAAGAGTGAACAGAAATGTTTTTACTGTACCTTTTTTATTTTTTTAGGAGGTGTCAGGTTAAACCCTTCTAGACACCATACACAGGGAAGAAAAGAGACACAAAGACAGAATTCTGTTTTATGCTCGCGGAGAATGGAATAAGGCCTCACCAACTCAGTCTCCACTGAGCTGACAGTTCCTCCAATCCATTCTAACTCTGAGATCCGAGCGTGTACTTTTATTACAAGCTGGGAGGGTCCCTAGATACATGCCTGATGAGCTGATCTGAAGGGAGGGGGAAAGCACAGCTCTGAGTTTTTAGTTGTTGCAAGTTTCACACAAACCGCTCAGTATTACACAAAGAGCATTCAGTGCTAATCAGTGTTTAATCATATGATGTGCAGTTGCACGAGTCAGCAGCTGTCCTTTGGGTCACATAAGGTCAGGATCAAGACTCAGCGTTCTTAAAGTCTCATGAGGAAACTTCATAACAATACAGCAACTGTTTAAGCAAAAATGGTAAAATCTTTAAATGTAATAAAATCATAAAGCATGATAAAAGAAAACATATAATTATCTTAACAGTACGACATATAGATTTAAAAACATCACAAGCATTACATTATTACATTACATTTTTTTCCCGTAAAAGTCTATCACAAATTTGTGAAGATAACCTGAAGTGCGACCTCCGAACACGGGGAAACAGAGTATTTCAGGGGAACACATTTTCTCACAACACCTGACCGCCTGGCTGACGTCAACCCTCCTCTGTGTGAATCGTGACATCTTCAAGATCTAACAGAACTAACTTGCTTCCTTCAGGACTGGTAGGGTGATAAAACCGTCATAATTAAAAATGCTTTTTTAACTGGTCAAGTGGTCATAAGCTTTTTGAGGGTTAGGCTAGAGAGGGGCCTCATTTATAAAGCTTGCTTATGCACAAAATGGGGTCGGAAAACTGCAACTTTCCATGAAAACTTTGGGATTTATGAAAGAAAATGTAGCAGAAAAATGTGCACAACTTTAAGTTGACCAAAGACCTGGCTGACGCACATTTTGGACACGGAGAGCACCTGCAGTGCTGCTGCTGAGAATGATAAAATGATGAAATCCAGCAGCATTATCACTGCCCCACCCTCACCCCACTCCGCCCCCCACACACACACATACACACAATGGAAGAACAACAATGGTGTAATTGTTTCACACTTTAAAATGAGGTCAACTTAAGTGCTTGTAAAATATTCTAGTAATAAAAATGTTGCTGCAGTTTTTCTACACTACATTTAACACCGTCTTACATTTCTGAGTGGTCATTAATAGACATATGTCCTGTTCTCTTCATGTAATGCTGACATGCTTTTTTCTCCTTTTTTTACAGTGTTCGAAATCAGACAGAAAATGAAATAATCCGTAATCTAATAGGTTACACAAATGCATGGATTGGTCTGTATCGGGAAAAGTTGTGGTCTGATGGTAGCAACTCTCAGTTTCAAAACTGGGCAAACTACGAGCCCAATGGCTATGGTCCAAAGTGTATAGCTTCATCATATTATGACTCAGGAAAATGGTCCGATGAAGAATGTACAGATAGTTTACCATTCATCTGTTACACAAATGGTAATTTATTTTTCTCCCTCTCATAATTTTTTATAGATGCTACTTAATATGGATAGGACACACAGTGGTTGTGTTGCTATGGTGTTTAAAGATGATTGTGTAATATTTCACTTTACATGTTTTACATAAGTATAATTTATTGCAGTGATGGCTGTTTTCAAAATATTCATTAAAATACCAATACAATAAAAGCTACAACAAAATGGCAATTGGTATTTTACAGACTGAATACGGAACAGTTTATAAAGCTATGTTTTTAGAGGTGTTCAGAATGAAGGTACAATATTTCCTTTAAAAGTTTTATTTTAACAAAAATTTAATTATTTATTTTGATGGGTATAGCACTGGGTTAATGTTTACATATACCAGCAAATAGAGGGCACCATTGCCAGTTAGGGTTATTGTTGCAATTAGAACTTTCAGACACCAGATGTTCCTATGGTGTTTGTGTTCCATATTTAAACTTTAAAGAGCAAGTCACCCCCTGCAGAGTCTTACTCCACTCCCACTTCATGTTTGAAAAATGCAACAAATGCTGTTGCCTGGCAGACAAAGAGGGCAGAGTAGCTAACAAATACACATGTGCACACACACACAGACTCACAGCGACATTGTGACATCATAGTGTACCAGTAAACGTCACCGTGTACCTCTTAGCCAATAGCGATGGCAGATTTATATTCAAATGCAGTGCAGAGTTTTTACCTGACGATGACACAACACTAACAGGTTTAGGCTGAATATTTAAATTTTAACAAGATGCACTTAAGTGCCGAATTAGTGACTACATGTGTCCACAGCACGATTAGACACTCATTTATATAGTTTGTCAGCAAAAAAAAGTTGATTTTGGGGTGACTTGTTCTTTAATGTTTCCATTCTGTCAAATAAGTAGTTGTAAAAATGGGTTTTTAAATCATGGCAGACACGATAATTTTATTAGGTTGTGTTAATTTATGATTAATTTGTAAAGTGTAATTTTCTGTTTGTTTTGAATTATTGTACATTGAATTCCAGCATGGTTTTTTTTTTTTTTTTTTTTTTTTTTTGCATGTTAACAAACACCATCAAACCCGGTTGGTCTACAGGTCAAGGACAAAGTAAGTAAACACCTTTGTCATTTTCTTTCTTTCTGTCAAATCAACGTTTTAAAATTTGTATGTAATTTTAAAAATCTTACTTTTTATCAGCATAAATATGTCTGTTACTTCAGTTTGTCATTTGCATATTGACTGTTATTTCGCACTTCTACAACTTTTGATATTCATAGTTGGGATGTCCCGATCTGTCTCTTTATGAAACACTATGAATTAGGGATGTCCCAATCAGGTTCTTTTGCCCTCGAATCCGAGTCATTTGATTTTGAGAATCTGCCGATAGAGTCCCGATCTGATACTTTTGATACATAAAAAGAATAAAGAAAGCGAATAAACAGATCCAGAATGTTCCTTGTTTTTTATTCACGTACCTTTATTTTAACATTTAACAACTCTGTTAACAAACAGATCACTTTTGTGAGATAGCTCGAACAATTTGGACATGGGACTGAAGTTTGAAGGTGATTTGAATTATATCAAATAAATAAATATTACATGCTGATAAATTATTGCTTTACAAAGGTAAAAATGTGCAGTGAGATAAATCTACCTACATTTTATTTTTCAAGAACTTAAGTTTTGTTTTCTTGGTTTTTATTTTCCAATTTTCCTATCCTGTCTGTCTCTGAACTTCCAGCATCGCCTCTTAGGCCCTGTCCACACGTAGCCGGGGATCTGCCAAAACGTAGATATTTTTCTACGTTTTGGCCTGTCGTCCACACGAAAACGGAGTTTTTTCACACAAAAACTGATCTTTTTAAAAACTCCAGCCAAAGTGAAGATCTGCGTTTTCTCCGTTTTGGGTGTCTGCGTGTGGACAGACAAACCCGGAGTTTTAAGGTCCGCAACGTCACTTTCCACGAGAAAAAAATGCTGACATCACGTGTGCGACCTGTGTTTACACTAGCCGACAGCATGGATGCCCTCAGAGCTGCGCTCGCTTTATCAATTGTCCAAGCGCTTTTTGCTTGTTTGTTTTTGCAAGCGGAATTACTGCTCCTTGCGGAAGACCACAGACGAAGGACGAGGTTAAGAACGGGGGAAGTACTGCCGCCTACAGGTCTGGCATGTCCTTAACAACGTATTTACCCGGGTACCTGTGGACAGAGTTTTTTTTTAAAAACGAGGTGGTGTGGATGCAAGTTTTTGGAGGAGCGGATATTCATTTTTTTAAAAACCTGGCTACGTGTGGACTAGGCCTCAGTCCTCCAGAAAAACTGCTGCCTGATTCCTCTTTTTTTGCCACACGGGTTTCTTTTATCGAAGCAAATCAAATGGATCTACTGACCGCAAAAATAGCAGAGTGTGCGCTGCCCGGCCACACCAGTGACTTGGAATCATCAGACCTGGGTGATGAGCACTGTAGCGGCAGAGAGTGTCTATAGGCTTGAACAAAAGACTGAAATTACTGATATTATATATATATATATATATATATATATATATATATATATATATATATACAGAGAGAGAGAGAGAGAGAGAGAGAGAGAGAGAGAGATTATATATATTAGGGATGAGCGAGTACACCACTATCTGTATCTGTATCTGTTCAACCAACTAAATTATCTGTATCTGTATCTGTACTCGGAATGGGCGTGGCATAACCCGGAAGTGGGAGTGGCTTAACCAGAAGTGGGTGTGGTTTACATCAATATATTGTTTTAAGACTGAAATTGATATGGATTGATCAGAAGTTGCTATTTGTATTGTTTATTTGAAAACTATTTACAGAGCAGCCTCAGAATTGAGATTAAATATTTTTGATCACAATAGTAAAGAAACTATTACAGAACAAGTGTTTCAATAAAATCAGGACATTAATATTTAAGTGCATGGATTAATACATCTGAACTCATGCAGTAGGAACTAGGAAATATGAACTGCTAGAACCAGACAGAACTTTTTTTTTTTTTTGATTAAACAGATTTTTTTTTCTTAACGTTCTTGGCATTTTCCCAAACAAAGTTAAACAAAACAATGTTGATTAAGGTGTGTGTGTCTGAGAGAGGGAGAGAGAGGGAGTTAAAAAAAATAAATAACCCGACCGGAGCGGAGGTAGTGACTGACACAGCACGTCATCTCTGTCTTGTCAAATGCACCATGTAAGTTACGAAAAAAGTAACTTTAAATATTCAACCCAAAAAGAGGCGAGCTGAAGAAAACCTAGGGAAAACTGAAGAAACGTGAGCAACAGTGAAGCAATCACAGCGAGATCCGTTACTGTCTGTGTGTGTGCGTGGATGAGCCGGACAGACTGCTCTCCCGGCCGGCTGCAGAGTTTTGCGTGTAGGGAGGGGCGGGCGCTCTATGTGACTGGCCAATCGCTGAGCGTGAAGACAAGACAGTCAGTTACCCAATGAGGATTTTCCTTCAGCACAATTACAGATATTTCCGAGTTTTACTCGTTTCATGCTCGTATTCGTCAAAAATGCTTTATCCGTACCGGATACCCGTCTGAAACGAGTACCCGGCTCATCCCTAATACATATATATATATATATACATATATATATATATACCTGAATCCTCTTGCAAAGGCTTACGTCTCGGCCCGGCCGCTCCGGTCATCACAGGATTGTCGGCTAGCAGTGCCTACACCTCGCTCAGGACAATCCAGACTCTTCTCATGCATCGTTCCACAAATGTGGAATGGTCTTCCAAGCACTGCCAGAACAGCGGCTTCTTTTTCAATTTTCAAGAAACTCCTGAAGACCCTGCTCTTCAGAGAGCATCTTCTTAACTAGCACCCTGCCTGCACCCGTCCCCCCTCTCTACTGTCCACTCCTTGTTCCCTCCTCTCCATGACTGATGTCAAGTTGCTGTTATTGTTGTTGTTAGCCTCAAGGGCAACATGCCAATTATCACTTGTAAGTTGCTTTGGACAAAAGCGTCTGCTAAATACATAAACTTAAACATAAACTGTGGCTGTGTGCAGGATGCAGCTGCCTGGGGCGCATGAATAATCAGCGCTGCCGCTCTCTGCATCTCTGCTCAAAAGGATCCCCGCTATGCTGAGAGCTCATAAATACCAATATAATATAGGTAGAAACAGTGTTGCCAACTCAGCAACTTTGTTGCTGTTCCTAACGACTTTTTGACCCCCCTCAACAACTTTTTTTCCAAAAAGCGCCTAGTGACAAACCTAGCGACATTTCTCAGGACCCGTTGCTGCTTTCTGTAGAACTTTCTTGTAGATATTCCCTACAGATTAGCAACAAAGAAACCATTTGCACTCTGAACCGTTCTTCCGGGAGTAAGGAAAGAGAACGATAATCTGCACATGTGCACGAGGACTGACCAATCATAAACCGTTTTTGGCCGGGCTGATTCGCCGAAGACAAATGTACAGTTGCAGAGCTGGAGACCACTGATTTACGTCTGCTGCTGCTGCTGCAGGCTCACGCTTCTACTAGAGACGGCGCAGGCGTCAACCTGCCATCTCTGGTTCTGCAGCCGTCAGACACTTTGGCTTTTCCTGCATTTGGCAAATAAAGTCAAGGGGAGTTTCAAGTACCGTCCCATTTACACACGCAGCTCTGTGGCTGATCTGAATCTCCTTCAGTGACACAGGGATGGTTATACTATGAGACACCTGCTCCCTTTTGCTCGGTGCGCCGTTATTATCACGATGGAGAGAAAACACAACAGAGAAGTTGAGAAACTATGAGGTGTAAAAAAAACAGCTTTTTAGGAAAATGTCTGTGAGAATGAGGAGAGCAGGAGGTCTGATTTATATCCTACAACAGAACTGTTTGGATAACCACACCATATCTGTCTTAATGTCACTTTATTGATACTTTTGGAATTTATTGTACATATCAAAGCAATTTGGGCCATTTTAATCATACTAATTAATAACTTTAACACATAACATAGTTTTTATTTTCCTCCCTTGTAGTCCTATACATATATATATATATAATCTTTTAGATGCTATGGAGAAAATGAACGCCAATGTGACGTAATGACGTCATCAATATGTAAATTAGCACGTGAAGTCATCTGGCGACATCTAGCGACTTTTGAGGGGAACTTCAGCTACTTTCAGTCAAAAACAGTTGGCAACACTGGGTAGAAGCAATCTTTTTTTCAGGCTCCCTCTGGGTGTGTAAGTTGCGGGCTTCAGGGGAGCCTGACACCCTGTCAGGAGAACCAGGTTCCCTTAGTTCTCCTGTAATTTGAACCTTCTATCCGTGTCCATATCGGGACATAATGCCCAATCTCGATGCAAGTCTGAAACCACGTGACTGGGACAGATTTCCGATCACGTGATCGGATCGGAACATCCCTACTGCTAATGTTAGTGGCGGAGAAGGAAGAAACATCACCAACATCGGCAGTGCTCTGAGGAAGGCTATAGCGTTAACCAAAATTTGTCAGCTATAAAGGTAAAAACAAATCTTCTATGCTGTGTTTAGAAAATAACTAAGAAATGGAATTTGGTCACAAAGCTCCTCAATGGCAAGGCCCCATGGGTGCACAAGATCCACTCGGAGTTCTTTAAAGCCCTGGATGTTGTGCAGCTGTGTTGGTTGATGTGGCTCTGCAACAAGTAGGACAACAAGAGACATCAAGGGCTGTTTCACTGGGTTGTCAGACCAGGGTGGTGGTCCCACACAGCTTTTGTTCCAACAAAGGGGATTACACACCTGAGCCTCCCTGGTAAGGTTGAATGATGAGGCTCAGGTGAGGCATGCTAGAGAGGAAGATAGTTGAACCTCGGATTCAGGAGGAGCATTGAGGTTTTAATCCTGGCCGTGGAACACTAGATCAGCTCTATACTCTTAGGGGCTCCTGGAGCGCAGTGTTGTGCCCGAACGTGTTCATTGAACGATCGTTCGTTTTTGCCGTGAACGTGAACTGAACTTGTTTGTATTTTGCCTGACGAACATAAAAGTGAGTGCGTTCGTCCTGGCGTGTGTGAACGGGTTTATGAACGCATTCTTTCACCGTTCTAGCTCCAGATCTCCACGGATCTTTTCCGGAACTAAAGCCTAGCTAAAACATCCCGATAACCATAGAGTTTATTAAAAAGTAGAACCTGCAAATGCGGCCAAACATGGACAGTAGCGGTTGTTGTGGCGTCTACTCTTCTACATCTATGCTGTGTGCAGGAGTCAAAGTTCATTCAGAAAAATTGAAAAGGGACTTAACTGAAAGATTATACCTTTTTTAATATTTTGCACTTTTAATATTGCACTTGAGTTTGCTACCTCAGCCTGCTTCCTAAGATTGTTGAATAATTTCCCATTAAAAAAAACGTTTCAAATGTTTTCCTCATGTTATTGAGAATATACTGTAGGGTAAAAACTAGGGCCCGACCGATATATCGGCTGGCCGATATTGGGATCATTAACACTATTGGCTATCGGCCAAAAAGACGGCCGATATGGCCGATATTGTGCTACATATCCAACAGATGGCGCCAGCTTTATGAACTCATGTTGTGTGGCTCCACTCCTCAGGGGAATACGCATAACAGCTGTAATTAAAGTGCAAAGTGAGTGTTTGAACACAAATTATTCTTTTGGAACTTTTTTTATTTATTCTTATTTATGTTTCTTATATGCAGTTATTTCCTGTCCAGGGTGAATAAGTTCACCAAGTTAGCTTCCACAAAGTGTTACTTTGTTACAAAGCACACGTATTACGTTTTATTTATTGCTGCATTTTTATTATTTTAATATTCTTTTTGGGATCTTCTGTCCCTAAACGTGTGTGTGTTGTTAGATTCCCCAGAGTTAGCTAAGTCAGCAAAAACCTTTTGTAACCAGTTGTTTTAGCATAAAGCAATGGAAGGGAAGGCTTGCATTCACCTACATAAAAAAAACACTACAATGTATGTGAATTCACTTACATTGTTTTATGCTAAACTAAGAAATTCAACTGCTGCCAGATCATATTGGGCTGGTTATAAAATGCTTTTTCTGACTTGTCTAACTCTGGGGAATCTTAACAAGACACAACTTTACTGAGTGGTGGAATATTCCTTTAAGTTAAAATGTATTTGTGGAAACAACAGTTTACAAGAAAACACTTGAATGTTAGATTTATGCTGTGACTGAGTTTATGTGTTCTGTTGTTTTTGAGATCTGCTAAATAAATCTTATTTGCATTACTTGGAAACCCTAGTGAGTTACTGAGACAGTTCTTTGGTGTGTAATAGAGAAATAAGTTTGCATAAAAAAGGCAGAGAATGAAGGGTTTAAGCTTAAGAAAATTTTTATTTTTATTTCTTTTTTTTTTGTGAGGGAGATTTATTGGCCATTATATCGGCTATCGGCCTTTGTTAAAAGTTTTATATCGGTATCGGTCCCAAAAAAAGCATATCGGTGGGCCCTAGTAAAAACTACAGCTGGGTATGAGTGTGGACTAAACGGGTGCCAACTATTGGAAAATTATTTAATAAGTTATATATATATATGTGTGTGTGTGTGTAGGAGAAAAAAAAACTATGAACTAGTTCATTTTTGAAGCAGTGAACTCAGTTCAAATTTTTTTTAAATTATGACCTAAGAAACTAACTACTGTACTTCGTTTTAAAATGTATGAACTGAATTTTGAACTAGCTCATTTTTTAAACGAACTTTCCCAACACTGCTGGAGGGTGCATTTTGCACAATCAATCTACATGGGTTTTGTGGATTTGGAGACGGTGTTTGAAAGCATCCCTAAGGAGGCCTGGTGGAGGGATACTTCGGGAGTATGGGGTACCAGGCTCCTTGATATTGGCTGTTATGTCCCTGTTTGATCTTTCCCTGTCAGAGCATGGTCTGCATTGGAGTAAGTTAGACTCGTTCCCAATGAGTCATACTCCCTTTGTCAATGATTCTGTTCAACAAAGACAAGGAGTTTTAGGTGTAGCCAAGGTGTTAAAGGGGTCCGTTTTCGTGGCTTAAGGATGAGGTCTCTGCTTTATGCAGATGATGTGGTCTTCATCTGTAGCTTCATCAAAACATGATCTCTATCTTTCACTGGAATGGTTTGCAGCCAAGTGTGAAGCAACTGTGATGAAAAGCAGCTCCTCTAAATGTGATACCATGGTGCTGAATCTACAAAGGGTAGAATGCCTTCTCCAGTTCAGGGGCATGGTCCTGCCTAAAGTGAAGTAAATTAGGTATCTCAGGGTCTTGTTCACGAGAGACGGAAAGATAGAGTACAAGATCAAAAGGTGGATTGGCACTGCATCTGCAGTGATGCGGGCATTGTACCTGGCTTGTCATGGTGAAGAGAGAGCTCAGCAGGAAGACGAAGCTCTCGATTCACCAATTGATCTATGTTCCTTCCCTCACCATTGGTCATGAGCTTTGGGTAGTGACCAAACGAATGAGATCGCAGATACAAGCGGGCCAAAATTTGTTTTTTCTACAGGGTGTCTGGGCTCTCCCTTAGAGATAGGATGAGAAGCTCTGTGGTCCAGGGGACGCTGCCCCTCCGCATCAAGGGAAGCCAGTTGAGGTGACCCGAGCATCCGGTTAGGTTGCCTCCAGGACGCCTCCCTAATAAGGTTTTCCAGAAATGTCCTACCGAGATGAGACCCCAGGTCTGACCCAGGACACGCTGGAGTGACTTATGTTTCTCGGCTGGCCAGGGTACGCCTTTGGATTTCTCAGAGTAGCTAGTCCAAGTCTTGGCCTAACTCCTGAGGCTGCTGCCCCCATGATCCAACTCTGTATAAGTGAATGAAAATGGGTGGATGAATAGTTTTTCATTAAAAAATACAGTGTAGTATATTTGTTTTACTAGTGATTACTGCATTATTAACATTATCCATTAAATAGTTCAGTTTTCAAACAGATTTTTAAATTAGTATTCCATATTTCTGTCTTCAAAGGGTTAATATCACTTATGTATACCCGTCTTTGTAAAAACTTCCTTTGACATTATTTATTTTTGTGTGTTTGTGTTGACAGACTATGTTGCTAGAATGAATGCACGAGTCAGGTCTCAGACCCAACTCTCAGAATCAGAGATGGAAGTGATTTTGGCAGAGGTGAGGCTGACGTCAACTTTAAAAAAAATTCTTTATTTGAATATTTTCTGTTTCACTGCTTTTTTTTTGTGTTCCAGTATCTTAAACAGCATGGTTTGCCACATCTGTCATCTTTGAAAGTTCGTTTTATCAAACCTTGAGATGAGTGAAGGAACACAAAGGATGAAAAAGAGGAGAATAAGCCACCATTCAACATGAGCAGTCTTTCAAGACAGGAAGTAGTCCTCTATCTGGGACAGTACCAGTTTAACTTGTCCCTAGGAATGTCCGATATTAACGGTCGATATTCATATTAAAATGTAATAAAAGAAGTTACGTGCATGTCTTTATTATTGACATAACTTACATGCTATAATGGAAACATTTGCCCTTATTTGTGCTTCCATTTTTCTGCTCTGTAAGCAAATGTGGTTAAATGATTCACACACATGCTTGCGTAGGGTTACGGTAACAATGTATTTTGGGCACTGGGTACAGAAGTGTACATATCACTGGACTTTTCTGACAGTAAGATGTCGTGCACATATTATGCATCAAACTCTGCAGCTAATTCTCTCAGCCTAAATGTCTAAATATGAAAGATCTGAAGTTTAGATTTGAGAAATTTTAGTTTGGACACAACTGGACTAACTTACATTTGAACAATAGTCATATTTTACAAACATCATGTTTAAAGTTTAATTATGCATGCAAGAAATATGTGATATTAGTTACCTGTAATAATAAATGTCTATTTTTGTACAATGGGGGACTCTGCATACGTTAACATTTAATATAGGTATCAGACATTAAAAGTCAGACAATATTGTTATGTCAGATATAATAATGAGGTTTACTATGTTGTTGAAACATCCCCATATTTTTTAGATTTGTTTTGTTTCTTTTTATTTTATATTTCACAGTTAAATTCAGTTAATTCTTTAATGAGATGTGGGGAGTTAAATGTGCCCTACCAAGCAGCTGAGCTAGCAGTTAAAGGGTTGTCAGAAGCAGAGGATTTGTTTTCACACAGTTGTACCAGTTTGAATAAGATATAACATGTAATTATCTGTCCTATGTGTGGTATATCTAGTCAGACGCCTCCTCCAAGAGTAGCATGAGGAGACTTTCCTGTTTTGTTTGTTGGGTCAGTCTTCCAGAACTGGACACTTAGAGCTGGTGTGGCTAAAGAGATGATTGATCAATACTCAGAGCTGTCATTACTGGTATCTTTATTCAATATTTTAGTAATCTATGCCACTTTTACAGCTTGTTTTGGTTGTGGGGTCTTTTTAATATTTAGTTACATTGAAAATTGGTATTGGGGTTTTTGATTAAATGATTTGTAAAACCTGTCCAAGTACAACTGATGAGGAGCAGCCTTTTGGTCTATATCTTGTATTTTTTACATGTATCTGATTTTTCTTTGTTGTCCTTGATAAATAAACCAACAATCTTGAATCAAGTCACGTTTTCAAATTGAAGTTTTTGTGGCGGTTTGTGGGGAACCTGATGTGGGGGGCTGGCTTTATAGCGACCCTGCTGCATCAGATCTAAAGCCTGGGTCATGCGTCTGCGTCAGTGCGGAGACACGCAACGCCATTGTCCATCCTTGCGGGCTTGCTGGAGAGCCCCGTAAGGATGGACGGAGTCAAGCTGTCTTTTCTAAACATCCGTCCATCGAGACGGAGAACACAAGCTTGTGATTGGTCAGGGCACTGCTGTCGTCTACACCGCCGCCATTGTGCCCTCAAAACCATAAAGAGAGCTGAGGATAACTAGCGGCAGACACGGAGAAGCTTGAAAAATACCTTGTGAAAAAACTCTACAAACATGAACGTTTAGTTCCCCCGTGATTGAAGGAGTGAAAAGATGCTCAGCAAGTGTTTTATTTGTGGACAGAAATGACAGGAAACGTGGTTTTAGAGGTGGTGAGTGCATGAAGAGGTGGAGGAGAATGAGAGACAAATTTGGATGTGTTAAAAAGTCTCTTATATACAAAAAAACACAATATAAACACATTATCTTGGACCGATACATGACAGGATACCACAGAACAGCACTACGCCCTCTGCTGTCCCGGCGAATTGCTTTGCAACACTCCCCAGGAGACGGAGAAGTATGAGGGCAAAAAGTCTTCGTCCATGCGTGCGTGTCTCTCCCTTTCGGAGCTAATGGAGAAGCATGACTCAGGCTTTACAGAGATGTCAAGCTGCAGCACTCAACAAGAATAGTCTGGAACGAGCGATCCCCTTGACTTTTATGTCTGGTCTGTGGAACTTCTACGGTAGCACAGGAGCTAAGTGCTCGCCCCGTAATCGGAAGGTTGCAGGTTCGAGCCCCGTTCAGTCTGTCGCTGTCGTTGTGTCCTTGAGCAAGACACTTAACCCACGTTGCCTGCTGGTGGTGGTCGGAGGGACCAGTGGCTCCAGTGCTCGGCAGCCTCGCCTCTGTCAGTGCGCCCCAGGGCAGCTGTGGCTACATCGTAGCTCATCCCCACCAGTGTGTGAATGTGTGTGTGAATGGGTGAATGACTGATTGTGTTGTAAAGCGCCTTGGGGGGTTTCAGGACTCTAGAAGGCGCTATATCAAATACAGGCCATTTACCATGTACCATTTCTAGAAGGTTCTGGTTTGTGGACCTGAGGGCTCGGGTTAGAGCATAAGACTTTAACAGTTCAGTAATATAAGGAGGAGCTTGAGCGTTAAAAGTTATAGTCAGGATCCTAAAATGAAGTCTAAAGTTAATGGGTAACCAGTGCAGAGACATTAGAATAGGAGTGATGTGAGCTCATCTGTTTTGCTCCAGTTAATTCTGGACCAACTGAAGTCGATCAAGGGTTTTTTGTTAAAACATGTGTTACAGCACTTGTTACAGACCAGTGATTCCCAACCAGAGGTCTGCGTACCCCTAGTGGCACGTGAGAGCATTACAGGGGTACACGAAAAAATTCATATTTAATTACCCAGATGATGACTGTGCCCTGGTAAAAAAAAATTTTTAAAAAATTGGGCTGGGATGTGCAATGCTTGATGAATATGCAAATAAAGTAACGCACAGTAATATTTGTTTGATGTCATATTGATCATAATATCAATTGAGGCCAACTGCGGCTGTGCATGATTTTTTTTTAAGCTGCGTCAGTTTTTGACCAGAGGCTGCTGCAGCGTGGATTCAGATGCTCTTGATCCGGTAACATTGGTTATACGGACCTAATCTGGGTTTTTGGAGCTGATGTCAAACAGAGAATCATCCTCAGTAAATGATTTTGGCTATAGTAAAGGCATATCTGCGCTAATTGCTCGTTAACACTCATTCGCTTCCGGTGCTCTTTGAAACACGATAAACACACAGACTTCCAAACTTTCGGACATCTCCAGGGATTTATCCACAGCTTTTTCTCCCATTAATAACGCTTGTGGTTGTGCAGCTCCTCTCTTCCTGTCCAGGGGAGGAATCGTTTTGGGCAATCGTCCAAACATTTGACTAAGAATGTACTAGTGGTATGAGAAAATGGCTCAGGGGGTCCACGAGTCAAAAAAGGTCGGGAACCACATACAGGTCCTTCTCAAAAACTTAGCATATAGTGATAAAGTTCATTTTTGTCTGTAATGCACTGATAAACATTAGACTTTCATATATATTAGATTCATTACACACAACTGAAGTAGTTCAAGCCTTTTATTGTTTCTAAAATTGATGATTTTGGCGTACAGCCCATGAAAACCCAAAATTCCTATCTCAATTAGCATATTTCATCCGACCAATAAAAGAAAAGTGTTTGTAATGCAAAAAAGTCAACCTTCAAATAATTATGTTCAGTTATGCACTCAATACTTGGTCAGGAATCCTTTTGCAGAAATGACTGCTTCAATGTGCTGTGGCACTGCTGAGGTGTTATGGAGGCCCAGGATGCCTTCGATAGCGGCCTTAAGCTCATCCAGAGTGTTGGGTCTTGCGTCTCTCAACTTTCTCTTCACAATATCCCACAGATTCTCTATGGGGTTCAGGTCAGGAGAGTTGGCAGACCAACTGACCACAGTAATATCATAGCCAGTGAACCATTTACTAGTGGTTTTGGCACTGTGAGCAGGTGCCAGGCTGTGCTAAAAAATTAAATCTTCATCTCCATAAAGTTTTTCAGCAGATGGAAGCATGAAGTGCTCCAAAATATCCTGATAGCTAGCTGCATTGACCCTGCCATTGATAAAACACAGTGGACTAACACCAGCAGCTGACATGGCGCCCCAGACCATCACTGACTGTGGGTACTTGACACTGGACTTCAGGCATTTTGGCATTTCCCTCTGCCCAGTCTTCCTCCAGACTCTGGCACCTTGATTTCCGAATGACATGCAAAATTTGCTTTCATCCGAAAAAAGCTGAGCAACAGTCCAGTGCTGCTTCTCTGTAGCCCAGGTCAGGCGCTTCTGCCGCTGTTTCTGGTTCAAAAGTGGCTTGACCTGGGGAATGCGGCACCTGTAGCCCATTTCCTGCACACGCCTGTACACGGTGGCTCTAGATGTCTCTACTCCAGACTCAGTCCACTGCTTCCGCAGGTTCCCCAAGGTCTGGAATTGGTCCTTCTCCACAATCTTCCTCAGGGTCCGGTCACCTCTTCTCGTTGTGTAGCGTTTTCTGCCACACCTTTTCCTTCCCACAGACTTCCCACTGAGGTGCCTTGATACAGCACTCTGGGAACAGCCTATTTGTTCAGAAATTTCTTTCTGTGTCTTACCCTCTTGCTTGAGGGTGTCAATGATGGCCTTCTGGACAGCAGTCAGGTCGGCAGTCTTACCCATGATTGCAGTTTTGAGTAATGAGGCCTCGCCCGGGGAGTAATTCCATGCAGAACCGCCACTGCACGGCTCCTCACTCACACCAACAAGAGAGATCACATAACCCCGGTCCTAAAAAGCCTTCACTGGCTTCCCATTCAGTTCAAGATCTTACTCGTCACCTACAAGGCCCTCAATAATCTTGCCCCTTGTTATCTATCTGACCTTCTGCGTCTCCACCGCCCTTCCCGTTGTCTTAGATATTCTGCCTCCAATCTCCGCTCTCACACAATAACTTCAAAACATCGCACCATTGGGGACAGAGCTTTCTCTGTGGCTGCTCCCACCATATGGAACTCTCTCCCCCAACACATTCGTACTGCTGACTCACTTCATAAATTCAAAAAACTCCTGAAAACTTACCTGATTAATCAAGCGTTTAAAGCTTGTTAATTTATTTTACTGTGTCCTTCTCTCTGATTGTAAAGCGTCTTTGAGCAGTGGTTAAAAGCACAATATAAAACCTATGCATTATTATTATTATTAATTTGCTTAGAGTTCCTCACACTTACTTTCACCCTAGGAGTGACCATTCCTTCAAAGCTGTAGCCCCTAAGCTCTGGAATGATCTACCCACTGCTCTGTGTGTAACTGACTGTTGAGTTCAAGAGCGAACCATACTCATTTGTTTGTTCGGGCATTCGTCTAGTTTTTTGTGGGCAGTTACGTTTTCTGTGTGTTCTTGGCCTTATATGATATGTTTTTATTCACTCTTTTTTATTTTATTCTATTTATTTATTGTTTAAAATGTTTACAATGTTGAGAAGCACTTTGTGGCTTGTGCCTACGAAAGGTGCTATACAAACAAAGATTACTACTAGCAATGGGCAAAAGATGAAAATTAACGTGTTTTTACAGTTTTTGACAGCATCTGGGTGGTGTTACATCAGCGACCATTAGGTTCTATGACTCTAAAGAAGATTCTGAACGAGTGGGATTGGACCATGGCAGTTTTCCCCTAAAATTAGCAAAAAGAGGTTTTTCAAAAGTAAATAAATAATATCTCATTCGCTCTTAGATTAATTACTCATATGTGTTGTTGTCATATCCTGCCATTACCACAAGAGGGTGATGCTCTCGTGTTCATTTTAATTGTCTCCATTAGTGCTCGAATTGTACTGGTCTGCAGCAACAAGAAGGAAGCTGATAAATGTTGCTTGTAACATATGATTAGAGTATTAAGTTTCTATGGTTTCTTTTCTGCAAAATCAAATGTTAACTTGTCCTGCCTCATGAGGTTTAGTATCCTTGTTCTGTTAAAATGCAGATCACAAGAGGAAATAGTTAACTAAACAAATCAGTTTCTGCTCCTGACCCACACAATACTCCTCCGATCCTGGAACGGCATGCAAAAAAAAAAAAAAAAAAAAAAATCCCACAGGGAGTGGTGTACAACTGAGTGGGGAGGACTTTGGCTTCTCTATCACAATGCCAGTGTTTGCCTTTGCTCTCATCGAGGTCACCGTTCACATTCAGGGACAAGGTAGGACCCCGTGTAAATATAGAGTGTTTCATGTTTCAGTCTTTTGACAGAACTAAATACTTGTGTGTGTGTGTGTGTGTGTGTGTGTGTGTGTGTGTGTGTGTGTGTGTGTGTGTGTGTGTGTGTGTGTGTGTGTGTTAGTGTGTGTGCGCGTGTGTGTGTGTGTGTTCATCAGATTTTATCTTTTGTCCACCAAAAGAGTAATGTAGAGAGGAATCATGAAGTCTGTTGTTTTTGTCCAGTCTGGGGTTAAAATGGAGCAGTAGAAGAAGAAGAAGAAGAAGAAAATATCATTTCTATAGCGCTTCTCAAAATAAAAATCACGAGGCACTTAAGGAAGGAAAGGAGGAGCGGGTTTGTGTTTATTCTTTAGTGTTTTCTGAGTCTGTGTTTCAACCAACTGAAACCGAGAGTAAAGTCCAGGACTCGTGACCTTGAAAGTAGACTTTGGTCAGTGGGAATCTTTAAAAAATCCTTCTGTAGATCCTTATAAAGACCACACTGAGGACAAATAATGTATTTCTGCGCTCTACTGGTGCCTCTTGGATAATAAAGCAAACTGCTGTGGCTCGAACACTAAACACCAAGTGTCTAAATTACCATTTTGATAACTTTACACACAAAGATGATTTTTTTAACGTGGAGTGTCCAGCCTGGGCGACAGAGATAGATGAGTTAAGGACCCACCCCTGAACCAGAGGGTTGCACCTAAAAATTCCTCTCAACCCCCCATCCTCAATCAGTGCAGAGTATACTCCCCCAAATTCCAACAGGTGTCCATCATGTTTCACCTCAGATATGTTTTTTTCATCTGACAGGGAATTGTGTTTTTTTTACTGTTCAAAGTTCTGCGTTGACCTTAAGGAACTGTTTGTGGTTACCGTGGTGATTCTAATGATTCAGTGCTGGTTACCATAGTGACCTTAAGTACTATTGGTCAATACCATAGTGATTTATCAGTGGTTACTATGGTGACCCTAAAGAGCCATTCAAGGTTACCATGGTGACCATAATGATCCATTAGTGGTGACCTTAATAAGCCCCTATTTGTTTCCATAGTAACCTTAATTTAGCAATCGACGGTTACTATGCTGGTCATAAATTGCAAGCTGTGATTACCATAGTGACCTTAAGGAGCCATTGGTGTAACCACATGCTGTAGCGCAATTATTACATTGATCCAAATGAGTCACACAGGTTACCATGGTGACCTTAACAAACCATTAGTGGTAATCTTAGTGACCTTAAAAGACCAATGGTGGTACCTTAATAAGCGTGGTTACCATGGTTACTTTAATGACCCACTTGTTTTTGCTGATCCCAGTGAGTCATTGACAGCAGCTTTAACATTTCTTTTGATCTTGATGATTCATACACTTACACTTTTACGTCCTTTTAGAATATTACAAAACTCAATCTAAGTTCGCCTTCGGACTTCATTGAAAAATGTTGATGTCGTACTGCTGGACAGTATTTACTTTCGGATTTCTTCAGGAATGATTTTGCTCATGAAAGGCCTTGAACAAACACTTTCCTGTTTACTGGTGTAAGTCACACTGATGTTTCTGCTTTAGTTCTGAGGTCATGATCTCCAGCAGCCTTCTTTTGTCAGAGGCGCAGTTTCAGTGCTGCATCTGTCAGGATGTTTTCTCCGAGCCAGTCTCCATCCCCTGCGGCCACAGCTTCTGCCTCACCTGCATCACGTCGCACTGGGACAACAGCCTCACCTGTCCCAAATGTCACACCGAGTTCAACGCTCGCCCTGAACTTTGTGAAAACTCTTTCGCCAAAGAGATGTCGGAGCAGATCAGAGCAAGAAGGCAGAATGGCGTGATGGAGGAGAACATACGATGTGATGTGTGCGTGGGAAAGCAAAGTAAGGCTCTGAAGTCCTGCCTCGTGTGTCTGACCTCGTTCTGCGAGAGCCACCTGGAGCCTCACCTGAGAGTCGCCACCTTGAAACTTCACAAGCTGGTGGAGCCGGTGGCCATGCTGGAGAACAGGATGTGCAGGCAGCACCAGAGGCTCCTGGAGCTGTTCTGCAGGAGTGACCAGACGTGTGTGTGTGTCCTATGCACTGAAACGGACCACTGTGGTCACGACACCCTCCCAGTGGAGCGGGAGAGCCAGCTGAAGAAGGTCTGGTCCATCACCCCTCTTTTTTATTGCTCCATATCCTTTTATAAATTCAATGTGAGGTTTTGTTTTGTTTTTGCTCCAATATTCAGGCCCAGATGAAAAGAACAAAGACAAAAATTCATCAGATGATCCAGGATAGAGAGCAGAAAGTGAAGGAGATCAAACTGAAAGTTGAGCTAAGCAAAGTGAGTCGATGCCTAAAGTAATTTCACTAAAACTTGCAGGACTTGGACCAATCTTTCTTTACTCACACACCTGCAGGAGAACTCAAAGAGGGACATTGAGGAAAGCAAGGAGGTTTTCTCCGCTGTGCTTCGCAGCATCGAGGAAATCCAGGCCAATCTGGTGGAGACAATCCAGAGGAAGCAGGCAGTGGCAGAACAGAGAGCCCAGAGGCTCGTGGAGGAGCTGGAGCAGGAAATCACAGAGCTGCAGAGGAGACAGAGTCATCTGGAGCAGCTTTTTCACTCAGAGGATCACCTCCATGTTGTCCAGGTCAGGAGGTTGGGAACAGATAACCCTTTCTGGGCTGTGACTGTTATTAGTGATTATTTACAAAGATATTTCTAAACTGTCTTGAAACAATTGTGAGTTCTCAATTTCCTGAAAGTGTCTGAAAGTGGGATAACTTAAGCAAACGTTGGTGGTGTTGAAGTTGTGCCTGCTTGGAGACAAAAAGAAGAACGTGACATTCGTGCCATGATGGAATTTAAAATAAAATGATCAGTTGTGGCCAAGTGAAGACACCAAGAACAAATGCAACAAGATAATCTACCGAGCTGTTGCAGAGACGTCATGCAAAAGTCACAATTTAATTGCCATTTTTGACAAATACAAAAATGTTTTCTCTCGTTTTTGTGTCACCAACAGTCACAGCAGACTGATGTGGAGCTTAAAGCTTGGTTTATGCTTGAAGCATTCACTTTCCGCGCAGTGATGCGGCTCGCGGATGGAACGCGCTTCACAACTCGCAGCGTTTATGGTTCGTGCGGCTCGTCTCTGCGGTGAGCCAATATTCTCCCAAACTGAGCGGGGCAGCATGGAGCTCTTCAGCATGCATCCAACACTACACCATAGTAGAAGTAAAAATCACTGTTTACAGCATGGCAACCCAGCATTTATAACAGCGTCCTCGTCTTTTCCGACAGTGCGAGCTATTTCTCTCCAAGAATTATAAACAACATGTTGATCACGGTGATCTCTGAGAGCTGAATCATACAAATGTCTGTTTTTACGAACCTCTGCCATACTAGTTCTTGCCAGTCCGCTATGTTTTTCCGCGTTTGACCGTCCGCGTGGTTAGAAATTTTCCTAGGTGCGCGTTGCGGAAATTTTGGGCCTTGCAGAGATGCGGTGGAAGGGCGTGGTTGTTAAAATGACGCAATTTCGCCGCGCGGAGCCGTGCGGACCTCGCGGACGCGTCAAGCATAAACCAACCTTATGTCTAAATGTTTTTAGGTTAAAACAAGTCTCTTCTCTCCTCTTTGACTTTGTCAGAGTTTTCCAGCTGCCGCCTCGCCTCCATCTGTTAGACCCTGCTCCGACCTCTTCGTCCACTCAGACACGAGTTTGGGAACCATAAGGCGAGCGGTGGCTGATATTCGGGAGAAGCTCCAATCAAAACTGAAAAAGCTTTCCAGTCAAGGTCAGCCTCTGGGGGACAAACATAATGTTAAAGACAACTTTAACCAGCAGGTCAGCTGCTTTGTAGAGCATAATTTAGTCCTTAAATGTTGTTTACGCACAAAACTTAACTGAAAATAAAAACTTCTAAACTAAAAACAAAATCTAAGATATACGGGGATGTTTGAATACTTACATCATTTTTATTTATTTTTTTCATATTCATTTTACATTATTTATACCTTATTTTTTTATAACCCAGATTGTCCCAAATAGACTGTATGTCGACACAGGTGTCTAACAACAAGAAGGTTGGAGGTTCGAATCCCAGCTAAAGGCTTTCAGTGTGGGATTTCTCCAGGCACTCTGGTGTCCTCCCACAGGCAAAAACATGGAATTTTGTTTAATTAGAGATTTAAATTGTCCCTAGGTGTGAGTGTGTGAGTGGTTGTCCCTGTGATGTACTGGAGACCTGCCCAGGGTGTCCCCCATCCCTTGCCAGATATCTGCTAGAGAAAGAGACACCAGCTCCCAAAGACCCTACTGAGGATGAACTGGTTTAGACGGACGGACGGATGGATTACACCAAATAATATTTTTTTAAATGCCAAAATTTAGAACAATTGAAACATGGTTGGTTGTATTTTTCTTGGTAAGGAAGTTAAAGCATGAAGATAAAACTGACATAAGGATAAATATGTTTTATTCATGTAATCTTGTTCTTTTCTAGAACATGAGAAGATCCAACAGTATGCAGGTAAAAATATTCTGTTATGTTGTTGTCTCATAATTGTTTAATGAAGCAGTCTCTGTATGGGGTTACAAAATAAAAGAATGTTAAAATCCACTTTGATTAACTTGAAATTTTATGTAATGAGTTAAAAATAAATGCTCAAATGACATTTCCTAAAATAATTTTACTTCCAGAGTTTGTTTTCATTTCTGCCTCTTGAGCTGCAACTGTTGGAGACTAAAGATGGTCAGGAAAAGAAAGAAATGCTGATTTTCTGTCAAAATCCCACTAAATTGGCACTTTTCCTTCAATTAAAACTGCAAACAAACATATGATTTTTGAGGATATTAATCCGTTTGCAACTTATCTTTATTTATTTGTTGTCATGTCCGTCCCTTTTTTGCCTCCAGAATTTAGTTTCACCAGTTTCGAACCTCAGAAGGATGCTCCATTAGGCGATATCAGCTCCTTTACCGATATCCGATATAGTCCCAATTTCTTATATAAACTGACACCGTATGTGGGGGTCCTCCCCATAAAAGAACCTATATCATCTTAGGTAATTAATGTCACATCTGTCCTATATGCAGTGCTTTAACCTCCTGAGGCCTGCGTCCACAGATATAAACATTGGCCTCTTGCACTAGAATATTTTATTCTCTTCAACTTAAACCTTTTTGTATTATTTAGAAACATTTGATATTGAATTAAAGTTGAAAATATATTTTACTTCTGTTTTTCTAGGAAACCTGTCAATATTTTTAATTAATTTTATTTCACATCACACCAAATACAAGTTCAGGTTTCAAGAGGTTAAGTGGGCTGGTATACACCAATACTCTTTATGGACACTTTTAAATTTTACCTTTCAGCGTACCGGGACTCTTTTCTGGTGCATACCAGTAGTTCATCCAGCTATTTAACAGGTAAAGTCTTTGAAGTTACTGAATCTGTCCGTAAACAACGTCCCCCACCCCCACCCCCACCAACGCACACCCTGCAGTTAACGGACCATTTTCGATGTTGCATATATTGGTCGATAGTTTCAGACATTTCTAGTTTCACTACATTTATTTTTTTCTTTTTAAAATTCCCGCTATGCCACGTGACTCATGCTAGAAACTGTTCGGAAACTCCAACATTTGCAGCCCTGGGAGATAATGGTTTCAAATATTTTTGGTAAAAAAAAAAAAAAAAAACAGAGATTAAAACCTTTGCCAGTGCTAGGAATAGTGATTTAATTTACACGTGTTCCAGATTTAATTAGAGAAATAAGGAATAATGTAATTTTACATTACAGTTGACATTCGTCTGGACCCCAGGACTGCCAACCCCTGGCTTATCCTGTCAGAAGACGGGAAACAAGTCCAGGATGGAGAAGTTGAACAAAATGTAATGAATGCTCCTGAACGTTTCGACAAAGCTCCGTGTGTCCTTGCTCTGAAGGTAAGGATGTGTCCTTCATCTCCTCCCCTCTGATGTGTTTCTGTTGGTCATCCTGACTTGAAACCTTCTTCCTTTGCAGAGTGTCACCTCAGGCAGACACTACTGGGAGGTTTGTGTTGGAGACAAGACGGCGTGGGATTTAGGGGTAGCCCGAGAGTCCATCAACAGGAAGGGATTGGTGACCCTGAGTCCGGAGGACGGGTACTGGGCCATTTGTCTGAGGAGAGCCATGGAGTACCGAGCCTGTGCGGGTCAGGCGGAGCTGCTGTGTCTGTCTCAGAGGCCACAGGTCGTCGGGGTCTTTCTGGATTACGAGGACGGGATGGTGTCTTTTTACGACGCTGTCAACAAGTCGCACATCTTCTCCTTCACAGAGTTCCGGTTCACGGAAGCCATGTTTCCTTTTTTCAACCCAGAAATGAATGAGAATGGTAGCAACAAGTCACCGCTCACCATCCGCCCTGTTAGTGAGGTCTACAGGAGCGGGGACTTGGATGACATCACTATATGATGCAATAAGTGTGAATTCTGTGACTTTTTATTCATACTTCATTTTAATTTTCACAGTCAGGCGCACATTTTATTTGCTAAATGGAGAATAAAAATCTAAATCAAATGTTTATTGGTGTAATGTCCAGAAAGGGTCAATTTTGACCTGTATATTGACCTACATAGTGACCCCTCATCTACAGAACTAATTCCACTATCTAGGTGGATTTTCTATTCTATCTTCTAACACCCAGAAGATTCTGCAGTGCTTGTCGGCAGTCCATGGAGACAAGATTGTCAACCTAGGTCTCCAAACAAAGGCTGTCCTCTTATCTCAGACTGCTGGATTCCACACTGACTGAAAAGTGAACTTTTACAACTCATAAGTTAAATAATCATATGGGTGAATGAACAAGATGTTATATGAAATTATTGAATAATCTGTGCCTAATTCAGTGAAGTTGAAATAAATATTGTTCGTACAATGAGCCATTTATATCTCATGATCAGCACTGTTTGATTTAACAAGTTAATCATTATCTACACTCATACACAATGTTCATTAGATGCAAATTAAGGTTAAGGTCATCTCGCATAAAGTTTAAAGATTCTTTATTCACAGAACTAGAACAGCTTGTATCTGGAAGGTGTGGCTATCTGAGGGATGTTTGGTAAAGGTTCAAACATGTCAAATTCTGATTGGTAGAAATCCTAACAAGTGGATTGTTAAAACAAGAGTCACTTCCTGAGTTAGTCCGTTTCTAGCGGAACTCTGAAGTGGCCAATTCGGAACCAGCCTCCTCAACCCGTTGGCACACTGCCAGCTGACACAGCCACATGGCTACTTAAGAACCATTTTCCACTTTAAACTCATCTAAGCATTTTTGGATACCTTGACCTATATAAGATGTGTTTTGAATGTAATTATGACTGAGTTCAAATTATTAAAGCGTGCTTTGGTGCCTCCTAGTGGGTTTCTCATGACCTGCTTGAAAAACAGCACCTTCTGGTAAAAAAACTGGAAGTGACGTAGGAGGGAGAAGTCGTTCGCTTGGCTGTTCACACAGAGCTTTACCGGGAGATGTCGCCAGAATTGTTGGAAGAATTCGCCCACATTTCCTCTGTCTTTTCTTTAACTTTTGGGTGCTAACATTTTGTCTTTATTCACCAGACATGTCCTACTAATGATGGGAATTCCGGCTCTTTTTAGAGAGCCGCTTCTTTCGGCTCAGCTCACCAAAAAGAGCTGGCTCTTTCGGCTCCCATGTGGCTCCTCAGATTTTCTTTGCGTAAAGTATATTTATCACCAAAACTAATGCAAAACTATATGTAAAATGATTTACAAATGTAAAAAATGCAATATATCAAATATTTATCATTTATATCAATTTATTAACTGAATACTTTAAGAAATCTCGTCTTTCCTACTGCTGTTGCTCATTTTCTCATCGTCTTCGTCTCACTCTTCTCTCTCTCACTCGCCTTTTTCCTCCTCCTCAGTCCCTCTCGTCTCCCTCCGCCCACATGCGCTCTGCTGTGTGTCTGTCGAGTCTGATCCTCCCTCTTCCCTGCCCCTGCTGCTCTGTGTGTGGACAGTCTGGACACGCAGTTACACATGTTGACCAAAATCACACTTCCATATTACTACAATATATCAGAAGCAAATGTGTAGATGTAAAAGTAATAATCACCAGAGAAACTTCAAGTTTCCGAGCAGCAGTTCCTCGTGGAGTCTTGGATCTGCTGCGGCTCTACCCAGGAGTAGCCATTGTTGTGGACACCGTCTCACCTCCTTGTTGTCCCTACCACTGTCGACTGCCTCTGCTGTGTACTGACGGTACTGTGGTGGGCTTCAGCCTGACCTTATCCTTGCTTTTGAAACCCATCTTTTGCTCACTCAAATCACTTTCATTGTAGTCTATGGCGTCAGATGGGTGCCAAAACCCGTGCACGTGGAAAATGCGTGCACAGGTTTTGGCACCCATCTGACGCCATAGGAGTCATCCTCACGAAAATGCGCGCCACATAGTACGGAGCTAGCACACACAGTCAAACCCCACCCATGCTCGAAATACCGGGTTTGTTCTCAAAGAAAATTGATGAACTCGATGTCCAGACAGACAGGAGTTGGAACAACCTCCACAAACACAAACTTTTACCATTTTGACGGATTTCAATACTTTTGTGAGCTTTATGCTAATGCCGTGAGAATAGTAAGTCTCCGCTGTTTTGCCCCTCCTACGTCACGACGTCACATGACAGAAATTTTCTAGCTTTTTGTTGAAGCTGACTTTTTGCACAGTGTAAGGAGAAACTGGTTTAGCTCAGCCCTATTGTAGCGTTGTGGTTTTATGCTCTTTTATGAAAGAGGAACCATGCTACGTATTAATTCGGAATATTAATTTTTGATAAATCAATAACCAAATTTTATATTGCTAAGAAGACTCAAAGGTTGTTTTCATCGATAAACTGACGATAATATCTGTGTGTCTGTGTTTCAGTTCAATGAGGAAACCAGTTTGACAATTAAAAGTTTTAATTCTTCAAATTAAAGTAATGATTTTGAAATTGACAAACAGGAAATAACAATCAACATTGGCAACTTGTGGGACAATCTTTAACAGTTGATATGATCAAATAGACCTTGTGGTGAATTTATGAAGATTGAGAATGTTGTGATATGAATGCGTGTGTGAGTCTGATTTTGCTTCAGGAAGAAACAGGTGTCTGAGTGAAGTGATGGTTTGGATAAACTTAGGTCTTATCAGAGAACTGCATCAAACGCTAAACACCGTGCTCTGTCTCACCGAACTCTTGTGGACCCTCTTTCAGATCCGGGCCGTGGAGGATGGTGGTGGTTCATCCAGATGACACCAACGGCTGACAGGAGAGACGTAGGTGTCGAACGGAACCGGTCCAGAGTTGCCCTCGGTACACGTTGATGGTAAAGCGTTTTGTCGATGCGCTTTCTTAAGTTAATTCACTCAGAAATCAAAGACTCGGTAATGAGTCTGCGTTAGAATTTGCGATTCAGCTATTCTGTCTGGCTGACAGGAACAGCGTGAAAGGGGGGAAGAAACGAGCCAACCGGCTCTGCCCCCCTTTGGCTCTCAGGTCCTCTCTCTTTCGTAGTCAAACACGAACTGAAATCATAAGACTGAAACTTACCAAAAACCTTTCTCTTCTCAAAGCAAACGTGTGCGTCAGCAAATGTGTTTGGAGTTTACTGTGAGAATCTGTGTGTGGGTGTGTGTGCTTGAGTGTGTGTGAAGGTCAGTAACAAACATCCTCAAACATTATTTAAGAATGGCTTCATTAATCCATTATAATTACCCAAAGCATAAGAACCATTCATTTGATTAAACACATTTATAATGAGCAAAATGATAATGGTTATTCTAACATTAAAATCAAGAAACAAAGTTTTAAGACTTGTTATGACTACTTTTATGGGAACAACATCTTCTATGGGAACAACATCTTCTGGCAGGAAGCTGCAGGTGGCAGATGTTATGGTTTCCTCCCAGACTCGCTGGCGTTCAGGTCTTAATCTGTGGGTGAAAGTTCTCAGCGACCGAGCTTTGACCCAGCTGAGTCCAACACCACCTTTGTGACAGAAAACCCATATTTCCTCACGTTACAACAGCTAAAGACCAATTATAACATCTGAGAGTCATTCAAACACTGAAAAGTGTGATAAACTTTATTTTTTCACCAAATAGAAAGATGTTTATGATTTTAAAACAACTTAAAAGATGGATTTTAAGAGCACACCCGTTTTAGACACAATGAACCTTCCTGCCTGTTGTGACCTGGAGACAACTCGAGACCGGACTGGTCGCACTCACTGCGGTTATTCTACGAACTTCGGTGCCTTGAGGTCCACCCGACTTCCTGGCATTCCGGATCTGACCGGGGGTGTCCGATCAGGGTTTGTAGACACAACAGATTGCATTTGTTTTATTAATAAACTCACTAGTTTATAGCAGACAACAAATTCTTTTACACCCAAAATTCACAAGTTTTTTCAGATACTAAGGTTCTGACACACATCTACTTTACACCACACCACCTACAACTCACATCACCGCATATACAGTCAATCACATACCATTATTCATAGCTTGTCATGAATAATCATTAGTTTAGAAAAGAATAAAATTCCTTTTAACTATATACTTGAATCTGCCTGAATTAATACTAAGTGTGTTTATGGTCCCTGAACAAGCAAAAAATCCTAAGCTCTTCTGGTTAAACATTCAAAGATCAATCAGGTTGATATTTCATATTTATATGAAATCATCACATCTTATTGGTCATAATTAAATATGCAGTCATTACGCTATAAAAAGTGACGCTACATTGGTGTTTTTTTTATTCTGAAAACAGATAAAGTGTTCAAATCAAATGATTGAATTAAAGGTGCAGTAAGTAAGAACTGTACAGTGAAATAATCACAGTCTAATGTCTCAATCATTTAGGCATGAAGGTTACATTGAAACAAAATTCTTTCTCAGCTGGCTGGGCGGTTGTCAGTTTTTCTCATTTTAAAAGGGTTGATGAGGATTGTGGTCATTGTTTAAGTTTCTTCTCCAAACTTCCGGGTTCCAGAATCAATCATAATTGAGCCCATGGGGTTGCCAAGCCTGTGCCTGCAAACTCCGCTGCACCAGCATCTGTAACTCTACACCAGCCAGCCAAAAGCAGCAGTGTTACGGAAAGAGTGTTAGCCTGTAAAATGAAGGACCCAGAAGTTATTTCTTATACACTTAAAAAGCCACCGCCTCTTTTTGTTTTACTCTAATACCAGGTTAAGAAGGTGTAGTGGTTAAGAGGCTAACATTGAGCGACCAATGCTAATGGTGAATTAGAAGTAAATAGTCTCTAAAAATATCGCAAGCTACTTTTTCAATGACCAACAACTCAGTATTACATTGAAATGTACTTATGTACTCATTGGCTTACTGTGTATGACTCGTCATTGCGGACTTGTTTGTTTTGATACATGGACTCCAAATTTGACCACAGGATATCATTCTTACTTCATGCCCCTTTAAGAAATATTTAATAAATGACATTAAATGGGATTACACATGCAGATTGTCCATGTTTATTTCCACTTGTAATATAATTTTATCCCTTGAGATGCTAGAAGCTTTACACTGGTCTCAGATCTGCCTCACTCCCCATGCAGCTTACAAACAGAACTGACCACAGAGCACATCCTCACGTTAAACAACCTGCTGCTAGCTGATCAGATTAGCTCAGGATTAGCCTCGGGGCAGATGGAGCTCTGGGACAGACTTCATCTTCTCATTCTCAGGTCACACAAATATATTTGCTGCAGACAGAAATTTGTTTCCGGAGAGTAGACGTGAGTGTCCAGACCCATCTGATGAGAAATTCAGGATTTATTGAAGGACGAGGATTAAAACCTCGATTGTAGTTTTCTGGAGGCTGCTGCAGAGACACCTTCTTACCAGATGGTCCACAGACAAAGGTGAGTCATGTATATTAGTTAACTGGTCTGGTTTGATTCTCAAATTGGTAAATATCGTATTTGTTCATTGTTCTTTAGATATTACCACTTGTATTGTTTTTTTTTTTTTTTGCCAATCTTTAAATGTATTTTTGTTACAAATGATTGATGAGTCTTATTTTGTTCTTTTCATGTTTTTTGCAAAGTTTTTCTAATCATTTGAAATGACCAAGTTTTACCTGGAGTTCTCTAATTGGCCGAGGCCATAGCTGGGAGTTGTGATGTCTCCAGTGGTGGACGAGACAGCCGGGGACCTACCGGTCCGAGACGTGGGACTGATGAGAGGTGGGCTGATGCCAGCTGTCCCAGGTTTCTCTTCACTCATCAATCATATTTTATAAGTCAGCAAAACAGCATTTACATTTTTTTTTCCAATTTTTTTCCCTCTTTTTGTTATCATGAGACAAAAAAATGTTTGTTTAAAAGTTTGTTTAAAGCACTTTTTTAGAACTCACAAAGATCAGGTGCCTTCAGTAAGAACAAAGCTTAGTTTTAGCTCGCTAAAGTTTAGAAGGTGCATTTGCTTCTACCCCTAGATACGCTTCGTGATGTCAGACCATGGAAGAAGCATCATATCATGAAGACAAAAGGTGCAACCATTATTGTTGTAATTCAAGATTAAATCTACTAGATTTTCTATTTGAATCTCTGTTTGTGCTTCTGGTCCTCACAGACCCTCAGCGGTTGTTTCGATTTCCCAGGGAGCACCTGGAGGACCTGTGTCTCCGGCTGCAGGAGGAGAACAGCGTGCTCAGACAGCACACGCGCACACAGGAGCAGCGGCTCTGCAGGTAAACTAAAAGATGATGAGATCTTTATGAAAGGCTTCAGTAAGATTAGATCAAACAAGTCAACACAACTCTCTACAACTCCAAAAATACAGCTGATCATATATAAGTAGCAACAATAGACAACGAGCTATCACAACGAGAGCTTACAACACCTGGAGCCAAGTTGAGGGTACGAGGGCCATGACTAGTGTCTGTTGAACCAGGATGAAACCACAGCAGTCACCCCAGACTGCTGCTTAAATGGGTTCATTTTGCACGATTCATTCAGGTTTATATCGGTTGTTGCTGATGGTGCAGCGAGCAGCTGCCTACCCTGGAATGTTTTGGGGGAAAACAATTATTTTTTATAACTTTTCAATGTGATACTCTGTTTACATTTTTAAAAGATAGATTTTAAACAACATTAATTTTTTTCTTACATTTTTAAACTTAACTACTTTACTTTTTTGTAATTTGTTGGTAACTGTTTTTTTTTAACTTTTTATATTTTTATGTTTACTCTTTAAACATTTTACTTTAAAAAAAACTTTTACCGTTTTTTTCCAGTTATACAAAACTGTTTTAAAACTGTATGACTTATTTCTATTTACTTTTGTAGTTTTTAAAACTTTAACGACATTTTTATCTTCAGTTTACTTTTTAAAAAAGTCTTTTTTGAATGTTCTAAAAAAAATTCTGCAATTTTAAACTTTTTAAAACTTCTTGTTTACTTTTGCCTTTTAACATTTAATCTTATGTGCAACTTCTATTTGCTTTTTAAAAAATCTTTATAATTTCTGTATTCTTTGTTTTACTTTTTTAAAATTGTTTTTCATAAGTTTTATGTTGACACTGATAATCAAGATTAAAAGTGAGCTCAAATGATTAAATACAGTGACTTGTACCTCCAACGGTTAACAACGTTTTTTTTTATTTGAGACAAAAAATAATGTAAATTAGAAGAGAACATAAAACATGACATGGAGTAGTTCTTCATGTCAAGTGCCATAGGGATTTGGTTGTAACAGGAAAGCAAGTCTTTTGAGAGCTTCGCTGTGAAACAGACAGTGGAAGCAGCTTTACTCAGGGTTGAATTAAGGTGGAGACAAAGATGACGAGGTTGGATGGGCTGAGATGATGATCTGCTTATCCCTCTGTAAATCTCAGGGTCATGTGAGTCAGAGATGTGGGTTTATTTTTTTAATTTTCAGATTATAGATATATTAGGCCTTTACATCCCCCAAAACAGTTCTTCTTCATCATTTGTCTCTGTTAGGTTGATTGTTTACACTTTTGCAACACTTCACAATAACTGCAGATGACTAGTTCCCTAAGTGTAACCCTCTGCTTTACACCAGGATGTCCACACGTCTGATGCGTCTTCGTCAGGCCCGTCCCGGCTCTGCCACTGTCAAAGAGAGGGATTTGGAAGACACGCTCCAGGAGATGGAGGCCCGTGTGGCAATGCTGGAGAGTCAGAAAGAGGTGCTGCAGAATAAACTCAGCCTGGCCAAGCAGCACATCATGGACCTCGGGGCTCGAACGGCAAACAGATACAGCAAAGGTGAGTTTCAGGCAAAGATAGGAAAGAACTTCAACGTGTGGCCCTGTGGTCTCCCTCACTGTGTTTTCAGGTAGAACTCTGGATGGAGAGGGTGGAGTCAGGAGGGCGGCGCAGACTGCTCCACCACGATACTGTGTCACGCTGGAGGACACCAGGACAGAGATGGAGAAGCTGTAATATCCACCTTCTGTTGTGTAGTTACATTTAACTTTCCTAACAACCTCTGATCGTTGGACCTTGTCCTCCATCCATCAGGTCCAGTCTGACAGAGCAGGTCAGGATGACTGAACTGGAGCTGACGGCTCAGGCCCTCAGAGACACTCTACGGGAGAAAGAGAAGGAGATGGATGGAACATTTAGAGAGCTGAGGAAGCAGCAGACCGACAGACACAGGTAGCAAATCGACATCATGGCTCACAGTCTCATGGTAGACCATGAGTCTTACCCTGGCAAACATGTAGTCTGGCCACGACCCATAGACACTTTTGTACATTTGTTCTGTGTTTGACTTCGTAATCCATCACTTTGTTCTTTTTTTTTTTTTTTTTACACAATTTAGTAAAGAAATTTTTTTTTACCTGACATGTTTCGACTAAAGCCTCAAGTCATCATCAGATGTTGGTGTTGGTGGCGCCGCTTCTGTTTCTCGTGACTCTGGTGATAACTAGAGGCATTAGTTGAAACATGTCAGGTAAAAAAAACTATTTTTTACTAAACTTTGTAAAAAAAAAAAAAAAAAAGTAATGGATGACCCATAGACAAATCTCAGTTTTGGGGTGGAATCTACGGTTGTCTTTCAAATTGTCTCTGCAGGCCATTAGACAATGCTTGGGCCAATCAGAGCAAGAAAAAACCCATAGGGGGCGCTATGGAGCCGTGGACCAAGATGGCAGCATAAAGTGGCTGCTCCGTGTAACCTGCACTAAAGACTTAGAACAACCCAAAACTAGAAACTTAACTGTCATTGGAAAATGTCAAAAACGACTAATCTCAAGGACTGTGATATTTTCACCCGAAAACGTGGTTCCCAAAAACCAGTTAAAACCGATACTTTGGCAACGCCTGACGACGACGAGGGAGCTGCTAGCGTTAGTAGCATGAGTGAGCTTAGAACGGTGTTAGCTGAACTTCGCTCATTGCGCTCCGAGTTTAGTGTTTTCGGAACTAAACTGGACAGCATAGATAACCGTATGGGCGAAATGACGAAGTCAGTTGCTGCTTTGGAGAAAAACATGACGGAGGTAAAGCAAAATGTTGCTGCAAACGCTACACGACTGGAGGAAGCTGAAAACAGAATAATGTCGGCAGAGGAGCTCATGGGAAAGAGCGTGGCCGATCTCAGCAAGGCCATGAAACGGATATCCTACCTGGAGGCAAAGACCGATGACCTGGAGAACCGGGGCCGAAGGAAGAACCTGCGGCTATTTGGCCTCCGGGAGGGCGCCGAGGGTCAGCTACCACTGCTGGAGTTTATAAGGAAGATGTTACCGCGCTGGCTTGAGACCGACAGATCGTTCATTATTGAGAGGGCTCACCGTACTCTAGCACCTCCAAAGCCAAACCAACACAGAGCTGTCCTCGTCCGATTCCTGAACTTCCAAGATCGGGAGTTTGTTTTCCGCTTCACAAAACACAGTAACATCAAACACGATGGAAACGCACTCTTCTTTGCCGAGGATTTCTCAGCTGAGACCATCCGGCAGCGAACCGAGTTCAACGCGATCAGAAAGTTGTTCGCCGATAAAGGAATGTTCCGCGGGTTTCAATATAATCCATGCAAGATGAGGATCCTCCACGATGGGAAGATACACCTGTTTTCATCTCCAAAGGAGGCTAAGGATTTTCACTATAGACACACTGGACAGGACTAACTGTTATCTAGGATTCTTAATCACTTGTGGATGGTTTCCTTTGTTCTGTAAAGGTGGCAGTTACTTACATGTGAATCGGTGGTGTAGTGACAATTCCTTCAAAGATTCCAACATTTCATGTTCCAAAATGTTGCCTGTCTGTGTCTCCAGTCAACCTTTCTTCTTTAGAGGAGTTCTGCTCTCTGACGTGGAACACAACTCATCATCTGAAGACAAATCAAAACTCTCCTGCAAGAGAATGGATTCTTCCTCCCCCAACTGGATCACAAGAACCCATATTTTGCAGCAGAGCCAAAGCCTCGGCAGCAGTGTAGCCTTTAAGCATCTTTGTGTCGTGTTTATCAAGCCAAAGGTTCTTGTAGTAAACTGTCCTTCTTATTCCCAGGTTTATATTGTCATCACAGTTCACAATCCCGCCCACCGTCCAACACACCACACCCAAGTCTGTGTATGCGTATGACTTGATTTCCACGCCTGAAAAGTAGCTTTATCATAGGTGTTAGGAGCCATCTTTTCAAATGCAACTATAGCAAGTTCGTCTGCTAAAAGTCACCTATTCACATTTAGCTGAACAGTTTAAGTCGGCCTTGCAGTTTGCAGTTATCCTGCCTGTGAGGCTCTAATGGCAGGCCTCCGTTGTTGTTGGTTGGTTGTGATTTCTGACCAGAATACACTTCCTACTCTGTTTATGTAACCACACATAAAAGGCTTAACAGAAAATAATGGCAACAATGAAAACACACAACATAAGTACACCAACAAAACCATACATTACAGTTAGAAAAAGACTTGTACACCCCAAAGACAAGATATCAGCAGAACACAAATGTGGAGTCATATATATAAAATCCCACGCAAACTATGCAATAAAACATACATTGGTGATGCCGGACGGCAACTCAACACACAAAAAGGAAAGGAAGTGGTGCCACTAACAGTGGCAAAACTCTAAAGAAGGCTGCAGTGATTGTCGAAACATCAGTAAAAACAAGGTAAAAATAACACTTTTTCTGTGTTAAAGTAAGAGCCATAATGCAGTGCAAACATGAAGATTACTGAAAGTGAAAAGCTAGGAGAACATAAGGATAAACTAACAAAATGATAAAACTTAACACCAAGAAAAGGATCTTACAAAGTCAATCAAAGAGCAGAGGGGATAAACACAATTGAAAAAAAAACTGAGGAAAAAACTAGAACAGGAGAAGAGACTCTAAACAACAACAAAAAAACTAAGAAAAATGCAGTGCTCAAAGGCACAAAATGGAAGCTAAATAAAACATGAAAATAGAAAAATTACACAAAAAATAAGAAAGTGAAAACTGATGAGAAATTAAAACTGAAATAATCAGAGGCTAGGGCTGGGAATGGCTGGACTGACACTAACAAGGGTGTGTGTATGAAAGCTGAAAGATAATAAATAGAGGGACAGAAAACACAAAGATGCATAGGAAAAGGGGAGAGACATGGGAGACAGGACAGAGGACATGAACAATTCCACATTTTTCAGGATCCCATGCTAACCTTATTTATTTATTTTTCATTTTTATTCTTATTTTTTAAAATCTTTATTCTTCATTTTATCTTCAATTTTTTATTATATTTTTACCTCATTTATATTTTAATTGTTCTTTTGAAGCGACTCATGCTTTGTTTTTATTAAGCGCTACATAAAAAATCCTTTCTTGTCATTTGTGTGCTTCTGTGAAGTCTTTGGATGGACAAGTTCAGTTAACCAGATTCAAGACAGGAGAGGGACAAGTAGAGCCACTGGGCCAGCCTGAAAGACTGACAACCCCCAACACCCAAGCACATTCCATTGGCCATCATCTAGTTCAAGTTCAAGTTTATTCATATAGCGCCAAATCACGACAAGAGTCGTCTCAAGGCACTTCACATAATAAACATTCCAATTCAGATCAGTTCATTAAGCCAATCAGAAATAATGTTTCCTATATAAGGAACCCAGCAAATTGCATCAAGTCACTGAGTAGTGTCGGTGACTTTACAGCAAGCCTCATACTAAGCAAGCATAAAGCGACAGTGGAGAGGAAAACTCCCTTTTAACAGGAAGAAACCTCCAGAGAATCCTGGCTCTAGCCTGGCAAGCCAGACTAAATAAATGTATTATTTAGTCTGGCAACGCTCCATTGACGGCTCTCGGTTGTGGGGCGGGATCTACCGTTATCTTTCAAACAATCTCTGCATTCCACTGGACAATGAATGTGACATACTCTTGTTTCACTCTGTTGCATCATCCCACCCACCAGGCATATAGAGTGCCCTGATTGGCCCACAAAGCGGATAAAGCTCTGTGATTTGTTCACTAAGCAGATAGAGCACTATGATTGGCCCACCATTATGGACCAATTACAGCTCTTTATGTGTTTGAAACCCCCTCTAGAGAGCTGTGATTGGCTAGCCAGAGTCCTGGTAGGAGCTGCTGATGTTCCAATGGAGCATGCCTAGACCAAACTTTGCAAAGCCAGAATTTGGTCTAGTTCACTAGGCTATCCTGGCTCAGTATAAGCAGCCATCCTCCACGACTCACTGGGGATCGAGAAGACAGAGCAGACACACACACACACACACACACACACACACACACACACACAGAGACAAGTAATGTGTCTATAGGCCGATCTGCTGAGCAAATCTTTTGCTACTGCTAAGGTTTGGCTAGATGTTTCAGCTAGCCAACTCCCTGACTGACATAAAACATTTTTGTTCATCAGAACGACAATCAGAGAAAACGTGGACCTGATCCGTCTACAGAAGCAGCTGTCGGAGAAGAGTACAGCTCTGAGAGTCAGCCAAGAGAAGTTCGGCAGCCTGCAGGAGGTTTCTGGACAGTTTGTGTCTACACTTTTCACAGTTGTTTCACACCGTGTTTCATAAATGTTGTCTCTCTTTCTAGGCATATGAAAACCAGCTAGAGGAGGTAGATGTGCCTGAAGTTTAATGAACATTTGGTGTTGATTTAAATGATTTTGTGCTCAGAGGAACAATGTTTTGTTCACTTCAGACTCAGAGGTTGCTGAAGGAAAGCCAAGGAGCTCTGCTGGAGAAAGTGGAGGAGCTGACAGAACAATTAAAACACGAGAGACAGAAAGCTCTGGGACTGGAGGGACAACTCGCCACCATGACCCTGTCCGTTCAGACCCTGGAGAAGGTAACGCATCTCCAAACGTCTCATGATCAACTCCGAAAAAATAAGAAAAGACTTCAAAGCGCCGACTCTCTCTCCTGCAGCTCCAAGAGAGGATATCAGACCTGGAGGGAGAGAGGGACCTGATTAAGGAAAACTACGACTCTCTGCTGAAGAGGTGAGGGACCTCAACGAGACACATTCTGGCTAATCTGAACCAGACAGAAACAAAGAAAATGGAAAAGGGTCATAAATTGGGTGTTTCCGGAGGCGTAAACATGGTTTTATCTTTTTCAGTACTTTATCTGCCCAAAGCGACAATATATCCCAGGCTGAAAAACACAGCGAGGTGGAGCAGAGAGGAGAAAAACTGGTTGAAAACATGTCTAAGGTGGACATTCAGACACTGGAGGAGGCGCTGCAAGCAGAGAGGGAGGAAAGGAGGAAGCTGGAGCTGGAGAAGGAGAAACTGAAGCAGGAGAAGGAGACTTTGGAGAAGCAGAGAGTGCGAGAGGAAGGTTAGCAGTCTCAGATAATAATAAAGTTCGTTTTAATTCTGGGTTTTCATTTGTTTTATTACATTTAGAGTTGTCTGTGTTAATGAGAGAGAGACAGGAGCATCTGGAGCGTGAGGTTGTCCGCTACAGCGAGCAGGCCTCGGCTCTGCAGGACAGACTGGACTCCATTTCTAAGGTCAGAAAGGAACACAAAAAGTACCAATCCATCCTTTTTCACAGTTCTACCCCATTTTCTGACATGTTCACTCTCCATCCCAGGAGTTTGACATGAGCATTGAGGAGCTGAGTGAAACATTTCTGCAGATCAAGGTTTGTACCTCGCTGCGCTGCATTAATCTAAATCAGTGATCATAAAAACCTGATGCCACATAACCCCCTCCAACCATTAGACCTTCAGGATGCAGCAGGAGACAAGCGATGGCCTGCAGTTCCTTGTGACAGATTCAAAGGTGGAAGATCCAACCCATGAGCTGATAAACATCCAAGCGTCTTATGCTGAGACTGTCCTTGAGCTCCAGAAAACCAGGAACCTTCTGCTGCTGGAGCACAAAATCACCAGAGACCTGCAGGTACGCGCGTATTTTCTGTGAACTCAAGAGACTTCAGCTCATTTTCTTTCAAAATGTCAAAATAATGGTTTGTTTTTAATCTCAAAGGAAGAGTTGAACACCACCAACCAGAGAGTGGAAAGAGACAAGGAGGAGATCAGAAGGAGGATGGCAGACAAAGACAAACTTTTGTCAAAAAGAGCTCTTCAGATCAACACTTTACAAGGTTTGCTTACTTCTGTGTTAGCGGCCACATCACGGCAAAGCAGAATCCTTTGGGAAATGCAAAACCAGGTAGTGTGACTCAAAGATTCTCTAAATCTTAAGCCCAACTGAAAGAGTTGGCGTACAGCCCCAGGAACTACAAGAGAACCATACCGATCCAGTACACCTGGCCAGCTGGAGAGCAGGAGGTGGTCCAGTCCAGCGAGGATGACCTGTGTTTCTCTCAGCTGAAGGCTGGAGAGTCACTTTTGGAGATCCACCTGAAGGTACAAACCTAAATAAGTAACTCCAGTCACTTTGGCTGATGGCTTAAATGCTGTTTTTGCACCTCTAGGCAGCCATTTTCACCCCTACAGGCCTCCGCATCATGAACAGCGTCCATCCAGGAGCAGACAAAAACGAAGACATCGTGACCTTCTGCACTTACTGCCTGTTGGACTTTGAGTTGCACTCCACTCCTCTTGTGTCAGGAAGCCATCCGAACTATGGCTATACGTCCCGCTACGCTCTGACAGCTCGGGATCTGGGCAGGCTCGGAGGTCAGGGGTCAAGAGTGCGACTGGAGCTGCATCAGGCCTTAGGAGGGGTCCGTTTTGTCACGCACGGAAATGGACACATGTCACTCGTGGGTGCCATCGAGAGAACAGGGGAGCGGATTGGAGGAAGCGCCAGTATCACAGGTGAGGGCTGCTGGTGGAGTCCTTGTTGTTATAATCTTGGGTTTTCAGTCATCCGGGGAATGCTCTTAAAGTCAGACAAAGGTATCTGCAACTTTGTCTAGATTATCATAAAGGTCTCGTTCACGTGTGTTTTAACTAACTTGCTGTGGTCCCCAACATGAACGTGAGTTGTTTCCTGTGGAAATAAAATCTGGCACTCCTGTTTCAGGGGTTTGATCATTGACTGAGGAGCTGTGGGTGGAAAATGGCAGGAGGAAGAGTCCTACTGATTAATATTCATGATATGCAAACGTTTTGCCTCTGATTGGCAAACAGCAACACAACTATTCTGCTGCTTCTGTTAACAAAACTTCAAACCCTTTCTGTGGCTAACAATGGGGGTTAAAGAAAATGTTTGCGATCAGCATGCTTATGCTACACAGAGTGACTGGTCCGATTTAAAAAAGAGCAAATATTATGGGGTTTCTCTGTGAATCTGTCCTTTTAAGTCCTACAATGATGCCTGGAGCTACTGACAGACAGAGCCAACCTAATAAAGTACGGTGTCATCTGCATAAAGGTTTCTCAGTGAACTACCCTTTTAAGCTGTAATAAACAGGGCAGGCTCTACAATGTAAAACCTTGGTGCTTCATACATTTTGGATTGAATTAGAGAAAACTCTTCAAGATAAAGTACTGGCGCCTCATTTATCAAGCTTGCTTACACAAAAAATGGGGTCGGAAAACTGCGTAAGCAACTTTCCACGCAAACTTTGGGATTTATCAAAGAAAACTTAGCGGAAAAATGTGCGCAACTTTAAGTTGACTAAGGACCTTGTTTATGCACATTTTGGACAAAGAGAGCACCTGCCACGTGTATGCACACACACATGCGCGCACACACACACGCGTACACGCTCACACACATACAGCCTGAAGTGCAGAATACAGAATGCAGAATATCAGCCGGGGATTGAGACAGAATGTCATGCGCCTGTGACAGTGTGTGTCCTATCACTGTGACCCAATTGATCATGCGCCCTGGCTACTTGGACAAGGGAAATCTCTGTTTGGCTGACTGGTTAGTGTGCGTGACTTTCACCCGGGAGTCTGAGGATCGAATCCTGATTGGACCATCTTTTTTTTATATCCACCACAGATCTCTCTGAAGAATTCACAACATTGACGGCTTCAGCAACGCTGTGCCACTCTGTAGATTTTCTCTTATTTGTTTTGCAAAAGCACTTCCTTTCATTTCTCCACCTCACCCATAAGTACCTCAATTTCTGCTTCTGTGAAATAGCGCTTCCTTGATCTGCCTTGATCTACGGCCACCATAGTCATTGGCGGAGCGCTGCAACAGCCAGCTTATGTATGTGCATGAGGTCCACAAGGCACTTTGCATTGACTATTTATGGCAGTAAGTGGGTGCGGTGAGGGCAGGATGTGCCAAAACTGCAGCTGAGAAACATTCTCGTTAGTCTCCGATTCATGAAGCGGAGATTGCGTGCAGCTGTGCGTACTCCATGTTTGATAGATCACAAACCTACTTGGCGTGAGTACATTTTTTTGCTGAGCTTAAGTACGGTTTTAGTAAGGATTCTACGCAATGTTTGATAATGAGACCCTTGGTTGCCTCTCATGTGGTAATAAATGTCATTTTTGCCTTCTTTTTGTGTTTTATTTGATTTTCTCACAGGAAATGAGGGAGAAATTATTGGTGTTGTGGAATTCTGGGTATGCCTGTTCCCTCCTGCAGAACCCATCATTGGAGCTGAGAGAACAAACACTCAAAGGAGTCCTGTTCAGAGCTCACTTGGCTGGCAGGACACCGGCCGTGAGGTAAAACAGAACAAGTCCAGATAACATTCAAGCAGACATTTTTTGCAGTTCCTGTGATGATAAAAAAGAATGTAATGTATGTCAACATGATAGAACAAACAGCTACAGTCCAGCAAGTGGCTTGGTTTGTGGACTCCTTTCAGCAATCCAGTTTAGCTCACGATCACTAGAAAATATTTGTTTTTGAACCTGCAGCACCTTTGGTTTAACTTTCCAACAACAGCAGCTCGTCAGAACATTTTTAATTAGTTATAATGAAATGTATCAATAAAGAAAAGCAAAAATTAAGGATGTTCTGCATTATTTCTTCTATGAATGACTGGCTGAGTAACATAAATGAATAATGCAGATGTTCTGCCTGAAATAGTGGAACTGGAACAACAAGAGCTGCATTTTGCACCCGTGCAGTATAATTATCTGTGCACATCAGAACTTCCTCTTACTCGAATGCTCCAATTTTATACGTAAATGTTTGTAATGAGATCTAGGTCTATTTAAATGTTTCTGAGAGTGGAAAGCCCCACTAAGGAAACGGCCTGACTGTTGTGATGCAGCAAACTTCTGCATTAGCTTTTCTGATAAAACACAACATTAACGTAGACACCTAATCTAGGATGAGGGATGAGGTTTTGTGAGGGTTTAATTTCAACAAATGACAAAGATCTTAGCTAAAATTATAAACAACAAACACATTATGCCTTTTTTGTTTTTATAGGAAAAGTCTTTATGACAAAGCGTTACGGCCATTAGGGATGAATGAAAGGGGTAAAATTCTCAGAATGTCTTGGGTTAATGTCATGTTTATGTGAAAAATATTCTCTAAAGTTGGAAAGTACTAAATTTGCAGTAATAAAAGGTCAACAGTCATTTGAAGCTAGCTGTACACTTCTAAACATGACCAAGGTTTGCATTCATGAGATTATTGTTTCTCTCCAACAGGAGCTGTATGACTATGGTGGTGGAATCCCCAATGAACTGGTGGTGATGTTGGAGCGCTGCATTGGCCTGAACGCCCGCTGGCCTGGACTCCATCCTGATTCCTACTTGACGTACAGATTGTACGACCTGCCCCCTCACGTCTCACTAACCGTCCAGTGCACGTCTGATCCGGTATTCAACGACGTCACTAGTTACCCTCTGGCAGTAACGATGGATGTGCTGCACTACCTCAGGTTGTTCACAGTCCAAGGATGTGGGACAAAGTCCCTTATGTGGTTGGTACTAACACTTTGTAGTGCGTTCCCTCAGGTCCAGCAGTCTGTGGGTGTATGTCTTTGATGACAGTGATGACCAGACACCGCCAACCTACCTGGCCAAGACTCCAATCCCACTGCGAGCTTTGGCTTCAGGCAGAGAGATCAGAGGTGAGGCTGGGAACTGAAAGTCCATACAAGTGCTCTCCATTTAAATTAAGAATGATGGTAGGAACCTTTATGCAGATGACACCATCATTTATTCAGTTGGGCCTGCCTTGCAGCAGCTCCTGGCATCATTGTAGGACTTAAAGTTGGTGTTTATTGGTGAAGTCCAACCCTCACCAGGAAAAGGTCAAATTTACTGCCAGCTACCTCAATCAGACCCGCTCTCCTATACAAAGGACCAATGACCTCATGCTCTCTGAGCGCCACCCAAATGGTGCCTCAGAGAAAACAGTTATCTGCATCATTTGTGTACAAAGCCTCACAGGGTCAACTCCACTAATTACATGAAACTTTAACATCTTCAAAGTTCTTTCTTTCTGATCTTGGTTCATCAGTATTTTTGTATTTTACTACTTGGTCAATTTCCCTTTTTTTCTTAAATTTATCGATCGTACCTTCGTAACGGTAAGCCATCTTGACCGGGTCGAGCTACTCGATTTTCTTCTGTCCCGTCAGGTGATTACGTACTGAGAGATCCAGCTGGTGGACCTCGAGGGATGGTCAGAGTCACGTTGAAATGGAAGTACCCCTTTCAGCCTCCCATGGATGTATTACAGGGGAGGGATGTGGAAGACAGGGCGATGAATTCCACACAACGGGAGGAGAGAAGAGAGGAAGTTTTGCAGAGGCCCACAGCAAAGCCCAGAGTGAAGGTAAAGTTAATTCACTCAGTCGGGTTAAAAACACTTTTACTCAGTTAGTGTGTGGAGGGACTCCTCTGTTCATTCAAATCTACTTCCTGTTTCATGGCTCTACAGACTGAGCCCAGAGAAGCCAAAGCTGTGCAGAAAGAGACAAAAGCTTGGGTACGGTTTCCAGCTGGTTTGCATCTGAAAAAGACTTTTCAATGTACAGCTTTTTTATCTGTGCATTTGTCTTTTTTTCAGCCTCAGTCTCCAACTATCAAACACAAAAGCTCACAGGATGTTAGATCAGATCAAATCACCACTGTGAAACCGCGACACTGTTATCCATCAGTGGAGAGGAGGAAATCCACCAGGACGTTGACCGAAAGGTCTCAGAAAACACCTCACCTGACCCCTGAGTCGACACTGCGCTCTCACAGGTAGGTGCTTTCATGTTGTGGGTTTTGTGTACAAAGTCCAGTAAAGTAGGATTTAAATTGGCAAGAAAAAGAATCTGAGAAGAAATTTTTCTCCTAAAACATCAAAGTCGACAAAACATTATTGGTGAAAACGTCCTTAAAATGTCTAAATTTCATCTCACAAACACACACACACACACAATCACTCACTCAACGCTTTCTTCTATTGAAGGTCTTCAGTGAGGTCCTTTCCCAGACAGTCTGTCACCACAGCATCAAGGGGATGTTCTGTCAGTGATGCAGGAAATCAGGTCAGCTCACTCTTTTTCATCAAATGCATGAAGTGAAATCCCTTTTCAGCCTAAGACAAGGCTCAGGAAAGGTAATCAGTGTACTTTAGTATTGTGAACCTAAAGATCCATGGGCTCAAATGTCTTATTTCCCAGGACCTTCCCTCTGTGGATCAGGTGTCTGTTTTTGAAGCAGCAGAGGAGGGAGAGGAGAGGAGTGAGAGTGGTAATTGTTCTCACACATTTAAACTTTTTCCTTCAGTTCATTTGTGTAAATGTGGCATATTACGTATCGACGAGGGAAGTTTAATATTAGAAACAAATGCCAGTTTGGGAATTTCATCCAGGGAATAAGTTTGAGATTACCCTAAGGTAGGTCCATTCTTGCCCAAGAGGTTGAGAGTCATAGTTCAGAGTGTTAACCCTCTCAGGCTCAAATTAAGTTTTGATAAAAGGACTAACAACTAAGCCCTTCAGGGATACTTCTGAGTTAAAAAATGCTCATGAAATACGTACGTGGAGTAACCAGGTAGGTAGGTTTTAACATTGCAAATCTGCAACGCCTGCCTCCAGAGGGTTAAAGGGATAATCCATTGCAACATAAAAATCTGAGTTAAAATGATTGCATTAAATCAGTTTGAGACTGATCTGTAAAAACCTAGAGCTGAGGCTTACCAGTGGAGCAGGGCCCACCACAGGCCAGTGGCAACCCGACCCACCACCATATCATGTGTTGTGGACACACACACATACACACACACACACACACACAGCAAATCAAAAGAACACAAAAAAACTGGAGATGCCACCACCCGCCGCCTACACTAGGAACCTCCACTGTAATAAAACAAAGAAATAAGTTAAAAATCAGGGGTCTCATTTATCAAACATTGCGTAGAATCCTTACTAAAACCGTACTTAAGCTCAGCAACAAAACAATATGTACTTACACAAGTAGGTTTGTGATCTATCAAACATGGAGTACGCACAGCTGCACGCAATCTCCGCTTCAAAAATCGGAGACTAACGAGAAAGTTTCTCAGCTGTTTTTAGTCACATCCCGCCCTCACCACGCCCACTTACTGCCATAAATAGTCAATGCAAAGTGCCTTGTGGATCCCATGCATTTACATAAGCCGGCTGTTGCAGCGCTCCACCAATGACATGGCGACCGTAGATCAAGGCAGATCAAGGAAGCGCAATTTTACAGAAGCAGAAGTTGAGGTACTTATGGGTGAGGTGGAGAAATGAAAGGAAGTACTTTTGCAAAACAAATAAGAGAAAATCCACGGAGTGGCACAGCGTTGCTGAAGCCGTCAATGTTGTGAGTTATTCAGAGAGATCTGTGGCGGATAAAAAACAATGGTTCAATCAGGATTCGATCCCCAGACTCCCGGGTGAAAGTCACACGTGCTAACCAGTCACCCAAATTGAAATCTTCCTTGTCCAAGTAGACAGGGCGCATGATCAATCGGGTCACAGTGACAGGACACACACACACACTGTCACAGACGCATGACATTCTGCCTCAATCTGTCCCCCTGCTGATATTCTGCATTCCGTATTCTGCACTTCAGGCTGTGTGTGTGTGAGCGCGTACGTGTGTGTGTGAGTGTGTGTGTGAGTGAGCGAGTGTGTGTGTGCGCACGCATGTGTGTGGGGTCTTGTTCTGTGTGAAAATGAAGCAGTACAAGTGATAATGCTGCAGGATTTAACAATTTTATCCTTCTCAGCAGCAGCACTGCAGGTGCTCTCCATGTCCAAAATGTGCGTAAGCCAGGTCTAAATCCCAAAGTTTGCATGGAAAGTTGCTTACACAGTTTTCCGACCCCGTTTTGTGCGTAAGCAAGCTTGATAAATGAGGCCCCAGAAGAATAATTAAAAGTTTGATGTGACAATTTCCCACCCTGACAATCCAGCACGTTTTAGTGGTTTCTCCACTCCATCACCCTAGATTCAATGGCTGAGTCACCTGCACAGCAGCTCATCAGGCTCTGCAGAAGCCTGTCAATCACCTGGGGCCTCATTTATCAAGGTGCTTATGTGGAGAGCACCTGCAGTGATGCTGCTGAGAAGGATAAAATTATGAAATCCTGCAGCATTATCACTTGTACTGCTTCATACACACACAGAACAAGAACCCCCCACACGCACACATGTGCACGCACACACACCCACATGCGCGCACACTCACACACACACACACACACACAGCCTGAAGCGCAGAATACGGAAGGCAGAATATCAGCAGGGTGACAGATTGGGACAGAATGTCATGCATCTGTGACAGTGTGTCCTGTCACTGTGACCCGATTGATGATGCACCCTGGTTACTTGGACAAGGAAGATTTTCGTCTGGCTGATTGGTTAGCACATGTGACTATCACCCTGGGAGTCTGGGGATCGAATCCTGACTGGTTCGTTTTTTATATCCGCCACAGATCTCTCTGAAGAACTCAGCATTGACGGCTTAAAAAAATGATTAAAAAAAAGAAAAGAAAGAGAATTCTTACTTCCTTGCTTGAAAAGCACATCAGCTTGGATTATACAGTGAAATAACGCCAGTGGCGGTTTTACCATTAGGCATAGATCGGTGGCCGCCTGGGGCCCCTTTTGTTGGGGGGCCGCCTAGTCTTGACCACCGGCACCCCTCTGTTAATGCCTCAATGGACTATTCCTTTAAGATGCCGATGCACAAACAGGAAGTAATAGGTAGTCATTCCACTCCAATCCAGTTGGTGACAGTAATGCACAAAATTGTTGTTTGCCAAGTGCCATAAGATCACAAATAAGAATAAGAAGAGAAAGCAGAAGAAAAAGAGGTGGGAGCGTTCGTAACAAACTTGAAGCAGTAGTCAAAACATTAAGCATGAAATGGAGTTATCCTAATGGCTCCAATAAGAGAAAGAAGCAGGTAGCTTTAAAAAAGCTTTTATCTTCACTTCCAAAAGTGACATCGCTTTTCAATGTAAACATCAAAAGGAAGCAGAAAGGAAAGGTAATAGAAACTGTTTAAAAGGAGGAAAACGTAGACCAAAGTGGAAAATAGAAAAAATAAAGGCAAAAGCATAGGAGCACTGACTGGAAGAAGAAAGCAGAGCAAACATTAAAGGCACTCAAAGGGAAAGAAAGACAGGAAAAAAGCGGAGGACTAATAAAAAGTGAAAATAACTCATGCCAGAAGAGGGTAGAGTTTCGCAAATTCAGTTAAAGATAAGATTGTCGAAATTTTTGTGTAAGGGGGCCCCATATCTGTGTTCGCCTTGGGCTCCCAAATTGCTAAATCTGCCACTGGAGAGTTGGCAGCCCTGAATTCATAACCTTCTTTTAGAGCCACCTTTAAAAGATTTGGACAATATTTTTCACTTTTATATGATTCACTTTTTCTGTTGTTTTTCTACGTTTCTTCAGGGGCCAGTGAAGCCTCTAGATCTTTGGGATCCAGTTCCTCACAGAGTGACATTGTAATCGTACCTCGCAAAATGAAAAAGGTACAAACGTATTTGTTATTTTTCACTGGACGAAAATGTTTTAGATGCAAGGCTAATAATCTAAATGCTATAAATGTCACTAACGTTTCAGCGAGACAAGCTAAGAGTTGAGATTTTGTCCCTGACTTTTGAACCGTCCTCCCATGTGGCACTGGACAAGTCGGTTCAACGTGTATATGTGGAATATCGGCTGCTTGGCGTTCCATTGGAAACGACCGAGACACCCATGTCCCTCCGTAAGCCAGTGGCGGGAGAGGAGATTCATTACAACTTCACACGAGGTGTGAACAGGGTCATTGTGTCTATATAAAGCCTTTTTAAAGATCCTACCTACTCTAACTGTTTGTTTCTCCCAGTGATTTATGTGGACAGCTCCCAGTCCGCTCCACTCAGACACTATCTCTACACCATGTTGGAGGGCATGGACCCTAACCAGGGCAGGTAACGTCATGCTAATCCATTTATCTCACAACTTTAAGGAATATGTTTTTATTGTTTGGTTAATACTTTATTCTGTGTCTGTGTGTTGGTGTGTGTCATAAAAGGTTAAAGTTCACAGTGGTCAGTGAGCCGATGGACGACGATGAAGAGTGCGTGGAAGTAGGACATGCTTTCCTGGACCTGCAGGAGCTGCTGCTCACAGGAAATGATGTCATCGAACAACAAATTGATAGTTGGTGCTTTTGTGTGATTATGTGGGCCAAAAGTTATGAAATCAGTTGTTTGAATTAAACGTAAAAGCATGTGTTAAAGGAGAGTTTGTAAAAATGCTAGCAAAGTTAAATGTTTTAGTATTGAGCACATGTTGATATTTTTCTATGACTGTTTTTTCTAGTTGTGAGTGTGGATGAAGACAAGGAGGTGATCGGGACTCTGAAAGTGTCGCTAGAGGCAGCAAAAGTCCTGACTGGGATATACCAGGAGTTTCACCAGAAAGACAATGGTAAAACTGAAGATGAGGAGGAAGAAAAGAAAAAGAAAACTGATCAGATACAAGTGCTAGATTATGAAGAAGACGGTGACTTTTAATGAATGTAAGAACACAATCCTTCTGTAGTTCTGTAAACTGTCAGAAAAACAATAAAAATATAAAACTAAATGTTTTATTATTCTCAAGATCTGGGCTTTCATTATCATACTTTATCCTAAATTGCTCTACATAAAAATTATTTATTGGTTTATATATTGGGGAAATGAAGGTCATCGAGTCCGATTGGCCCTGTTCCGTGCCACCATTGTTGAGGCGGCCGACCGGCTGCAGCTGCAGGGTCGTTTTTTTGTTGTTGTGGTTTTTGTCCTGGCCGTGGAACACTGGACCAGCTCTATACCCTTAGGAGGGTCCTGGAGGGTGCGTGGGAGTTTGCCCAACTACATGTGTTTTGTGGATTTGGAGAAGGTGTTCAACAGCATCCCTTGGAAGTGATGTGGAGGATGCTTCAGGAGTATGGGGTACTAGGCCCTCTGTATAGGCTGTTGGATCCCTGTACAACCTGTGCCCAAGCTTGGTTCGCATTGCCGGCAGTAAGTCGGGCTCGTTTCCAGTGAGAGTTGGGCTCTGCCATGGCTGCCCTTTGTCGCTGATTCTGTTCATAACTTTAAGGGGGAGAAGCTCTGTCATCCGGGAGGGGCTCGGAGTAGACCCGCTGCTCCTCCACATCGAGAAGAGCCAGTTGAGTTGGCTCAGGCATCTAATTAGGATGCTTCTGGACACCTCCCTGATGAAGTTTTCCGGGCATGTCCAACCGGGAGGAGACCTAAAGGAAGATCCAGGACATGCTGGAGGGACTATGTCTCTCGGCTGGACAGGGAATGCCTTACGATTCCCCTGGAAGAGCTGGCTCAAGTGGCTGGGGAGAGTGAGGTCCGGGTCTCTCGGCTTAGGCTGCTGCCCCTGTGACCCGACCCCGGATAAGCGGAAGAAAATGAATGGATGGATTTTTAAACCAAAATAAATAAATAAATTCGTAAAATAATTTAAAAGTTTGGTCCATTTCAAGTTACACCCTTAGATTTTACAAAGTTGGGAAACTGCTTTAAAAACTGAACACAATGATTTGCTAATACTTGAAATCCAGACACTAAATACATTTAATATTTAAACATCAGTGAAAGTGAATTATTTATTCATAAAGTCTTTGGTTTTGATATTTATTTCATTACTAAAATTAATTGGATAAAGTGAAAATGTCATTTTAGCAGGATTAGAAGCTGGATTTAATCAAAATATATTAGGATTATTCATTATAGATTTTGGATTTGATATAAATGGTTTTAGGTTATATTGCTATAATTGCATGTTTATATCATTTTTCTATAAACTAATATTACAATTCTAATAACAAAATAGGTAAACATGTATGCATTATTAAAATTATTGCTGTATTATTGTAGATGAAATAATGTATAAACACAAATGGAATACAAAATTAAAACAAGTTAATCAATTGCAGTTGATTAGAATAAATCCTGTTACATTTCTGAATAAACAAAAACATACTGAACAGTCAGTGTAACCATAGATATCATATATATTATGATATGTATTAGCATGACTTCCTGTGTGACAGTAAACACTGCCCCCTGTTCACTTATTTGCACCCTGACGAATATTAAATACATTTCTAAATACTAGACAACAACTAGTTAGTAGAAAGACTAGAACGGTGGTAACTACAAACGTCAGAAGTACTTTTTCCACCCTTCAACTCTGCCGCTAAAGAAGCATTCAGGATCCCTACCTACTTGTGTATTTTACAGCTTCAGCATGCATTATCCGTTCAATGTGAATTTTTTTTTATCATTTTTGTTACATGAGATGTTTAACTATTGAAAAAACAACTTTATAATAAGAACATTGAAACAGAAAGCCGGTAAAACACATTTAATGAGAATTCTGCTCATTTTGAAGCGGCCTCGGTTCGGAAAAACACGTTTTCTGGCGGTCCTTGAACGTCTCAATAATTAACGCCACCCGCGTCTTTTGAACTAACTTGTGAGTCCGTTGTGCTAAACTAATGAGCAAACGGTCAGCAGAGTTTATTCCAACTTTCCTTGGTGAAAGGATGTGAAAAGGAACCAGTTGAAGAGCAGTTTTTGATTTTTGCTCTTGAACAACTTTGCCTCTCCGTCAATAACGTTAGCCGAATAAGCTAGCTGTATGTTTGAAAATTTGCCGTTTTGCGCTAAACAAAAGAAAATGGTGAGTTTTTTTCCACATTATGTTTATAAAAGCCAACGTAAATTTTCATAATTTTAATCGATTCCGTGTCATTACTGCTTGTGTTAGTGTAATAAAAGTTTCTTTGGCGATTTGTTTTCTTGTTTTGATGCTAACCTATTTTTTTTTAAACGAGTTGAATCATATTGATGGTTAAACTACAAATGTTACCTAAATATTCATCGTGTTTTAAAAAAAAAAAGGTACAGAAAGACACCGTGAGCCACCAGCAGGCCACCCAGCTGCTTCATAACAAGTATGTGGTGGTGGTGGGCGACTCCAGTAAGTACTAGCTGATTTCTAATGGATTCATTTGAGGTCAAACCTGTTTTTGTTCGCTGACCATTGGAGCGTTTGTGTTTCCTCCATAGTTCAGCGGTCTGTTTACAAGGACCTGGTTTTGTTGCTGCAAATGGACAGATACCTCAGCGCAAGTCAGTTGAGAAGCAAGGTATGCACTCAATCAGCTGCACAGGGAGCCTAATGGGCCATTCCCATCTGTACCGGGTCGGCCCAGGCCGGGTAGCCCCAGTCGGCCTCAGCCTGGCCCGGTTGATTCCACACATCCTTGTCTTAAGCCCATGTGGGCTGATTCTACCCACCAATCAGAGGCTTGCTCTAATGGAAGGTGTGAATTTGCTGTCAGCAGTGGGCGTGTTGGCCCTGGTCGACCTGAAGCAGACCCCCTCGAGAAGAGGGCTGAGAATGAGCCTTGATTGGCCCGGAAAAATACCAGACCACCCAGATATGTAAACAACCTACGCTACCCGGCCCGGGCCGACCCGGTACAGATGGGAATGGCCCATAACTTCCGCACCGCTCCGGAAGAACGAAAAAATGATTGCAAGTCAATGGGGCTAAAAACGCTATTTTCTAATCCGCTTTACTTTACACCCTGGATTGCACATATGTTGTACTGCAATTTAAATTAAAAGTAATGATGTTTTGACTACGCCAGTCACGTACTTTGAGATTTATTATCCCTCAGACTTCTCTGTCTGATTCGATGACGTCACTTTCGTGAAGCGCATTTGTAGTCCTGGACTTATTTTCACACAAAACCTGAAATATCGTTTCCCTCGTTCGAAAATAAGCACGTTCTTGGTATCAGAATGCGTCTTTAAAATTCACGGACATCATATGTGAAACCATTGACACAAAACGAGTGAAGTTGGAAAGTATCGTTTTTAGCGCCATTGACTTGCATTCTTTTTCTCTTTTTTTTTTTTTTTCGTTTTTCCGGGGACCCATGATGCGGAAGGCTCCCCATTGAAGGTAATAAATACCAACTTTATTTATAAAGCCCTTTAAAACAGCTGCGTGACCAAAGTGCAGAACATCTACATCATAAGATCTAACAGTAAATCAAACAGCCCAGTATTAACTGAATCATAATTCTAGATAGAAATAAATATTTTAATGTGTAAACAAATAAAAACAACCATCTAAATAGGCCAAGGGTTAGAGATATCCCGCAAGATTTTGTTTGTAATTCAGTTAAAATCCTCATTCAATTACAATTCTGGCACCAAGCAGAGTTCTGTCTGGTGTGAACCTACTCCTACAGGGAGAGATGAGCTTCGAGCAGGACAGACTGGTGGAAGGCGGTTGTCTGAATGTCATGACCAATGGGACGGAGTACAAAGAGGTCCGGGAGTTTCGATCCGATCACCACATGGTCCGCTTCTACTTTGTGACCCGTGTCTTCTCCTGGTACATGCAAAGCATCATGGAGGACTTCCGTCGGGGCTTGAAGCCAGATGTCATCATCATCAACTCTTGTGTCTGGGATATTTCCAGGTGGGTTAGACACACAGATGGCAAAGGTTAACTGAACCTTTTGTTGGACGTGAAAAGGTTATTTTTAGTCGTTACGGAGCCATCAAAGGGTCCATTAGGTGGTTTGTAACGTCATGTAAGCACTTTAACCACCATGTCGGTAGATAAGCTCCAGTGGAGGAGCACATCAGACAATACACATACAGACACATCAAATAAATAACTAATAAAATAATCAAATCATGAAATATTTGGTGTTTTAATTAATCTTAATAAAATTGGGGAATTGTTTATTTTGTTACTATGGTAACCATTCATCACTGTGACACCCACTTCTTTGAGCTAAATAAAGATGCAGTAATTGTGGGTTTATAGGGACTTTTATGTCCTAAAGAGAAAATGTGTAGTTTTTAGCACCATCCATTAGTTTTTTTAACCTGCTTTTCCACTCAGGGGGGCTGGTGCCTTTTTCCAGCTGTCACCGAGCAAACAGGCAGTGTGCACCCTGGACAGGTTGCCAGTCCATTGCAGGGGATTTTAACTGTTAATCTCTGGAAATTTCCATCAAAATGTTGTGGTAAATGAATTAAATAATGGCCAGTTTTTCAAAAACATTGGCGGCTTTGTAACATATAACCATAAAAATGCATGGGAGCGGGTCTAAGGCTACATTCACACAGCAGGCCTTGATACTCCGTTCTGATTTTTTTTGAGTAAATCCAATTTTTTTGTGTGTGGCTGTTATCATGACTGAAATACGACATCAAACTATCTCCCGTGTGAACGTTTCACGGCCCCAAAGCAACCCGCATGCGCAGAAGAGAAGTCACACTCAGTGGAGTCAGAACCTGGAGAGGCGAAGGTGTGAGGTGAAAGGCTTCACTGACAGTTCAACCTCAGGTTCAGGATCACACCTGTCAAGTATTCGTTTTGCGCTAGAAACCGCTTTAAAAACTGTAAACTACCCCTCCCGTTCAGAGACTTCGACCGGTGAGACACTTCGCTCCAGCAGCTCCTCCCGCTCTCGTTCTCCTGTATTTTTAATTCCTAAAATAACCGATGTCCAGACAGACTCCTGAATCCTTCTGTCAGCGCTTCTCACCAGAAACGTCAACACACGACGCTCACCTCCGCTGACTCTGATGTAGGAGACGGATTTAATGTGAAATTACCTTTCCGACTCCATTCGCTTTCAGAAACATCAGACATGATCAGCACCACATATGCAAGTGGCACGGATGATTTGGAAAAATGGAATCTGTCGTGTTCAGACTGTCATAAAAACATCAGATATAGGTCACATGTGGGGGGAAAAATGGATTTGATGCACTTTTGCCTGCAGTGTGAACATAGCTTCTGGGCGACTTCATACTAGACACCATGCTTCCTTCTACTGGAGCCCGTGAGGCCAAAACGCATTTACTGATTTCTAACAAGCAATTATAAACCTTTAACCATTCATAAACGCTTTACTCATTTACCTCTTCACTCATTGCAGTGATAAAAGGGAGTCTGATGTGCTTGTCATTTTTCTAGTTTGAAAATTGTGCTCCCAGGATTTTTGACCCTAATTGCCATCCGTTGGTAAAGTCTTTCTCGAACACAAAAATACTGCTTACTTGCAATGATTTGGGTATGTACTGCATGCTATCACCAGGAAAAATACACATCATCACCTGGTGAAATTCACTCTTTACAGAAAATAATAAAATTACAGGTAAACATACAAAGGCAGTAAACTATGATTGTGACCTTCAACCACTATCAAAATATCAATAAATTACCTTGTTATGAAAAACCTGATGTGAGTCTTTTTCCTCACATGCACATGGTTCAGTAACCTTGTTTCTCTCCCCCCTCCATTCTCAGCTGACTCGAGCTTCTTCACTCATTAACTTTGGAGTTGCAGCACTTTTCCACATTCTGGGCCGTCAAAACCAGGAAATGAATAAATACTGCAAATGAGTCCTCTTGTCCATGGGCTGGTATACGTAGTAGTGAGAGAAAACGGCTTGTTTTTGTTTAAAATTTAATGTGATTAATCCCAAGTAGGATGGAAATCCAAACTTAGAATGAATCGCTTCCTGTTCCTGATTAACACCAAGTTGTGTGTGTTCAGATATAATTCTGCTTGGATTGACAACTACAAAGAGAACCTGCATAAGCTGTTTAAGGAGCTGAAGGAACTGCTGCCAGAGGAATCACTGGTCATATGGAACCTCACCATGCCGCTAGCAGAGCGCATCAAAGGTGGCTTTCTGGTACCAGAGGTAAGTTAACCATATCTAGAAACCGCATCGGTGTGTTTAAATGTAATGTGTGTCATTCCCATCCTCCCAGGTCCAACACAAAGCCCCACAGCTACGTTACGATGTGATTGAAGCCAACTTCTTCAGCGGGACTCTGGCTGACTCCTACGACATGGATGTGCTGGACCTTCACTACCGGTTCCGCTTCGCCCTACATCATCGTACGAAGGATGGAGTCCACTGGAACGCCATAGCGCACCGTAGGATCACCGCACTCCTGCTGCAGCACATGGCACAGGCCTGGGGAGTGATCCTGGACTGTCCACAGGCCACTGAGGGTGAGGAGGAATGTCTGCTGCTGCCGTTGTTGAACTAAATCATGTTTCATTTGACGTGTTCTTCACAGAACAAACTGGAGGTTCCCAGAAGCAGGACCACACCTTGGCTTCAAAACCCGCAGGTACACACTACTACGCTCTAAGGGTTGTGCATACTGAGCAAAAGTATGATTTAAAAACTAGTTTAGTGACCTATTAATTTGATTTAATTGGCATCTTTTAAGGAACACTTACAATCTAAAATAAAAGGCTACATTTTTACTTGACTGAGATTTTAACTCCAGTTGCACCTGTTAAACGTCAGCTGATTCATCCTCCATGACTTTATTTAAATGGTTTTGTGTCAAGGTAAAGACTTTAAAAATAAGGTCCCATTCATTCTGTTATATTTTTATTTGTAGGAGATATTTCAGCAGGTGTTTAGACTTCACACGATACAGAAGTCCTGTTTTTGACAACGAAGTAAAGCCCAGCAGTTCAGAGTCGGCCTGACCTGCCATACTCGTCCTGTTTAATTCTTCACAGAGAAGTTCCCGTACGGAAGCATGGGGCGGGCTGGTCAGGCTAGTTCAGAGAATGACAAGTAGCTGTTTTTAAAGAGAGCCCCCTGCTGGCCACACCACATCAGTGCAATAATAATGCAGGGTTGATGAGACATTAATGCTAATTTTTTTCATCACAAGAAAATCTCGTGTTTATTCAGTGTAGTTTGGTAAGTCGGATGAGACTTCCTCATCAGAGGATCTTTGACATCTTTATTTCCTCTGGTCTCTGTTCCCTCTCATGTGCTCCCACAGCTACAGGAAGTCACACTGGCTCCGGGGATATTTTCCTAGATGATTCTCTGCCTCATGGCTACTTGAGCTTTGAGGACAAAGAAGCACAAGTCCAACCACAGCCTGTACCGCCACCTCGCAGACGTCGCCGTAAACAAAAAGTGTCTAGAAACTGTAAGAGAGCATCAGCAGATTCGCCTTCCTCGGTGTTTGAGCGCGTTTAAAAACGGTGCAAATGTAACGTGACTTACTCTGTTACACTCAGATACAGACTACCAGCAGCAGCAGTATTTGGAGCCTTACGGAGACTACCAGCACTACCAGCAGCAGCATGACTTTGTGATGAGGAGCCGCTACGCCAGACACCACTACGCTCCGTACACCCATTACAGGCCAGCTCGTAATCACTATGGTTACGGTTATTACTGAAGGAGTCTTTACGTACTTCTAGTCACCTGACTTGTACAGGAATGTTTCCTTTGGCCGTTGGGAGGTTTTAGGTTCCAGGTGCTTTCAAAGCTGTCCTGGTTTGAGTTTAGATTTTAAACATCCACACCTGGTATGGTGTACAAATTATGCTGTAAACCGCAATAAAGTTTGACCAAAACTAGCTTGTTGGTGTGTAAAGAAGCCGAAACGGGGTTAAGTGAACTTTTATTGTCTGAAAACATACAAACAGGTTTTCATGTCTGACAGATGACACGCAGTTTGTTTTATAAAGTCAGTTGGTGCAAATATGACAGAAAACATCTAATGTGACTAAAAATGTGTTAAACTTCAAAGACCGAAGGATTAGTGCTGAGACAACAGGACAGTTTCCTGAGATTAAAGTGATCAGAAGATTGTTGAAATGGGGAAGACTCTTCTGGTCCTCAGACCATGAGGAGACTGTGGACCTGCTGCAGCTGCTGCCGGGACAGAACCAGACGGTGGACCTGTTCTTGACCACGGACACATGGAATGGCTACACGACCCACAAATACGGTTCCTCCTTGTTTTTCGTCCTTAGCCTGAGACACAAAGATAACGATCATCATGACTGTCTTGGGGACACTTTTGAGGCTCTACGTTCTGTAGGATAGTACCTTAATGAAGGAGGACACTGGGAATGTGGCGAAGTCTGAGGACACCTTTGCTCCAGGCTGGTATGACACCACGTGCTCTGCTACCTCACCCTAAAACAAAAGGTCCTGCTGAGCGAGTGTCTAGCATTTTATCCACAGAGGGTGAGGAGGACATTACCTTGAGTTTGTCCAGAGCATCACTGAGACTCTTCAGCCGAGCAGTCTGCTCCAGCAGCTGGGCGCTGGCGCTCACTAGACCAGGGAGGAAAATCAATTCAGGCTGGAAAACGATCGTCTGCCAACAAGTAAAATAACAAACCTGCTGATTTTCCAGAAACGTCCACCACTTTGACCTCTGAACTCAGCTTGAGCAGAGTGGCTAGCAGCTGGTCCGTCCTACGGTAGATGCCCGTGTTGAGTCCCTCTGGAGGTGAGGAGCTTTCTCTAGAGGCTAGTGGGAGTTTAGGAGGGCAGAGTGGGGGCAGGGAGGCGAGCTGAGCCCTGAGCTTCTCCGTCTGGAGGGGTGGAGATGAAGGTCTTCATATTATGGCTGAAAAGTTCTGAAGGAAATGAGGACTTTCTTTACCTTGAGTCTGTTGTTTTCATTCTTGAGGTATTTGATACCTAGTCTCTGGACTTCAACCTGTTGCCTGAGGAGAGGAGAGTCTACCACCTGAGTTGGTCCTGCCAGGGTTGGAGACAGACCTGCAGGAGGAGCAGGATTCCATTTCATCAGAAGCTTAAACAAACGTAACAGCCATCCAATCAGGCTTCAGACTCACCACCCGTAGATCCCTGAACCATGGAGGCAATCCCTGAGGCAGGTGGACCTCTCAGACCTTCGATCGTCATCTTTGACTGATTATGGATGCGCTGTTTGAGCTCCGACTTCTCTGCCTCCAGCTGGTCGATGTCGGCCTGCAGAGCATCCATCGTCTCCTCAAACTCCCTGCAGATGAGCGAGGTGTTAAATCTGAGAGATGGTGGAGAAAGCATCACATAAAAAGATGATGCTCTTGATTAATCCTTCTTACTTTTCCTTCTTCTTGAGCTGGGCAAGGCTCTCATCCAGCTTGGTTTGAATCTTCTCCACTCGTTCATCTGCATCTTTAGTGGAGGTGTCCAGCTTCTTCTCCAGAAGACTCAGGCGGACATGGGCCTCACTGAGCTCCTCCCCCTGGACACAAGCACATCTTGGTCACACCTCTTGGTTCAGCTCGTTCCAACAGTCAAACATTAATCGCTGTGTCACCTTAATCTTGAGGGACCTCTTGACCTCTTTGATGACCGTTTCTCTGTCTTCTAGTTTGACCCCCAGACCTTCAGCATCTGTCATCTCAGCCCTGACGGTGGACGCTCTCATCTCCACAGGAGGGGTCTAAACACACAAGAACCCGATTTAGAGGACAGAGTAGGATGAAATAAAAGAAGGGAACAACCAGACAAACCTTTCTTGGTGGTTTCTCAGCATCATACTCTCCTTCCTGCATGACCGTAGCCATCTTGTTCATGGTGGCAATGACAGAGCTGCAGGACTGTCGCAGAAGCTCTGGACCATCCATGCTGTGAGAGCCATAGACCTTAAAGTAGAATGCAGAGGGAGGCTTGTCTGTGTCCTAAACTTCCACCACTTGTCAGTGAGGTTTAAGTGGACCACTACCTGCTCCACAACTTTGCAGACGATGTCCTCCAGTTTGAGAGCATTGAGACCTTCCTGTTCTCCCAGTGAAGGAACCATCTGAGCTCCAGCTGCAGCCACTTCCTGCAGCACAGCGACCACACGGGTCAGCTGCCTCCTGCACTCTGTCAGCGCCTCAGACACCTGCAGGGTCACATATGACACTTGGCTCAAACCCTTCATTATTTTAGCATTTCATAAGATCTTCATCAGTGTCTGCGTTTTCCTACCGGTGCGTCAAAGCTGAGAGCGGTAGGGACGCCAGCCACATCCGTTCCTGGCATACGACGGCGAATCTTCTTACAGAACTGTCTGATGTCAGAGCAGGAAGTGTCCAGGTCCTTGAGGAGGATAGAAAGTCCGGAGCTCTCCTGTCCTGCAGACAGGAACGCCCGCAGACGAACCACCTCCACGCCCATGCAGTCCAGGGCACTCTGGGTAAACTGAGGACACAAGGTCACATGATTCACTTCAAGTCAAGTTTATATAGCGCCAAATCACGACAAGAGTCGTCTCAAGGCACTTCACATAATAAACATTCCAATTCAGTAAGCCAATCAGTAAAAAGTTTCCTGTATAAGGAACCCAGCAGAGTGCATCGAGTCACTGACTAGTGTCAAGAGTCTTTACAGCATATATATATATGCATATATATATATATATATATATATATATATATATATATATATATATGTTTGGGTTGTGATGTAAATTCAGTGATCATGCTGCCTAAATGATGTCGGCCACTAATGGGGAATTGGCCGCTTTGTCGGGCTGCAAAAGAGAAGCTGTTTTCCAGTTGAATGAATCCTGACGAGGTTCTGCTTTGAGGCCCATAATAAAACGTTCATAGTTAATACGTCCATCACTGGAGGTGGACGAAATATATATATATATATGAAACTTTACTGATTGGCTTACTGATATATATAATATATATATATAAAAATGTTATCCAACCGGCAAACATTTCATGTTTTTAAGGTACCTTGATGTGGTCGGCCAGCTGCATCGTACAGTCCTCCGTCTGATCGGCTAAATGGACGCTGTACAGTTGCTAGGAGATGAAACAAAACAGCCCTTCAGCTTACAGTTTAATGTGGTTTTAGTGTTTGTTCCAGTGATTTAGCGCTGCATTTACAGGAGAAGACAGTGATTTCTTCTTCCGGCTCTTTGAAGAGTACAGATGCTTTTTTCCTCCTCTCCTCCCTATCTTATCCCCAAGGCTCTTTGCCTGTCTTTGGGTGTACGGCGCTTGTACATTTTTTCTGGAAACTGGAATTATTAAAAATGGACCTGGTCAGCTGGTCTCTCAACACGATTGACAAAATTTTCTCAACAATGAGAACGGAAGAAAGGGGCACCCGGGAGCTCCTCTGGGACAGATCCAGCTGGGTATATCATGGAGTGGACTCCTGGAAACAGTGGAACCTGATCTGCTTATCTCAACTGTCTGTAGAGGATTCTGAAGACGTCTGGATATTCGTGATGTTGGTGTCGGGTTTCCTGCTTTTTGGCCTGGGAGGTTACCTGGCTTACTGGAAAATTAACGAGCTGTCGAGGAATATTGGCTCTTTTCCGGAGCTCAGGGATGGATTACACCACGCTGTGAATTCAAAGACTCTAGATGAGTTGTAAGCTTGGAACTTTGGCTGAGATTCAGGCTCTGGCAAAAAAGATGGATGCGATCAAGGAGCGAGTGGACGAATCAGCACGGATTGGATTGGACTTTGAGAGGTTGAGGACCAACGGAACTTTAAGACAGAGAAGAATTTATCTCTGTCTGGCCCCAAAACAATTTCTTATCTGAATCTGGTGCCCTTGAGCCTTTGAGGCTGAAACGAATATTCCTTCAGAAGAAATGTGGAATGCTGCCGTTGCCATGGCAACTCTGTCTCCCTATCCCATTCTGGGTGGGCCTGCGAGCTGTGAAAGCCGCTGAATCGTTCCAGGAGTCACTGTGCCCTCTAAACCCAATGACCTCCTCCCCCTGTCCAGACGAAGGTGGCGAGCGCTGCTTATCGCGGCTGCATGCACTGACGTGAGGGGAGTCCCAAACCCTACCACCCCACCTAGTGGACACTTATGTTGTGTAATGTCTGAAGTCTGTGCATTTCTGTCTGAGGTGTTTTTTTGCATAGCAAAGCTGTCCTCCCTGTGGAGGGTAACTCTGAAGTGCCTTTTTTTTCCCTCCACCTGACCCAATCCGCGACTCGGGTTGCGAATGACCACAGTCACCGATTCTTGTCATGTGTTTGGCTGATCTCAGAATTGTGTGTACTGAAACTCTAATTTCCCTCTGGGATTTATAAAGTATTTTTGAATTTGAATTGAATTTTAAAAATATCTGTACAACATCAGTTATGCACACCCTTACCCTGACTAAAGGAGTACAAGTAAAAAAACTATAAACCATAATAAAGATGCATTTCATTTATATTTCCTCTTCCATGACCTCAAAGGGTCACACGTAGGGGTAGGCCGATAGTTACCATTTTTATATATTGGCCATACCTCCTAATTAAATGTACATTTATGTTCCTGAATAACATCTGCATAAAAATGTTTTAAAAATTATTTTCAATGTTTTTAATATAGTTTATTTGTTTGGTACCAAAGACACAAATTTTACTGTTTTTTTAAAGGTTACATTTATTTCTCAAAATCTGACTCAGCGTTGACATTTTGTGCATCAGGTGACGTTACTAGTGTCATTTTAGCATGAAAATAAGGTGGAAAGGTCTATATATTGACAACCATAGTATAATAAAGCCATATTCTGCCCAGCAATAATGAAAACCTGTGAAAAAAGGTCTAAATCATAATCATCTTTGAGTTAAAATTTGATTAAATGACACATTTAAAACAATGAGAAATTCTACTGCTGCTGGAAAATGAAGATTTTCACAAATTTTTTGTTCACAAAGTATCGGGCATTAAAGCAGCGATTTCTGGTACCTCTATCGACCCTGTTCCAGTTCTTCCATCACCACCCACCCTGAGCTCCCTCAATACTGTTTCTTATTCTGAGCTGAGCTTGTCGCGAGGCATAAGCCATCTGGCTCTCCACTTGATGTTCTGCCTCCTCGTCTCTGGAAGGCTGCCTTTCCGTGCCTTGGCCCATCACTTAGTCACAGATTATCAATGGGAGCCTCAGCACAGGTGTGGTCCCAGCTGCTTTGAAAGCAGCTGTTCTTCGGCCGACCCTGAAGAAACCTGGTGCTGATGTCTCTGTGATCGATAATTACAGGCCTATCTCTACCCTGCCTTTTACATCAAAACTGCTTGAGAAAGTTGTTTATCAGCAGCTGGTCTCACATTTAGCTGACTCTGATCTGTTTGAGGTTTTCCAATCAGGGTTCAGGTCTGGCTATAGCACAGAGTTAAATGATATCTATCTATCACTAGATCAGGGTACATCTGTGGTGCTTCTGTTGTTAGATCTGACGGCAGCGTTTGACACTGTTGACCATCTCATTCTGCTTGATCGAACGATGGGTTGGGATCAAAGGGTCTGCTTTGGAGTGGTTTAGATCATGTCTCCACAACAGGACATTCTGTGTTAAAATGGGGGATGTCTTATCTTCCTGGGAGGGTCCCCGCTGGGGGGTCCCGCAGGGATTGATCCTTGGTCCTCTTGTTTGCCATTTATCTGCTTTCTCCAGGGTCAATCTTTCGTAAACATGGCCTACTGTTCCACTTTTACGCTGACGATTGCCAGATTTACTCTCCGTTGTGTCAAGAGAAAGGTCTTTCTATCCAGTCCTTCGTGTCCTGTCTCAACGAGGTGAAGTCTTGGTTAATGGCCTACTATCTGCATCTGAATGGGGGAAAGACAGAGCTCACTGTTTTTCACCCCTGTTTCTCAGCCCTCTTTATCCCTACTCAAAACCAGTTGTCACCAGTTAGGGGGTAAAAATTTACTCTGGATTTGATGCTCACATCAACTCTGTGATCCAGTCCTGTTATTTTCATCTGAGACGCCTTTCAAAAATCAAGCCTGTGCTGTCGAGAGCCCAACTCCATGCTTTTATAATTTCTAGGCATGATTACTGCAACTCTCTATATGCAGGGCTGTGTCAGTCATCACTGCGTCGCCTACAGGTTGTGCAGAACAGTGATGTCAGGTTTCTGACTGGGACCAGGAAATGGGACCACATCACTCCGGTTCTGACCTCCCTGCACTGGCTTACGGGCTGTTATCGTTCTTGCTTTAAATGCTTGGTTTTTGTTTTCAATTTCTTTCAGGGTGGTGCACCCCTCTATCTAGCCACGCTCCTGTACAGACATTCTTCATCACACGCTCTGCGCTCCTCTGACCAAGGCCTGCTCGCTGTCCCTCGTTTTAGGTGTCTGACTCGTGGGGACCAGGCTTTCTCAGTCCTAGCCCCGTCACTCTGGAACCAGTTGCCACCCTCAGTTAGGCTGTCCCTATCTCTGCCAGTCGCCTGAAAACCTACTTCTTCCGCGTTGCCTGAACACATTAGAGGTCGACCCTCTTTCATGTTGATTTTATTCACTGTTTTTATTGGTCACTTTATTCCTCGTTTTATCTATTTGTTTCTACTTCAATGTTTTAGCCCTCTTTGCTCTATTTTAATTGCTTTTATTATCTATTTATTTATCCATTGTGATTTAAATTTCTTATGTACTGTGTACAGCGCGTTGGGCTCCCTGGCAGGGAGCAAGGCGCTTTATAAATAAAGCTTTGATTGACTGATTGAGATGCAAACAGCCTTCACCTATAAAAGTGCAGACATAAGATAACCTCAATGCCTCAGAGCCAACAGATATAAAGTCACTGCAACAAGATTTATTACAAGCTCACATTTGGCATTTTTCAGGGTTTTTTTTATGAAAGAAACTGAAAGTGGTTTGTTGCAAAACAGGACAGAATGTTATTATAGCGCCAAGTTCACATTATCTTCAAAAAACTCCTCAAGATCTTACGATTTAGATTTGGCTGCAGCTGCAGACATACAAACCCTGCAGCAAGGGAAGATGGTTTGCTTTTAAATGAAATAGCCAATCAGAGGTGGGAAAGGCGGGACCTTCCTTGGACAGCCTATGATTTTAAATGACATCTCCTGGATGCTAAATCAACAACAGCCTTCTTGTGGGCAGCCCCAAGCCAAGGTCATGAATACTAATTCCCCCCGTTATGCAGAAGAATCTGGCCTTTTGTGACTCAGGTGTTTTACCATCCATTTCCTTCTGACGGATAATAACAGTTTCTGAGTGAACGAGACCTCAAACAGCTGGTTGTGGTGCCCTCCTGATGTCAGCCTGATCTGGTGTGGTGATATGAAGAAGCCAAAACTCAGCCAGAAGGTAAAAAAATGGCTCTACTACTGTGTGTGCAGACCAGAAACTGAAAAAATGTAAGGATAGACCACCGGCGAAGGGACGGGTGGTCTGATGGGGAAGCTATAGGTCTTTGAGACAACAGGGGGAGTGGCTGTCGTATTCAAACCTGAAGCCAGTGGGGGTTGGTGAAACAAGACTATAATTCTCTATTTATAGGAGATGTCAGTAGATATTGTTTTAGAAGCGCTGGGAATTTTTAAATCAGAACACTAAAATATTTTATCGTTTCTTTCCCAAAACAACCTGCAAGTTTGAAGGACAGCACTGTTACCTGATAGTATTTGATTGCCTTGGTCAACGGTTCCACCTGAACCGTCTCATCCAGCTGGTCTTTATGCAGCAGGTCAATGAAGTAATCCAGGGAGCGTTCGTGGAAGCTCATTTCAGAGTAAAGCGTTCCCATGCGTTTGAAAACCTCCACGCTGCAGGTGTTCAGTGCCCTGGAGCAGAGCAACGGCAGTGGTTGGTTTCTATTTAAATAAGTGTGTGTGGTGCAGCTGGAGTTAATACTGACTGCTCATATTTGTGCAGGGTGGCCTGCAGCAGGCTGAGGGAGTAGACCAGCCCTGAGGCAAAGCTGCGCTGTTCGCCTGGAGGTCCTCTGAGCGCCGTTCCCTGCACCAGATTCCCGTTCAGGTCAAACTTCTCGTGGGCTTGCTTACTGATCAGCTCGGCCTTAGAGAGGAACAGACACCAGTCAAGATGGACGAAGAGCCACTATGCTAGTGAAACAACCGTTTTGTACCTTGCAGATGAGCCTGGGGATGAGCAGCAGCACCAGGATGCAGTCGTGGTCACCGCCGTGGCGGAGGAAGGAGTCCGGCATGAAGGAGGTGAGCAGCGCCACCTGTCTGTTAGCTTGAGCCACCTCCATCTTCCTCAGCTCCATCTCTATAGCCTGAACACAGAGAGGGTGAACTCATGCGTTAGAGGAGAAGGTAAGGACACGCCCTCTGACCTCCTACCTTGGCGTACGCTTTAGTCTCGGCAAACTTGATCTTGAAGTCAAACAGCTCCGCCACCGGCTGTTGAGGCTGATCTGCGTTAGCGCTCTGCTGACTGATCAGCTCCCGGTTGGCCTCCTGGTGATCAGAGAACCGTTCACACAGCGTCAGCGTGTCCCACACTCAGACCAGGTGTGTTTCCTGTTGCACCTCCTCACCTGGAGGGAGCCAGTGAGCTCCCTGTATTTGCTGATGGTCTGCTGGTAATCAGCCACCGTCTCCTGAGCAGCCTCCACCTTCTTCTCAGCCTCTCTGACCTTGGCTCCGCTCAGGTCCAGCTGCTCCCTCAGCTCCATCTCTGTCTCTCTGGCGTTCTCCTGCAGCTCGTCGTTCATCTCGTTGATGGCTTCCTGTCAGCGCAGAAATAAAGCAGGTCCAACGACTGGATGATAAAAACACTTTCGGACAGCACAGAAACAAAAATAAGGAAAGCAGCACGGACCAAATCGGTGACCGTCTCCCTCAGCTCTCTGACTTTCTCCTCCAGGTCCAGGTTCCTCTCTGTTAGGGTCTCCACCATCTCCTCCGAGCCCAGAGCTGCATCCACCTAGTGAAGGTAACTAAATGAGACTCTTCCTCTTTTTACCAGAGTTAACGTGTTTACGTCCGTTCCCATCAAGTCTCCTACCTGCTCCTTCAGCTCATCGATCGTGGCCTCGGCCTGTTTGAGGTCCTCCTGCAGTTTCTCCTTCTGAGTCCTCTGAGTCTCCAGCTCTGTGTTCTTCTTCTCCATCTGCTTCTGCAGCTTCACGTGCTCCTGTTTTTCAGAGGAAGACAGATCCCGCATCCTGAGGAGGACCAGGAGAGGGATTGTTACTAGATTTAGGAGATAAAGTGTGTTATTATTTAGTAAAGAGCCTCCTGTTACCTGACGAGCGCCTCCTTCAGCCTGCTGTTCTGCTCCTCCAGCTGTTTGACCTGATAGCTGGACGCTGCTCCATCTGAACCTGCATGAGAACCAGTATGAATGGAAGATGAGAAAACACATCTCTGGAGTTTTCGCCATGCTCTTCAGCTCTTCCCCTGCACCTTTCTCTGAAATCTCATGCCTCAGGATCTCCAAGTCCATGGAGAGCTCCTCCACCTTCTCTTTCAGCGAGTCCACCTCCACCTGCAGCGACTCTGCTCGCTCCTCAGCCATCTCTTTATCCAGCGTGGCCATTTCTATGGCATCTGCAGTGTCCGCCATCTCCTCCATGTAGCGGTCTTTGGCCTCCTGGGCCTCCCGCGCTTCCTTAGAAGAGAGAAAGTTAGAAAAAAGTTCAAACCAGGAAGAAAGACGAGCACGGCAACGCATTTAGGACCTCTCTGTACCTTCTTGGCCTCTTTCAGTTGCTTCTGCAGCTCGGCCTGCTGCTCCTGCATCTTGGTCCTCCACTCCTGGAGCTGCTCCAGCTGGATTTTGTATTTTTCCAGCTCCTTCAGCTTGGCCTTGTCCTCCGTCCGCTTCATCTTCAAAGTCTCCAGCTTCTCCTCCAAGTCCTTGACCTGAGCTCGCAGTGACTCCTCCTCCTGAGGATAACAGAAGCAACTAGAGAAACATGGAGTCGTTTCCCTCTGATGCGAAGAATTCTGAAGTTTTTCTCCAAAGGAGTAACATGCATTATGACAGTCAAGTGTCAAAGAGGTGCATTATGGGTAATACCCCCCCCCCCCCCCAACCCGATGTTGGGTTTGTTAGAAAGCTCATGCTAGCATGCATGTAGCCGTAATAAACTACCTGTTTGGACACGACAGATTCCATCTGGGCAAACAGAAACGCTGATGACCAAAATGAACGGGATGGAAAAACTGAAGTGCTTCCCAGTGATCCCAGACCTACCTTACTGGGAGTGGCTGGCACCAGAGCAGCAGGAGGAGGAGACCCACTAGGCTGCGGGGTGACAGGAGCCCCAAGCGCACCCTGTTGGGAGGACAGGCTCGTCTCGCTGACATCTCCAGACAGAGAGGACGAAAGGCTCTCACGAGACGCCTGTTGACACAGACAGGTGTGTTTCACAAGATGGCGACGTTCTAGCTGTCAATAAGCTCCTGCCACTGTGAGTCCAGTGAAGACCGAGAGCTACGACTGGTGTTGTTCCACACACCCACCCCCAGTGAGGTGAGACCAACGGTGCTATGACACAAAAGAACATACCCGGAGCATCAGACTGGAGCGACTAGGGGGGCGGGCCAGGAGGGAAGGGAGGGAGGTGGCGGGTGCTAGGCGTGGAATGCTCCACTGCCACAGATCATAGAGACTTCATTAGTTAATCCTGATATAAACCTGCTTATTTCCACTGATCTGATGTAGGAGACTAGCTACACTAGTTCCCGTACCGCTGACACACTGCAAAAACTGACTTTTAAGAAAGTAAAAGAAGCCTTGTTTTCACATATTGACTTATTTTAAAATGTTCTTATCTGCAAAAACTGCACTACTAAGGTAAATATTACTAAAAATGATCTCATTTTCTTGTTTGAGTAAGAGAAAAGATCTTGGTTGGCCTGAATTCCTAAAGCAACACTTGATAAGTTTTCTGCTTCTCCCTCCTGGTTGAAAGAGGAATCTCAACTGTCAAACAACCCTGCAGCAGCCTGCCGTAGCAAGTGCTAACAATGAGCTAATGCTAACATTAGCAAACTACAAAAATAAACCAAAGTAAAAAGATCCACACTGTTCGTCGAAAAACATTATTACGTACAAGTCCAGTAGCAACAAAGCCAGGTCACCATCAGCCCGTGATTTCATAGCTTCCTTTAGCTCCCTCAGACTAGTGTAGACCGAGCTGGTGTTCACTCTGGTTTTAGCTCTTCGCTTCACCTCCACAGGCTTTACTCTCTTACTTTTACTTAGAACCTTCACCAGCATATTTGCTAGTTTCAGGAATTATTGCCACGCAACTTGTACTTACCCCATTGGCTGTTTTTCTTTTTTTACTCAAAACAAAAAAACTAAATGTAAGTTCTTTGAAGTAGTGCCGTTTGTGCAGATAAGAACATTTTTCTTTTTAGACCAGAAATAAGAGAAAATTTCTTAACACAAAGCTTTTTTACTCATCTTCACAGACAAGATAAAAAATGAAAAGCTCTTAAAATGGTTATGAGTGTTTGTTTACACAAACATGAGATAAACCTCAGCTGCCCTGTCTGCTGGAAACAAGCTCACCTTTGCGGAACGGCGGGTAGAGGACTGGAGAGGAGGTGAGTTGGAACAAGGAGGATGGATTCACACACACACACACACCCGCAAGGATATTCACACACATTCAGCCATGAAGTACAAATAGGAGATTAGAAGAAAGTTAGAGCATATTAATCAGTGTTAGTTGTTATTAGTTTGACTGCATGCAGCATCTAGCACAGTCATTTTCATTGATTTAGGGCAACAAAAGTAGACATATAATCCATGCAGCAGTAGAAAACACTGGGCAGACTTCCATTTCAAGCAAAGGAAATACTTAGGGAGCCTAAGTCACTTCCGTACCACGGGTCCCCGGAATGACGAAAAAATGAATGCAAGTCAACGGGGCGAAAAACGCTATTTTCAAATCCCGCTTGTTTTGTGCCATGGATTTCACATATGATGTCCGTGAATATTAAAGACACATTTTGATACCAAGAACGCGCTTATTTTCGAACTGGGAGTGGGGGGGGGGGGGGGGGGGGGGGGGGGGGCTATTTTATGTTTTGTGTGAAAATAAGTCCAGGACTACAAATGCGCTTCACAAAAGTGACGTCATCGAACCAGACAAGGAGAAGTCTGAGGGGAAAAAAAAACTGTAAGTTAAGCTAACATCCCACAGGAGGAAAGAACCATCATAAGTCTGGTCATTTGGTAAGCAGCAGCCACTTTGGGGAGAGAAGATTATGTGGTGACGTCACATATGCGACGTGCCGATTTCTAGTTTGTAGTCATGCTAATTATGAACTTTTGCAAGCTGATAAATCTCAAAGTACGTGACTGGCATGGTTGAAACACCCATCATTATTTTTCGTTTAAATAGCAGTACAACATGTGTGTGATCCAGGGCGTGAGGCTAAGCGGGTTAGAAAATAGCGTTTTTAGCTCCGTTGACTTGCATTCATTTTGTCCTTCTTCCGGGGACCCGTGAGCCGACCGGAATGGGAGGAGACATAGGCTCCCTATTATATAAGCTTTATTCACGTTTCTGAAAGCATTTACTACGTTTTCGTGTGAAACTGTGACATGGTGCGTTTAATGCCAACAGATCAAAGCAGAAGAGTTAGTGTGATTAACAGCAACGCAGGCGAAGCAGAAGAGCTGGATTAAAAGATCGGTACCTTCTTAAAGTTCACTGGAGTCTGTTTAGGAAAAGCAAAAATCAACCCAAACCAGAGAGGTAAATTAGACACTTCCTCTTATTGTGCAGAAACCAAAGAACAGACAAATAATGGAGACAAAAAGGTTTTAGTCAAAAACAATCCAGGAAGATGACCCAGAGAAAAGCTGGACACCGTTTCAGCGCTGACGTTTCTATTAACTCACCAATAGGATGTTACAAGGTTATTAACTTCGGTGCAAAACCAACAAGTCACAGAATAAAATACAAAGTAATAAAGTAAAAGTGTCAATGGGTTGTTGATTTTTACCTGCTTGGTTGTTTTGGGAGTTTCAGAAATGTCTGGAAATAAACAAACAAATGATTCCTGTCAGCACTGTTTATTTAGGTCTTAGAAACCAGTGGAACGTAATGGAGTACAAGTACTTTACTAAAACTCTGTACTTTTACTTAAGTAAAATAATCAAGTATTCCTTCCACCACTGACAGAAACACAAGGAGACCTGATGCTGAAGCTCACCTTTCAGCTTGGGTGTCTTTGCCACGCCGGACTCAGGGGCCTCTGGGGAGGTGGCCCCGGAGCCGTCGTCCACCACCTGGATCTGCGGACACACAGGTGTGCATAAATGATTAATGTCGGGTAAAACCAGACTCTAGTTACAGTGAAATTAAAACTAAACACTGTAGCATTATGTGAGCAAAAATAAAGGAAGAAATTGGATTTGTTGTCAGCCTGTTCATAAATCAGTACAAAGATGTTCTCATTGATTCAGTTAAATATCTTCACCCATCTCAGAGTAGGCTCGGTTATCGTTCAGTCTAAGAAAAATGTGTCTTTTCACTGCAACAGTCGGACTGTTTGTGTCTCTGACTCACGTTTTTCTGCTAGATCATCTGGATTTTTTTTTATTCAACCTTCATCTATCCTCTCCCTTAGAGAGCTCTACACACAGTCCACCGTACCCTGACTCTTGTGGTGGGCCACTCGTCATTTTTAATGAATGCAGGAAGTGTTGCTGTTTGTGTGTGTGTGTGTGTTTGTACGAAATACTTCACCACCTTGCAGGAATTTTAAGTCAATGTCAGGAAACAAACAACACTCAGGGAGAGGTCCAGGAAAATGGGGCCCAATCTACCTCTTGTTTTAGATTACATCAGTTAGAAAAAAAAAACACAGTTTGGACAATCACTGGTGAACTTGATTCCATGCAATGACGGGTAAAGGTATTAGAACATCTGTTTCAAGAAAAGTATTTTTAAACTAGCTGACGTTAAATCCTTCATCTCCCATCTGATATTTTATGAAATTGGGTTTTCTCTACAACTGAACGCACCTATAAGAAAGGTTAGAGTCTGATGTTAGAAAACCTTCTTTAAATCTCTACGAGTGCAGATTCTTCATCATATCCAGTCGTTCTTATTTCACTGACCTGGGACGATCTGACGAATATCCCATGGTTTTCCTCACAGGTGAAATAGCGCTTGCCCTGCACCGCGCCGTCGTTCTTCCCTTTGGGCTCGTCCAGGATGATGCCGACCCATTTCCCCGTCGCAAAGAGGGTGGCGCCGATGTAGGCAACAGTTCCTCGCTGGCCCTTCCCAGTGACCTCGACTACCGAGCCGAGCTAAGGACAAGAAGATAAGAAGCTGTGACCTTTAATCGAACACCACTTGTGTTTATCATTAATGAATCTGTGCACCCCTGCATGTTTTAGTCTTTGTTGTCTGAGAAAGAGACCAACCTTTGGAGGCTTAACACTCTCCACCGTTCCTCCACTGCTCATTTTGCTGATCAATGGGCTGGTCAGCTGAGGGACATGGAAAGGAAATTTGAGTATTTATATTTTAAAAAATCATTTTAATGCTTAAGCAGAAGCAAAATAATAATAATAATAATAATAATAATATAAGCAGCAATATTTGACAGGAGAGTCCTCAGGGTGCAGGAGAACAGAGAAACTCTCAGTCTCTCAGAAACCCAGTCATATGTCCCGGGACAAAACAAACGTCCTAAAAAAATAACAAAGATGTTCATTCAGCACAAAGTAGGTCTTTGGTAAGAAGCTGTAGAGGCGTGAAGTCCTGCTGCCTCAGTTAAACTCGTCTCACATCTGTTTTTGAATAACAGGATTTAAATTTTCCTGATACTGAGGGACAAACTTCGAACTAATGGGGAAAACACATGCAAATTGATTCAAACTTATCAGTAAAGTATGCCCTCAAGAGAATATGTTTACACTTGTAGCTGAGTTTAAAGCTTTAATTTTGATCTGATGATAACAAATTATGCAAAAAGATTCATTCTTACGTCTACAGTATGGTGAGTACAAGCTCTTTTACATTTTAGTAATATATTACAATTATCAATTGTTATTTATCTAATCCATTATTACAAAATATTATTTTGTGTCTTAGGACTTTATTAAAACCCATTGTTACTCACCCTGGGTGTGTAAGAATGTCGTCTACTCAAAGCCATACTTAAATAATAACAGCTTCACCTCCACTGGACAACTAAAGGCTCTAGATCTAACTTTTCTTTATTTTCACATGACTCTTTCCCAGAGATCAGACCGATTTTAGGGCGGGATCTTTATGGTGAATCACAAAAACGTCACAGCTGATTCAAACTAGTCTGCACTAAAACGGATTCATGTAAACTTGATATTTAACCTGACTTTATACACCGTTACATTGGTTTAGTTACAGGAGAAAAATGGGTTTGTTCAACCACTGGTCCAAGGGTCTGGAATTATTTTATTTTATTTTTTGCATTTTTTAAAGACAGATACTACATAGTTTTTTAACATAAAAGAGAAAAAATAAAACAAATATGGCTGCTAACGCTAACTGTAACAATAACAACATCCTACTCCTACTAGCCATTTAGCTAGTGGAGCTGTATTAAAGGTAAAAAATATTCCTGCTTTAGTATCTGGTCACGCTTCAAAATATCACACACTCAGACATGAAAAACTGTAACAAGTGACTGAATCAAATTAATACTGAAGCTAGACCGAACCAAGCCCATTTTACGTGAACGCGTCCATTAACTTCAGACAAATAAAGGACTTTTAACGAGTAAAAATGCAATTATTAATATTGTAACTCACCTGGCAAACAGCGAAATCCCTGTCTTTAAATTTAGCTTTATGTCATCCAAATCTACTGTTGTAAATTTTAACACCTAGCTTCCTAATCCGGCAGTCTCCATTTCCGGTTCTGACAACTCACTTCCGGTCCGTTAAATTGCTGTAGAAAACTGAGATCTACCGCCCCTGGTGGTTGGATGGAGTCTTTGATATGTTATCACATTTTGTACATTTTCTATGTATTTTTTCTGTCATTTTCGCAGCAGAAACAGGGCGGTGTGAAGTAAAAAATATTGATAATATAAGTATGGAGAATAGAAAAGAATAGAATATCATTTTAGTCGGGACATTAGGTGTAACAGCAGCAATTATATTCACAACAGGGGTAAATAGTAAAGAGTACAAATACAAGTAAACATAACACAGAATTACAAAAAAATTTAAATACTCAAATATTCAAGATTCCAAAATTTAATTTATACAGATTCTAGAAATAAAATATAAAAATCTAGAGATAACTTGTGGATTTTAAAAAAATGGAACATTTTGCAGCTGGTGGAACTAGCCAGAGGCCCGTCTACCCGCGGCCAATCAGGATACCGGATGGGAGGCTGATCCAGGACCGGCTGGCTGTCAATCACACGGAGCTCCGACTGCAGCTCAGTCCGGTGGCGGACCGGTGACACCTCTGACAGATAGCGGACCAGTTCCCAGCCGCACCACCTTCTTTGTTTACAGCACGGTGGGTGGTTTTCGCGAGTTTTATCGCACTTATTTCTGGCACTTCATTGGATGAGTGTGTATTTTAGCTGGTTTTGATCCCTGCTGGGATAACTCGGGAACGTTCAAACTAGGAAAAACACATGCATGCACATCCTGTTTTAACTTTCAAATTATATCATGTAAGATATTCATTGCGGCAGTTGAAAATTGCGGCATGGCTTTGTAGTTTTATTGTGAAAGTCAGTGTCATGTGTTTCCGGTATGTTAGCGTGAGGATTTTAGCTAACTGTTGACGCCGGCCGGTAAAGGGGTTTAAGTCGAAGTCGGGCGCAGACACTGTACCGGTTCTGGTTCGCTCTGCCGGTATCTTTCTAGCAGTCTGCAAGGTTTATGGAATGTTTTTTTCTCAAAATATTTAAAAAGACAAGAATCGAAAGCAAAGAGGGTGTGGAGTGAAGTGACGCGTTACGTCATTCATAGTTTCTCCCGTCCGTCTGCTCTTCAAAAAGTTCAACAGATGTTAAATACATTGCTTTTCTGAGCATTTTACCAGCTCATTTAAATTATTTATATTCTGACTTACCTGTAGTGAACATTCCCACTTGTTTGTGAAGGTTTACTCTTGTTGTTGAGCTGCTGGCCGGAGCTCGATGGTTAAAGCTGCCTGTTTAGGGTGTGTCTCCACCGGATTCTCGTTGGTTCTTCTGCAGACAACAGCTGACCAAATATGAATGCATCCGTATTTTTTAAATAAGTTTTATCCACAAGTAAACTGTGCAAACAGACCATCTTAAAACTTGTTTTTCTGCAATAGTATAGCGATGCAAGCTTTGAGTGGATGCTTTGAAAGCACATTTTCTAGATATTTTCTGTAGATATAGATTTTTGTAAATACTGTAATACTGATCAGCAGTGGCGGATTTAGCAATTTGGGGCCCAAGGCGAACACAGACATGAGGCCCCCTTACACTAAATTTTCGACTATCTTATCTTTAACTGGATTTGCAAAACTCTACCCTCTTCTGACATGAGTTATTTTCACTTTTTATTAGTCATCCTCTTTTTACCTGTCTTTCTCTCCCTTTGAGTGCCTTCAATATTTAATCTGCTTTCTTCTTCCTGTCAGTGCTCCTGTGCTTTTGCCTTTCTTTTTTTCTTCTATTTTCCATTTTGGTCTATGCCTTCCTCACTTTAAACATCTGATGTTTACATAGAAAAACAACATCACTTTTGGATGTGAAGTTAAAAGCTTTTTAAAAGCAAGCTGCTGCTTTCTCTTATTGGAGTCACTAGGATAACTCCATTTCATGCTTAATGTTTTGACTACTGCTTCAAGTTTTTTACGAACGCTCCCACCTCTCCTTCTTTTTCTGCTTTCTCTTCATCTTCTTATTTGTGGTCTTATGGCAGTTGGAAAATAACAATTTGGTGCATTACTGCCACCAACTGGATTGGAGTGGAATGACAACCAATCACTTCCTGTTTTTGCATCGGTGTCCATTGTGGCATTAACAGAGGGGTGCCAGCAGTCAGGTGTAACGTCCAGCAATGGTCAGTTTTCACCTAAAAACTGACCTACATGCCACCGGTCACCGGAAGACATAAATTCCGGCTCTAAGGTGGATTTCAAATTCTACCTTCCAACAAGCAACAAGGTTCTGCAAAATTTGTTGACATTTCAGGAGGAACACGATGTCAGCCTGTGTTCCCAAAAAAGGCCTTCTTCTGATAACACCGCAGGATTCCACATGCCTCTGAATAGTGACTATTTTCAGCTCATATGAGTTAATCAATCGTGAAATGGAATAAACAAATGTTATATGAAAGGATCAATAACATTTTGATTAATCTGTGCTTAAATTACTGTGGTTGAAGTGAAACATTTTGATATTATGATCAGTAATGTTTGTTTAACAAGTGAAACAATTTTCTGACAGCTCACACACTCAAACACGTGACGATAACAAGGTTAAGCTAACATCCTGACACATTGCTTTCTGTTCCACAAATCAGAACATCCTGTATCTGAAAGATGCGTGACGTTCTGAGGTTTGCTTGTGAACACCCCTTAACATGGCACATCCCGATTGGCCAAGTAAATCATAATATGAGAATATTAAAACAGAATCACTTACAGGGATTCAGCACTTCAACTTCCAACTTCCTGTGAGATTCAGCATTCAGATCTAGAGAAAGCTACGGAACGGCCGTCCGGAGCAAAACATCTTTAACCCAGAGCATTTTTGACAAGCTGTCAAAACAAGCTAAAAGCTGCCTACAGCTGACACAGCAAAACGGTTCCATCAGCTATTCAGAAACAGCTGTTCTAGACGCAAACGATTTCATCTATGTGTTGTGATCCGGGAGATGACTCTGGACCGACCTGGTCGTACTGCGGTCTTTTCTACAACTTCGGTACCTTTGGGTCACCCGAACCCCCGACATCTCAGATCCGAAAGGGAGTCTCCTCAGGGGTACGTAGAACACAGCTAGATTGCGTCTGATGCCGTTTTGACGAGAACCGACTTCATAGCTTAATGCAAACCAAATTATTTTACACCCAGAACTCAGTTCTTCTAGATACAAGGTTCTGATAATCTCACATTCACACATAGTCACCATACATCACATCCCATCCTCTTAGATTCATCCAGCACAGTAGCCTTGGTTAATTTGTCATGTTTTTATTTGTTTAGAAAATAAATTTCTTATCTTTTATAAACCTGACTCTCTGAATTGAGACGAAGTGTGTTTGATCCCTGAAAAAGAAAAAGAATCCTAGAATCTTCTGATTAAACATCCAAAGACCAAGCAGGTTGATATTCTATATTCATATCCCAGCTTATTGGTCATTAGTAAAGGTAATATGTTAAGCTTAAAAGCACAACTTTTACCATCCTACACAAGGATAGGGGGGCCCCCAACATAAGGGGGCCCCAGGCGGCCGCCAACCTATGCCTAATGGTAAAACCGCCACTGCTGATCAGTACCAGATTTAGCCAGAAATGGCTCCAGTTTTCACACAAAATGTCGAGCTAATGCTTATAAGTTGTAAGGTTCTGAGAGATTTTGCTGCAGATCCACCTAAAAAAAAATTTTTTTTAAATTTTTTAGCCAAATCTCCATAAAAGAAGAAGCACATCATTCACCAAATGAAGTAAATAACTCTGATTAACAGCTATCCAGGTTCACTGAAGGGGTTTAAGTTATTTTTCCAATAATTAATTTTTTTGTTTTGTTTATTAAACCACTCACAAACAGTTTTCTTCTAATTCAACAGATTTATTCAGTTAATATGAATAATCTCAAAGCCCCATTCAAAAATCTGTTGATCCCAAATCCAAATTACATTCAATTGTGTGAGGTCACTTCAGTTCAGTTATGTTCGAATCATTTTCAGTAGATTAAAGAATAATTGGTTTATTAAATAATAAGGGCAACAGTAATTAAATGCAGTTATTATGTCCTTCAGAAGCAAAACTAAAGGGATGAGTCAGGATAACCAAGCTAACCTAACTAGAAGATTTATTACGAAGAAGGAGTTTTAGTCGAGTCTTGTTTATTCTGTTTAACTGGTATTATGTGGAACAACTTTCAAAAAACATGGAGAAAGTATCTTGGGACCAATTTTCCCATTCTTTTTGTGATAATGTCTTCAGTTTTAACGGACAGCTTCTTAAATTAGCAAATGACTTGAAACAAACCATTACCTGATCAAAGTTTATGATTCAATTGTAATCTGTAGCAGGAACTCACTGGAAGTTTTATCTCTGTTTGGTATAGATGACTGACGCTGAGCTGGTGAAGAAGACACTGCGGGCCATCCTCCAGTCCAACAAAGGAGGAGTGTCGGTGTCCCGTCTGCAATCAGAGTACAAGGAACTTACAGGAGAGCAGATACCACACAAACAGATGGGACACAACCAGCTGGAGGCTCTGCTGGCCAGCATGCCCTCTGCTCGCATGGAGCGGTGCCATTCAGGGGAGGTGAGCGTCCCTGGGGAATGATGTCACACTTAAACCATAAGAGCACAAAAGTGTTTCCTGAACTAGTGTTGGAGTGATGCATAACAGTCCTAACCAGGGACCTCATCACTTTGTAATTGTCAGTGTGCCATAAGGACACTTTCCTGTTGGTGAAGTTGTGAAATGTACCACAGATAACACGTTTTGACAGATATAAATCTTTAAGGCCAAAAAGCAGATTCCCAAAAAGCTGTTAGCTGAAACTGTGGGAATAACCTGCTGGAAAAAGAAGAAGAAGAAATGATATTTTGTGCCTTTTAAGATAAAAATCACGAGGCTCTTCACAAGAACAAAAAATAATAAAAACAAATGTCATGCATGACATACCTGTTTTAGATTGAATTTTATCGACTGAATTTTTTTTCCTGTTTTTATGTGGTTTCACTTATTTCCACATTTTAAAATCCATTTTCTCTAAAGTCGTAAAAGTACAAAATTGATAAGTTGTAAATTTTGACTTATTTTACAGATTCAATATAAGTTAGATTGCTGCTGGCAGTGTGTCGTTTCCTGCTGCTAGGGGGCAGTACATACATTTCAGGGTAGTTGTATGGCCGTGACTGCCGCTAGTTTAAAAAACATCTCGGTAAATGTTGTTACCTACGGAGCAGAAAGCATGTGACCTCGACGTGACTCATCAGACTTTGATGGTCCTTCAGATAATTCCATTGAGAGAATGCAATTAAATAATAATAATAATTGTAGTTTCCTGATCTGCTTGGGGTCCTGCGCCTGCCGATGATGTCATCATTCTACGGCAGCACCGCTTAGACAAAATATACTACATCTCTTTTTAGATTCAGTTCTTTCACATATGTTTTGGAAATAGTTTAGCAGTTTTGTTATAAATTTGTGTTTCTTACTGCAAAAAAGTTTTTGTACGTGGTAACATAACTTCTGTAAGTCGTACGTCCAACCAATCATCTTGTGTGATGTCATCAACGGGCGCAGGATGCCGAGCCGGCCAGAAAGAAACATGGTGTATGATAGAAAGATTAAAATAAAAATACTAGGAAATCCAAAAATTGAAGAAAAACAATTAAAATTTAAAAATGGCCTATAATGGCCAAAGTAAAAGAAATGCAATTTAAAATTCTTAACAACTACTATCCATCAGACACTGAGGAAGAGATTTGGTTTTGAAGTTGACCCTTGTGAATTCTGTCAGGAAAGCCCTGAAGGAACAGAACACTTATTTTTTAGCTGTTGTATAAGTAAGAGGTTTTGGGAAGAAGTCCATTGTTGGTTAAGAAATAAAATAAGACAACTTGATCGTTTTACAAATGAAGATATTCTTATTTACAATTCTAAATTAAAGGGGAATAATTCATTGTTAATTAACAGTGTTATTATTATGGGTAAATACCACATCCACAAAAGCAAATGGAAAAAACAACTGCCAAACATAAACTGTTTCACAAATGAATTCCATATGTTCTTATCCACTTTGATGCGTATAAAAAATTCAAATGCAACTGCAAAAGCCATTTGTCATGCTGCACAAAAATGTTTAATCTTGTAACAATGTTTTTACTTTGTGATATAAGTGCCTCTTTTTAGGTTTCTTATATGTTTTTCTTTTATTGTTACTAAAGATACCTTGTATGTTTTCATTATGTGTTGTCTCACGAGAAATTGTAATAAGCATTTAATGATAATAATAAAAAAAAAAAAAGAAACATGGTGTCTAATATGGCGTCCCCCAAAGATGCTAGACACACGCACTTTTTACTTTAGACTTTTACTAATGGTGGTTGTTTGGTGACGTCTGCCGATGTCATTTCCTACTGAGATACAACCAGTCAGCATGAGTTAACCACAAGTTCCACTCGGCGAGTGTTACGGTTGCCAGTCTGGCCAGTGAAGAGCAGGAGCCAGGATCACCCAGCTCGAGTGAATCAGCCTGACCCCGCCCCTCCTCCTCTCTCCCGGACTGCTGAGGAGCACAGCTGAGCTGAATCTTCCTGATGAGCAAACACCTGTATAAAAAGTCTGTGCCTTCAGCAGTCTGGGAGGCAGCAGTGCAGGGGTTCTGCTGTCCTCCTTGTTTTTGTTTGGTTTCAACCAATTTCGTTCGGATGAGTTTTAACTTTGGTAGTTTTTACTCTGAGTGATCCAGTGGGATCTTTTGTGTGTCCGTTTTTTAAAGGTTAACTTGGTTTGGTGCAATTTTACTGACTTCGGTTTTAAACACCTTCGTTGTGGTAAAACTTTTTAAAATAAGTTTTTACCAGGTGTTTTAGTCAGTAGATTGTTTTAGACTTTTATCAACTTTGGGTTTTTAAGAACACCTTCGGTTTGGTAAAACTTTTAATATAAGTTTTTACCAGGTGTTTTTATAGTTGATAATTTGTTATGTTAACCTTTTAGAGAGTTCTGTTTGTTTTTGGCATTATCTTTATAATGCGCCATCATTTTAAACTCCACCGTCATCTACCTTATGTTACCCCCTCCTTCGTATTTTAACATCTCCTGTCGGGGACGTAACAGCGACTCAACCAGGCCTTACCAAGTACATATCCTTGCTCAGGTACTGTTGGTTCCTGAAATAGTTTTGGAAAATGGTCCGTTCAGGTCGGCCCGGTGAAATACACACATGCAGCGAAAGTTCTTTAGAATTACCTGGAATTCCCAATAGTGGAAACAAGCCTTTTGAACACCAACCAAAGACAAATGTGTCTTCTAAACACTCATTAGATCAAACAAGCTCCAACTTCTTTCCTGATAAGGTCTCAGTGTCGGTTCTATTTTCTGTCTCTAGGTTATTTATTTTTCCTCTGGAGCCAGCGAGACAGCACATTTAGCCAAGGTGGTGGCCCGTCAGCGGAGCTCCAAGAGGATGGGCCGACCCCACCTGGTCAACACCCAGATGAGAGTCAAACCAGCAGCCCCTCTCGTTTTGAACGGTGAGATACAGAAAGATTTAAACCACCCCTTTCACCTCTTTTTACTCTTTTGCCCAGTTCTTGTTGTGCTGACGTTTTTTTAGCTAATTTCATTTTGTTCTCATAATAGCCTCTTTCTAATGAAATTGTGGTATCAATGTCATGTTTCATGGATTCATTTAAAGAAATAACAACACAATGGGTCTTTTTGAGCTGCTGCTGGTAACAAGAGCCTAAGGATCTAGGTCAGAGTTGAGAGCCCAGACAAAGGAATGAACAACAAACATTTCTGTGAAAATGACCTGGTACTAGACTCCATGTGAGTAAAGCCTAATTTAAACTTATCCGTCAGCTCCTAAAGGGAGAGACACGCATGGACGGAGACATTTTGCCCTCATACATCTCTGTCTCCTGGGGAGTGTTGCAAAGCATTTCCCTGCCAGGATAGCCGAGCGGCTAGCGCTGTTCTGTGGTATCCTGTCGTGTATCCACTCCAAGATGGTGTGTTTGTATCGTGGTTTTTTTATTTTTATTATTTTTTTGTATTTAAGACTCTTTAACGCAGACAAATTTGTCCCTAGTTCTCCTCCACCTCTTCATACACTCGCCACCTCTAAACCCAGGTTTCCCATCATTTGTGTCCGTGAATAAAATTCTTGCTTGCTTTTCTCTCCTCCAGTCACAGGGGAATAAAACGTTCATATTTTAGAGTTAGTCCGCGAGGTATTCTTCAAGCTGCTTCATGTCTGCCGCTAGATATCTCTTTGTTTTGAAGGCGCAATGGCGGCGGTGTAGACGACAGCGGTGCCCTCACCAATCACAAGCTTGCGTTCTCTGTCTCGATAGACAGATGTTTAGAAAAGAAAGCTAGTCTCCGTCTGTCCTTGCGAGGGCTCTCCAGCAGGCTCGCAAGGACGGATAATGGCGTTGAGTGCGTGCATCCATCCCGACGCAGACGGAGAAGTATAATTTAGGCTTAAGAAGGCAACCAAAGCTCAAAGAGGAACTTCAGAACACTGTTGGGATGTTTCTAAAAATCCCCGTATAAGATTACTCTAAAATCTGAAAGGCTGGAAGCAAAAGTAAAAGACATGATAATGATTTTAGACAATGTCACTAATTCCAAACACCAATTATTACCCTTTTAATGGCTATAACTTCCAATGTAGTAGCTGAGTCAACCATAAAGCCCAGTTTACACAATAAGATGTGAGAGACCACACACGTGGCAATAAAAAATCACAGATTTGGTCCTGCAGTGTGTGGTGTGTGACCACATGGCAAAAAACTACAAATTACACTGAAGAACTGATTTTACACACAAATATTCCCCGGGTAAAATCTCACAAAACCTTTTGTGATCTAACTCGACTTTGGAGTAAACAAACATGGCAGCTTCCATTACCTTGCTTTCTGATTGCCTACACATCACTTTCAACAGTTAGTGCAGTTGTTTGGTCTAAATATCGGACCAAGACAATCTAACTCGTCCAGTCTCCCTGATGGGAGTAGTCTTGAAGTGCATCTGAGCAGACCAGAGTGTTCTGAACTCACCACACATGGCAGGAATATCTGATCTTTAAAGCCATTAAAGTCTCTTTCCGGAGTATTTCTCTTATCCGATGGCACCATCTAGTGGCTAACAAGCATATCACACAAAAAGTCTGTCTCTCTGTTTTTTTTTAAGATGGCGACTTCACGTTTCTGTTCATAAATGTGCTTCTATTTCGTCTAGTCTTAGCCCTTAAGCTAGCTGCTATTGGAAAGATGATCTCTGCATCAGCCAATCATGAAGAGGTTAAATGTACACCCACCAATAGTGGGCCCCTTGTGGTATATAACCGCAGTGACCCCACTACTCACCTCCTTTTTCTCTTCATGCCAAGCTTGAGAGCTTCCTTAAAGAGCAAATATTATCTTGAAAGAGCAAAATTATCCGAGAAGACGACTTACCAGCCATGTCCAGCGACGCCAGACCCTGCCCGACCTGCCAGACGGGCTCCATTTCCAGTGGCGACCTGCACGCTAAGTGTGAGGTCTGTCTCGGGGCTCACCACGCTGGCCTGGCCTTGACCCCGCAGGCCTCGTGCCCGTCCTGTGCCGCTCTGCCCGTGGCGGAGAAGATTCGCCGGGTCGAGTACTTCACTCCCGCCGCCAACGAAGAATTTCCGGTCGCTGACTCGTACCCGCTGGACAAGGCTTTGGATTTCTTCGACGCCGGTCAGGAGCCGGCTGGTTTCAACTGGCTGGATGACGTCACCGACAGCGAGAACTACGATGAGGCGGCATCCCTCCTAGACACAACGGAGGTCGGCGAGCTTCGCTCAGCGGGTCCTTCTGCCCCAGTGGCTTCTCGCTCCTCCCTGCCAGCAGTAAGAGCACTGCTCCAGGAGCTGCCCGCCATCATTTCTGCGGCAGCAGCCCGCAAGAGGCTAGCTGTGCCAGAACCGGCCCCGCCTGAAGCGGATGATTTGGCGGGAATTTTCGGGGCAACTTAGACACGCTGTCCAGACCCTGTCTGGCCGTGCTTCCCCGCTGCTATGAGCTGCTGGTCTGCCGCCTTCTCCGAGCCTGCCAAGCTCAAGGCGCCAGTCTCCATGTATGCGCCCATCACCAAGGTCGAGGGGTTTTCCGACCAAGGCTGGCCGTCCGTTCCTCCGCTAGAGCCGGACTTGGCCTCGCTGTTCGACGCCAAGAACCACCTCGCTGGCCCGCGAGCTGTTCCCGTTTCAAAACATGACCAGCTGCTGACGCGGCTCACTGACCACGCACATCAGTGTGCCTTTCAGACCGGCGCTGCAGGGAATAACATCGCCCTTCTTGCCTTCGGCGTCTCCAAGATGATGGAGGAGCTGGAAGATCCCGAGGAGTCGAAAGCCGTCATTACTAAGACTGTTGATGCTATCCTCAATCTGTGTGCTGCTGTGCTCACCGGTTCTGCTCGCATCGCTGCCTGGCAGACCCTCATCCAGCGAGCGATCTGGCTCAAGGCCCTGCCCTCCATTCCGGAACATCTGCAAAGGGAGATGCTGGACGGCCCCATCACCACCGATGTTCTGTTTGGTCCCCATCTTAGGGGCGTCATTGAGAGGGCTCAGAAGACGGCCGAACTATCGGCTACGGTGTGAGACCTGATCCACCCTCGGTCAGCCTCGCACTCCGGCCGTTCCGCCAGAGGATGGGACGAAAGGCGCGGAAGCTTCAGACGCCCAGCTGCACCGCCCGCTCCACGGAGCCGGCCTCCCGCTTTGGCTCCATATCAGCGGGACCAGCGAGATGGCGGACAACGGTTCCGGCGGGGCCAGCAGACGCCGTCTTGGCAGTCCCAGGTGCAGGAGCCTCGCCGAAAGCAGCCACGGAAGTGACTCTTTGGGGGGAATGTGTGTGTTAATGATTGTTCTGATGTTGTTGTTGGTTTTGAAATAAAACCCAAAAAACGTCACTCAAAGAGCACAATCCTACAGTCCTCCGCAGAATCCTCTGCCGAGTTCTCACACATGTTCCCCACACCAAGCACTGCTGCATGCATACATGTTCCTGCAGGTAGTCATAATACACGGCCAGCCGTAAGGGTGCGCTCCATTTGCGCTCCGGCCCCAGCAGCCGGCCAGGCCCAACTCTTCCCGCTCTCCCCACACCGTTGGGTGGAGCGGGATGTCAGGTCGCTGTCTCGACCGCGCGCGGCGGCACAGTGCGCGGCTCCATCCGCTGGCACTCTCTCCCCCCCGTGCACGGGCCCGGCTCCCACTCGTCCTTCACTTTCGGACTCCACGCGCCGCGGTGTGGACCAGCCTGTTCCAGCTGTTTCGCACTCGCCCTTTCGAGCGCAGCCCTCCATGGGTCGCCCCCAGTTCTCGGGTATGGGCGACGGCGGTAAGGGCACATGCACAGCCCTCAGACGTTGTTTATGTGACCGCGCACACGCGTCCACTGTCGGAACGCGCACACGAGTGGCGCCGCCTTTGTATCATGAGCAAATGGATTTCGGACACCATTCATTGTGGTCACACACTTCATTTTCAGGCCACTCCACCTCCCTTCAACGGGATTGTGGATTTGACGTTCACATCGCAAGTACAGTCTCAGGCCCTAGAGCGGGAGTTGCGGGAACTTCTGTCCAAGGACGCTATTTCCCGAGTCCCTCGCGGACAAGAGCTCTCGGGCTTCTACTCCCGCTTCTTCGTAGTACCGAAGAAGTCGGGAGGAATGAGACCGATTCTCGACCTGTCCCTGTTCAACTGCTCCATAGCAGTAATGCATTTCCGCATGTTAACAATGAGACAAGTCTTGGAATACGTGCGCCCCGGGGATTGGTTCACGTCAATCGACCTGAAAGACGCATACTTCCACATACCAGTAATTCCAAACCACCGGAAGTTTCTGCGTTTTTCGTTCAAGGGAGTTCAATATCAGTTCAATTGCCTCCCTTTCGGCTACTCGCTAGCCCCGCGCACCTTTTCCAAATGTCGGGAGACCGCGCTGCAGCCACTGTGCACGATGGGAATGAGGGTTTTATTTTACCTGGACGATCTTCTCCTGTGCGCTCGGTCCGAGGACGAGGCGTCACAGCAAACCAGGAGGTTGACAGAGCATCTGTCAACCCTAGGGTTTTCTATAAACTGGGAAAAGAGCTCCATCCTTCCATCCCAGTCGATTGTGTATCTCGGGGTGGAGTTGGACGCCTCCCTAATGAGAGCACGTTTGTCGCCTGCAAGAGAGGTAGATCTCTCCACGGTGATCTCCCGTGTACAACCCCGCAAGATCGTGAGAGCCCTGTTAGTCATGAAACTCATGGGCATGATGTCCGCAGTCCATTCGGTGGTGCCGCTAGGCTTGCTGCGCACGAGGCGCTTGCAACGTTGGTTCATCCGCCTCCGGGTGCATCCGATACATCAGAAGAGATGTATGTTGAGGATTCCCCCTTCAGTGGGCGGGGACCTCGCTCACTGGGGGAACCCCTGCATCCTCTCACGCGGGGTTCCCATCGGACGTCCTGCGTCACACGTATCTGTGTTTACGGA